AAAGGGTTAATGCCTTTGTTCTCTATTGCTATGTTTAGATCTGTCTTCTTTTTTCCTATTGACATTACTTCTGTCTTTTCAGTGTTGATTCTCATATTATTTGTTTTACATTCTTCATTCATGGATGTTAGATGTTGTTGCAATTTCATGGCTGTATCTGCTATCAAGGCCTGGTCATCTGCAAAAATGTTATTCGTTGATCTTACTAACATTTTCATTCATGGGTTGGCATTCTTGCATATACTGTCGATGTAGGTGATAATCAGCAGTGGTGATAAGACACACCCCTGTCTTACTCCAGATGTTACTGTGGATCTATCAGTGGCCTTCCTGTCTTATCATTAATTATTTCAGTGGGGTTGTAGCTCTCATCTCTTTTCCGCATATTTTTAACTACTTTGAAAAATTTTCTGCTGGCTGTTTTCTCATTTTCTGCTAATGATTCACCGAAACGTTCCCAGGATGCTTGTTTTGCTTTTTTGACACTCCTGTTGGTTTCTCTCCTTTGCAGTCTATAGTTTATAAAATCTTCTTCTTTGTTTGATTTTATCCACTGTTTATATAAGTCCTTTTTCTTTTTAATTGCGTCTTTTACTTCTTTGCACCACCAAGGTCAATATTTGTTATTTCCCCGTCTGTTTCCACTCTTCCGTTTTCCACATAATTCTTCTGCAATACTAAGCATAGTGTTTTTATATTTACTCCATTCTTCTTCAATATTGCCAACTACATGTGGAAGTTGTTTGAATGCTGTCTCTACTTTCTGTTGTAACTGTTCTTTTACTCCTTCCTGTTTCAGATTTGCTATCTTGATGAGATCCTTGTTTTTGGTTAATTTCTTTCTGTGTTTCTTTAATGTAAGATGTTTTGCTGTTAACACAACTATTTTATGGTCAGTGTCACATAGACCATTAGGGATTGCTCTTGAATAAAGAATTCTCCTTCTTCCTTGAACTCCCAGCTACGTTAAATGTAACAAATTATGTACTCAATTAAAAGAAAATAACCATAATATAATGTGTCTTTTTTGTGACAGAGAAAAATAATTAATTATGTAGTGAATAGGTGTAAAGATTTTATGCGGGATGTATCTTCTGTCACATACATATCGTGTCGCGTGCCTGATTTAAGGATTTCTCCTTAAGAACCCTTAGAACTATGAAATAAAATAATGTTGAGGCATCGGCTCATATTGGTCTAAGGCTTGGCCATACGCTCAACTTATTTCAGGAGTAGGGCAACTCAAGTTCTGGCACTACAGAATATCTAATAATCCTAGGCGCAACTTGGCTGGACACCCCCACTATTATAAAAAAAATAGCAACCAGGCTATGATAGTATACTATCTAGTGGATGTTTACTGTTAGTTTGTTCTCTCCACAATCCCTTGTTTTTTCCTTTGATAAGTGTTCTGATTTCTGGTAATGACAATGAATGGGCATGTTGTTTCTTCTTTGTTCCATTTTTTGCAAGTCTGTCTGCTAACTCATTTCCTGGTATGCCGCAGTGAGCCGGGATCCACTGGGGAACAATTTGATTGTTTTCTGTGAGTCTGTTTAGCTGACGGGTCAGTTCTCTTTTCATGTTGTCTCGTGGATCCCTATGAGTCGCCTGGAGGATTGACATGCAGTCACAAAGGAAAACAATTTTGCTGTTTTTAATTTTTCTTTCCCTGAGCACTTTGGCTGAATCAATAATTGCTTGCTGCTCTGCTCTGAAGTTTGTTGAGAGTCTTCCAGGGGCGCATGACGTTTCTACTGTGGTCCCATCTTGCAGCATGATGATCGATCCAGCTCCTCCATTTTTGTCTGCTCCCTCTAATGATCCATCGGTTTAAACTTGTGTCCATTTTGGATAACATTTGTAGACATGTTCAAGGGTCTTTGCACGCAGTACTAGGTTACACTCTTCAGCCTTTCTGTCTATGCCTGAAATTGTTGTTGTGACTGTATAGTTTGGCTGTAGGTCTATGCTGTATGCCTGAATCATTTACCATGTTGAAGAATCTTTAGAAAGGATGTCACTGTTTTTTGTGTAGTATAATTTTGATAGATGGTGAAAGTTTTGTCTTTTCAGTCGGTTTTTGGTTAAATTATCTGCTATTCTGTGCATGGGGCTGTTGTTCATGCGTTTAAATTTTTCTGTTAGGGTAAGCACCTTTTCTTCCCTTCGAAGGCTCAAGCTCTCGAGGCCACAGGTTGCCTCTAGTTCATTAATTGGTGTGCTTCTTATACCTCCAGTGATGATTCTGAGACCAGTGTTCTATATTTTATCCAGATGTGTAGGTTTGATTTAGCTGCAGTGGAGTAAGCTCCCATACCATACTCCAGTTTTGGTCGTACATATCCTGTGTATACTTGTCGTACAGAGTTGGCATCTGCACCCCAGCTTGTTCAGTAAGTTTCTTCATAAGTCCGAGCCTCAGGGTAGCTTTCCTTTGGGTGTCTTCAATGTGGGGGCCCCATGTTAGCCTTTTGTCAAATTTTACTCCCAAATATGTGGGGTTATCCTCTTTTGGAAGGATGTTGCCTTCTAGGTACAGATTAACCTGTTCTGGCTTTGTGGGAAAAAAGAATAAAGTTGAGACGGTTTTGGTCTGGTTTATTGTGACTCCCCAAGAGTCTGTCTATTTCTTAACTGTATTTATAGCTTCCTGCATTCTTGTTTTAGTTGTTCCTAAATGTTCAGCTTGTCCATGTGGCCAGGTCATCTGCGTGTAGCGCCTTGTGAATGTGAGTCGTGAACTGTTTTGGGAGGTCATTGATGAACAGAATAAATAGGGTGGGAGATATAACACCTCCCTGGGGGACACCTTCTTGTAACCTGACCAGCTTACTCTTGTGATCTTACAGTCTGACTCTCGCACAGCGTCTGTAAAGGAACAGAATAATTAACTTGTTAGGTTTAATATATTTATAATGGTATTGGGTCAAGTAGGGCACAAACTATCAGCTTGCAAAGGGAAAGGTTTGATTTCAGAGGCTTGAGTGTCTGGACACCAAGAACGGCCTAGTTCTGTGCTGTCACCCAGCTGAATCTTTCCTCCCTGCAGCAGCGGCTAACTTTGCAGAGACATATATCATTGTACTCATAAACTATAATCAACTTACCCAAGCTTAGGAATCCTTCAACGATTAAACTGGTATTTTGAATGCGCCAAAATGTAATCAGAGAGGTGACATACTTCTGCACACCTAGGAAGTCAGGCAAAGAATGACCCCGCCTGAAAAAAAGTCCTGTATTAGTGTGCCAAGGAGTTAAAAGGTTTCCAGGAATTCAGAATATTTTTCCAGAAAATATCTATCCCACAGCTGCAAGTTTGAAAATGTAGATTTTTCAAAACAACTAGAGGGTATAGAAATATATATATTAATATGAGGGACTATATACCCACCGGACGGGTTTAAATTTGAAATGTGACCTGCCCGCTAGGGGCGTTAACGTCACGACGAGTCTACTGTGTAGGGTTTGGTTGATTCACTCTGTGACAATAGTCCTCTTCTTCTTTGATCATTTTATGTCAGAAAAACTTATATCAAGAGAGATGTAGCCTTGAGAAAAGCTGTCATGCAATAAACATCTGTGTGTGTACCATACAGTTTTGTCTTGACTGAGATTGGAACAGGCCAGATTGTGTCTGTTAGCAGTTACTGTGTTGGAATATTCTCTGAGCATTATCAGGTGCCAGGCCACATCATCATATTTCCTACACTAAAAATCTTGAACATGTGTTGGTAAAATCTGTTGTGCCCTATCCTTAGTCTGAATATAATACAGTACATTATCCCTCTCTAGAGAAGAGATGAGGTGAGAAAATCTGGTATGAGTATCCGGAAACCTTTCTTGGATACCAGTAATCAAATAAAGTATTTGATTAAAGAAGTTTCATTTTTACCCTTGCCATAATAGTGGTTAGATACTTGCCTTAAGGTCAACTCCGCATCAGGGCAGATTCTTATAAATAAACTGAGCCTAAAGTTGGTACCAGGAAATATCATGGGTAGGAAAGGCAGCCACGTTGCCCATTGATTGCCTGAGGGTCTAATACCATGTCACTGATGTGTCAGTAGGTCTATTGATCAATCATTGTATCCCCTCTGGGTTGCTACATTAAGGTTTACCATACCACTCTGATATGTAACACTTTCAGTCCCAAGGAACGCCTCGCACGTTCATAGGTTCCTTCCTCCTAGAATCGCCAATTTTACGTCTTTCTTTACTACACCATGGGCCTTTGATGCTAATTCCCTGAGACTGAAAGAGTTGAAAATCTCAGCCTGGATGGCAGACCAACACAGACGTTATAATTAGGGCGCCCATAAAACCACCAATGGGTAATTTATCTTGGCCTTTATCATGCTGCCCACCACATTTACTTCCAGAATACTTTTACATTGATCGACCTGAGAGCCAGTTTTATCTGCCCATTTTAAACCTGACAGCCACATGTGGTCAGAGTCTCCAAAGCGGTCGGAGCTGACACATTTCAGTTTCCTATTTGTGCCAGGGGCATGCAGGCTTGCAAGGACATGAGCAAGGTAATAGGCTTGCCATTAAAGCCACTGTGGAGGGCAGATGAGCCATGGACCAGACGGATATTCTAAAGGCATTTTGAAAAGTAAGACATTTACGAGAACCAAGTGATGACTTTGAATCTGCAGCCATGACCAGGCTGCAACAACATGTTAAAAAGGGTGTAGCCAGACAAGAGCACTATGCAGGAGCCAAAGAAGAATAAGAAATTAACAAAGAATTGATGTTGTGAGCCGCTACACACTGCAGGATTTACTTAGGAAGGGATCCTAGCACTTCTGGCCTGTATGGTTCAATGTGCAGTGAGGATAATCTGTTAGCTAACTGACAAGGCACACGTGGTAGCCATGTTGTTACTGTGGCTGTCATTGACTTTATTACCAGAATTAATTATTACCAAGTAAATATCATACTGTCTAATTCTCCTCATTTGTTTGCAGGATACAGTCAGAAGTTAGCATTTCAAAATGCGGACATTCAATGATGAGAAAAAGTTCTTGGAAAAAATTTCCAGCAATTGTTGGCACATCAAAAAAGGATTTGTTGATAACATGAAGGTAATTTTGTTTGCAGATATTTCTTTATGCTGAAATTTTCTTTGAGTTGTAGTTAACGACAACAGAGAATGTAGGAGAAGATTGTGTCTCAAAATACTAAAAGATACAAACTGGATGTGTTTAAAAGTAGTGAAGACACTAGAATTAACCTTTTTTTTTACTAAGAGATGCATAAAACATTGATTTATAACTATTTTAACTGTCTTCTGGTACCAGAAGAGTTAAACACACCATACAGATGGTCAAGACAGTAACAAAATCAATCAGTGAGTAAATAAATTTGGTTTCTAAAACTTTCGCCCCAGGAACACTAAACAAATGGGTTATGAACCAGTCTGAATTCCCCCCACTTACCTTATCCTTTAAAAAACATTTTACATAGGTTACTGCTACATTAACTACGTGTGAAATGCGCTGTCTCCGCAAGGTCACTAACAACACTAGACGTGTCAGGGTTACGAACACCAGCATTAGAGAGAAAGTTGGAATAAGACCATGTCTGTATTATATTGATAGACAAAGAATGAAATGAAATGGTTAGAACCATCTAGTGAGAATGCAGCCAGATCAGACTGCATATGAGACTTTTTACAGGAGAACATCTGAGAGGAAGGTGATGGGAAAAGCAAGAAAGAGATGGTGTAGATGAAACCTGCAGAACATTGAACAAATCCTTCACTCAGTCCACCCGAGAAGCACCAGACAAATACAGAAAACATTGAACAAATCCTTCACTCAGTCCACCCGAGAAGCACCAGACAAATACAGAAAACATTGAAACAAATCCTTCACTCAGTCCACCCGAGAAGCACCAGACAAATACAGAAAACATTGAACAAATCCTTCACTCAGTCCACCCGAGAAGCACCAGACAAATACAGAAAACATTGAACAAATCCTTCACTCAGTCCACCCGAGAAGCACCAGACAAATACAGAAAACATTGAACAAATCCTTCACTCAGTCCACCCGAGAAGCACCAGACAAATACAGAAAACATTGAACAAATCCTTCACTCAGTCCACCCGAGAAGCACCAGACAAATACAGAAAACATTGAACAAATCCTTCACTCAGTCCACCCGAGAAGCACCAGACAAATACAGAAAACATTGAACAAATCCTTCACTCAGTCCACCCGAGAAGCACCAGACAAATACAGAAAACTATGATAATAGGCTGCAGCCTAGTAACACTGAGATGACAAAAGAAGAAAAAGATTAACACATTTCTGAAAATTGTATTTATCTACCTTTTCAGCATCAACAAAAATTTAAATATGTAAAGATTTTTGCAGAAAGCAATCAATAAACATTAACAGAGAGAAGAATTAAATAGAAAACATTTCCATTGCCTAAATAAATACAAGGTTGACATATGCCGTGGCTTCTATAATAAAGGTTTGTAGCTAGGCTTCAAACAAAAATAGTTCAGTCCAACCCCCCCCCCCTCCCCCCCCACCCTTCCACCCCAATGCTATTTTTCATAAATATATTCCTATCCTGACCTCCTGAATGCTACACAGGCTGGAAAATCACCATTGGCATTAACTAGATGTCTCATAAACCTGTCACTATAGAAATGCTAGATGTGCAGCACTCTCGGGGAATAGCAACTTCTGGAAAGGCCGTGATTGCTGCTTGCTAAGGTCAAAGGATTAAAAGGGCATGCAGGGCCTGTGGTATATTCAGCCCTTCCTGACCCTCATCTTTCACACATTAATTTTATTTGTATCTATAAAGCATAATCTGAATATCGAGTAAATGAGGACAGTTAAAGTGGTCACCTTTACAACAACACAGTCATGTAAGAAATGAATGCTGCTATCAGAAGACCTTTATCAGCACACTACAACAACATGACATGGATATAGCTACATATAAAAATCATTTGGCTGTATAAAAGTTTGCAGTCCAAATGTACTGAGATAATCCAGTTATTTATGAACATCATATGCACCACTTTCCATGCACTCCATGTTTAAAACAAGATTTCAATACTTGACTTTAGATTGATTAATGATAACGACAGAAGGTCTCTGTACCAAAGTGGTTCAGCCATTTACTTCGTACTTTAAAGGTGTGGGTTTGATTTCAAAGTGTCTCCTTCAATTCGTGAGTGCATCTGTTTCAGAGTTTGGAATACACAGCTGCTTTACCACACGTGAAATGAACCAGGTTAAGTTAGCTGTGCATCAGGATGTTGAAAAAACCAACTCTAGCTGGGGTTTTTTTTTTTCTTAGCTAATTGTGTTTTTTCTAGGTAAATTTATGCTCAGTAGTTTGCCATTCCTTACTGAACAGTCTGCTTTTGGTACTGCTGTCGAAACTAATGCAGAGCAGTTTGTTGCCAAATCGCCTGCAGCTGGGATCAAACCTGAAACCCCAACATTATAAATATAAAGCACAATGCCTAAGCCACAGATGCCAGAATCAGGGCTGAAACCGGTCTATCTGCACCTCTCTGTGGTTACTCTAGAAAGAGGTTCCCAACCTGGGACCTGATTATCGTAGCTAGGATTGATGCTTTTTTTAAGGTCAAAGTGCATCTGCCTCTCAGGAACCCAGTTTGCACACAAATAAGCCAGTTCTATCAAAACGACATGCACACAAGACTCCAATTCTGGAACAAGACTTCATTTCAGAAATTGAAGAAAACCCAGGACTTTCCATTGGAGTATGCAGTCAAAGGAAGTTTTAGGAGTCTGCAATTCAAGCTTTTGCAGGTGACCAGCTGCTCTGCTGAGAAAGACTTAGCCCTATGGGATACAATCCAGTGCAGTAAAAAACCCTCTTACACACTCTTGATAATGACAGCGAATCAGGAATGTTACCTTTAAAATTCTGCAGTCCTGGCATTAATATTGTTATTGTGGATTTTGCCTAGGTTGATGGATACTTCTACGTCAACGATAACCTGGAGAAGCTCATGTTTGATGAGCTCAAGCAGTCCTGTAACAGCAAGGGCTTTGGTGGTTTTCTTCCTGGCATGAAACAGATTGCTAATGTTGCTGCTTTGCCTGGTATTGTTTCGGTTGGTGTTCTTGTTGTCACTGTCATTTTTCAAAGAAAGGTGTCAAAATTACTGCACGATAATGTTGAATATCATCATCATCATCATATGCCCTGCTGAAAAGTTTAAGCAGTCATGGTTTGTCATCCCTCACGATCACCAAAATAGCAGATCAGGTCAGTTATCTTATCTTTCCCTATCTAGTGACCAGACCATCCAAGTACTTATCGCTTTCTTTCCCTTGTTCTTTTTCCATCAGTCTTGTCACTTTTCACCTAGCCTGTTCTCGAGTCGATTCCCTCTCAAAGCATGCCCCAAACATGTGTACTGTCTGCATCTGTGGAGTTAGTGGGACATTCAGTAATTCAGATGCTATCTCCACATTGAAGACTGAGTGCTATATATTTTCCGGCAATGTCTGCATCTGTGGAGTTAGTGGGACATTCAATAACTCAGATGCTATCTCCACATTGAAGATTGGCTGCTATATATTTTCCGGCAATGTCTGCATCTGTGGAGTTAGTGGGACATAATAATATCAATAATTCAGATGCTATCTCCACATTGAAGATTGGCTGCTATATATTTCCCAGCAATGTCTGCATCTGTGGAGTTAGTGGGACATTCAATAATTCAGATGCTATCTCCACATTGAAGACTGGCTGCTATATATTTTCCGGCAATGTCTGCATCTGTGGAGTTAGTGGGACATTCAATAATTCAGATGGTATCTCCACATTGAAGATTGGCTGCTATATATTTTCCAGCAATGTCTGCATCTGTGGAGTTAGTGGGACATTCAATAATTCAGATGCTATCTCCACATTGAAAATTGGCTGCTATATATTTTCCGGCAATGTCTGCATCTGTGGAGTTAGTGGGACATTCAATAATTCAGATGCTATCTCCACATTGAAGACTGGCTGCTATATATTTTCCGGCAATGTCTGCATCTGTGGAGTTAGTGGGACATTCAATAATTCAGATGCTATCTCCACATTGAAGACTGGCTGCTATATATTTTCCGGCAATGTCTGCATCTTGCCCTAGTTGTACACTCTCAAGCTGCTGTTCATATTTTCATCTTATCTTCCAATTGTGTCACCGTCTAACTCTTGCTTGCCTGTTTTATTTTTATAAGAGTCATATGTCATCCATGTGGGCAAAATATTTCACCTCTCTCATTGTTGTTCTGTCAGCCACTCAGTATTATTCCCAGTCTCACTAAAACAGCTTAAATACATCTGTGTGGCCTCAGTTTAATCTTTAATTTTATGTTTTTATCTGTCTTTAAATATAAGTCAGATAGATATGGTTATCTGAAAGCCAACTCAGAATAAAAACAAGAAGTCTCCATTTAGCAAATGTGACACTTGTGCATGCTAAGAAAAATTAGTCATAATGACTCTAGCAGTTAGGATTAGCTAATGTTATTGTTAATGAAACGAATATATTCTAAATTTTTTTTTGTTTCCTATCAGAAATCAATTGGTCTGCCTGATGTCCATTCTGGCTATGGATTTGCCATTGGTAAGTTTGTTTAGTGAGCTTAGAAAACCTTCGATTGTGGTTTAGGTTGAAGATTCTTCTTCTTCGCGTTCACCAGCTGTAAACTCTGGCGGAAAGCTCTGGTTGCTCATCCACTACTGAACTGCAGTCCTGCTCCAGAACCTGAGTCTTGCGTGTGCATCAGTTTTACAGATCTCATTCTCTTGAATACAGACTGTTGGTTCCTTGCCTCTCCGGCAGATGCACTCCGACTTAAAGGAAGCTCCCCAATTAGTCGACTCTTACGACATGCTTTTGGGGAGCCAGTGGGTCTATTCTTGTTTTCCCCACAATGGGGCCCCGGAACCCACACGGGGAAGGTTGAAGATTGTAACAGAAGGAAAGATGCCTATCCCACACCTTGAGGCTTTTTGGGTACAGATTTCTAGCTCCATTATTGAAAATATTGCCAGTCCATTGTTGATATGGTTAATATGGCAGCTGTTTTTACTTCCCAGAACATTTCTTGGTATCCGTTATTGACTGGTGTAATGATGCTATAAATAGGGATCATGTCAGGGATGACTGGCATAATTGGGCAAGTCCCTGATAGCATGGGTTTCACGGAGATATGGTGAAAAGACAAGAGTGAGTGAGTCGCGTGTGAATGCGAGATCTGGGGGATTGAGAATGAGGTGGTCATTCGTTGACTGGGCCAGACTGGAAGGATGTGAAGCTGAATCTGTGTAGGTGAATCCAGAGTGAAGAGTGCACGTGGATCTGAACCAGAGTCGAATGAATGTTAGTGCTGAACGACAAGACAGGCAGCGCTATTGAATGATCGTCTAGGCCAGCCGTTGTGTTACACAGTTTGTTTCCTGAGCCAGTAGTGTACATGCCAGTGTCCATTGTCTGAAGCATGTCTGGAGACTCAATGCGTGAGCAAGGCGAGATTGCCCAAATGGCGTAAGTTAGTTCATCTGTTGATTCGTGTCTTGTGCTACAGTGACAATAAACCTGTGAAATGTGTCCGCCGTTGTCGGCGGTCATTTGAAGTTGTGTGGCCGTGGAGAGAAGTGCCGTCTGGTTAGAATGAGCTGTGACCTAACCTCTAGACAACAGAGTCAGTGTTGAATCTGCACTAGAGAGATCAAGTGTGGAGGAGACACAGTACATTCATTACAACTGGATTAATCTTGTGAGACTGGAGCAACTTTTACAGTGTTCCAAATGAAGATTTGTATCTGTGACCCAGGCTTCTAGCCACTGAACTACTGCAGCTTCCTGGTTGAAGATTGTCTAAACCACTGATAGGATAACATTTATTCTAGCTGTTGTTGATCCTAGCTTTTACTGTTTTTGATTGTATGGTCTGTTGTTTCATGATGATTGAAATTTACAAGTTCCCCATGTGGGTTCTAAGGCACCATTTTTGAGGAAGGTATCATCAGAAGAAATCAGACCAATGAAGAATAGATGCTACCCCTCAACAAGCATGTTGTAGAAGGGGCCTCATTAGCAGTTTGCTTAAATAAGTTTTGAGCCAAAAGATACAGATGTCACAGCCTAGCCATAAACCACACCACAATGTAGATCACAGAATGAGGAGAAGAAATATACAAGGAAATTTTGGAAGTAGCACTTAAAAAAGAAAATGGGTAGAAAATAAAATCACACAAGTGAATTTTAGGCAGATTTGCTCTAGCCAGCTTTATAGTGCTAATTATCGCAGAGATATGGAAGAAATTCTTTCAGTCATCTTTAATCTTTCTTTAGCATTGAACTGTCTATCTTATTTTTTACTTTTGTTCACTTGAAATAAGTTGTCTACATCTGTAATTCTGCCACATTGATAAATTTCACTCTTTTGCTTAGCTCTTTCAGTGGTCCATAGAGTTTACCTTCCATGCCTGACATTATTTATTGAAATATGAATCTGTTGTCTGGTTGCAGGAAATATGGCAGCCTTTGATATGAATGACCCGAAGGCTGTCGTGTCACCAGGGGGTGTGGGGTTCGACATAAACTGCGGGGTGCGTTTGTTGAGGACCAACCTGCATATCAAGGATGTGTTGCCCTTGAAGGAACAGCTGGCTCAGTGCATGTTTGACCACATCCCTGTTGGTGTGGGTTCCAAGGGAATCATCCCAATGACGGCACAGTGAGTGGGTTTTGTCACTTGATCAACAGACTTTGTTTGTTCTTCTACTTCTAACATTTTTAACTCCTCCCCCCCCCCCCCCCCCCCCCCCCCCCCCCCCAACACAACTTGAACTGGAATGTCTGAGAGGAAATTTCAGATTTTATATCATGTTTTTTTCTGTTGTTTGCCCCAGTGGGAGCCACGGTAGCTTAATGGCTAGATGCTTGCTTGCCAGCCAGAAGGTCTTGAGTTCGAATCTGCATCAAGTCGGATGGTTTCCCGGGTCCAACTATCCAATAATGGGTACCAGGTAATGTCCTGAGAAATAATGGCAGGATGTTAACCCCATTACCCACTGAGTTCTGATTGATCTGTACAAATATTTGGCATCATATACCCACTGTGCCTCTGGTGTTATAAAGGGTCTTTTACTTCTACTGGCCAAAGTTCTAACCCCTTTTTATGATAGAAAACTTAAACTCGTAACTGGATTCCTCAGAACCATACATTTCCTCAGATGTAATGTGCATGTAAGTGAAGCTGTTGGCAGTTAGTTTTCTTGTCTTCATCACACCATAAGTTAAATTATCATTATGTTAGTGATTACAGTAGATTCATTGGGCTTACTGCACACAGAATTGAAAGGTTGGCTCCCACAGTTCTAGTTGTTGTTTTATAAAGGATGAACAGTGGCTGGCCAAGTGGTTGGAATTCTGAGTTCTCATGGGAGACCTGGATTCAATGCTCATTAAGGGATTGAAATTTGTTTTCTCTGTTGGGAAATAAAAATCCTAACCTACACATACAATGGGGACTGCACTAGCCATGAGGACTTACATTCTCAGGTGCAGGTTACCCCCCCCCCCCCCCCTTTTTTTTTGTTTCCAACACTGCTAAAGCTGATAAATACAGGCAATAAAGACAGATTGTAGGAGAAAGTGTTCAGCAGAACATGTTATGTGCTTGTATAGCTTGATGTTTTCTCACACCATAGAGCAGTGGTTTATTAGCACCAGTGATTCCCAAACTGTGCACCGCGGCGCCCTGAGAAGCCACGACCTTTTCACAGGGGCGCTGGGAAATATTAGAAGATACACGAGTTTTATTTGTTTTGATCTCTTATATACGAATAGTCATACTTTTACTTAGGTTAGGGCGCCGCGGAAAATTTGTTATTGTAAAAAGGCGCCGTGGCTAAGACAAGTTTGCGAAACACTGTTTAACACAGAAGCCTGTGATTTATCCTTAGTGACACATTACCCCCCTCCCTCCAACCCAATGAATATGGTCTGGGGTCAGCCTGGCTTTCTGTAATGAGTGCCATTCATGTCACTGGAAAAATAAAATGTGTAAGGAAGCAAGTTGGTCATTCTACATCATAATAACATGCGTGGCATGTGAAACAATATCACTATCATCTGGGCTACAGTGTGTTTCGTGTGGTTACTTCTAGTATCTATCAGGTAAGTAATTGTCAGATCTGATCTGGTGATTCATGTTTTGTTTTGGCTCTTCATTGCGAGAAGACCAGCTTCTGTGGCACCAAGTCCTTCACAAGAAGAGGCTTAGAACTGGTCAGATCATTTCCTGCTAAATTGAATTAAATTATAACAAAGTGAAAACTGATATTTTATTTTTGTTAAAGAGTCTGACATGAGGTTATTTTCAAATGCATTTGTTTGGATATAATTTATTGACTTATTATTCAGACATATTTTTGTTCTTTCCACAGAAATCTTGAAGAAGCATTAGAGATGGGCATGGATTGGTCATTGAGGGAAGGTCAGAATCGTTTGCAACAAAATTTCATTCCTAACGAAGAGACATCTAAAAATGATAATGTTAGTTGTTTAAAAGATCACAAATTGTATTACTTTGAGAGGGAACCTGTTAGCTTTTTTGCAGTATTCATGCAATTAAAATACTGAGAAGTTAACATAACGCAGATCTCCCCAAATAGAGTAGGTCACTTTTCATTCACGAGTTTGTTGGGCTGGTTGACTTTCCTAAAGGTTACAGGTGTGTCCCACTCTAGTGTTTGCTTTATGTGTTGTCTTGCCTTTACGTTTTCATTCGGGGGTTAGGGCCAGTTGCTCCATGTTTTTTAGAGTATTAAAAGCACTGGCATGCTGAAATAAATAAACAACATAAGATATTAACGGTATCGCGGAACACACTTCTGACCTTGTGCAAAGGTCAGGAGGCTCAGGAACTACCAATCAGAAGTGACCTAGTGTGTATATAGGTGGGGCATGGAGAGATTAACATTGCCTGTTCCACTGATTAATTTGAACATATTTTTCTCTTAAGCTATCCTTGAATTAGTTACCTTTATACTTCTTCCTGACGGGTGGGGGAATAGGGAAAGAGAAGTAAAAGAAATTTTAGATAAGCAAAAATACAAAAAAAACACCCCTACTAATTGTGTCAATGAGAAGTTTGTTAATATGTATAATTTCCTAAACAAAAATTTTTAAAAAAACACCCCTATTGATTGCGTCTATGAGAAGTTTGTTAATGTATATAATTTCCTATTGATCAGGTTATGCCTGGGCCGAGGACAAAGAGCACTGTGAAGAGTATGGTCGAATGTTGCAGGCAGATCCATCTAAAGTCAGCAGCAGGGCCAAGAAACGTGGACTGCCTCAGGTGAGAGTTTTGGTGCATGTAACACTTTTGTCTGGTCTGGGGCAGACATACATTACTTACATTATGAATCTTCTCCTGTCTACTTAGGCCTATGACTCAGAGAATTGTCTTCATCTGACTCTTCAATCTTTTCTGTCATCTCAGTGTGAACAGAGACCAAGCCATGTAGGATAGATTTCTGTTGAGTGAAGGTAATCTTCTCATCTTTAAATACCCATTGTAATGTCGAATAGGAATTTCATTTTTGTGCCAGGACACTCTGGGGCACAAGGACATAATTGAGTGGATTGGCTTGCTGGCAGAGTCGCGGTAGGTACAGGAAAAACAGTGGACCGGGCCGACATTCTCAGTGGTCTCAAGAAAGCAGGAAGAGAAGGTGGTTCAGGAGATGACATTGAATTGGTATCATTCAAAAGACTACAACAATTTCAGGTCAAAAGGTGTGTCACCCAACATGAACACTATACAGGTAGCCGAAGAAGTATAGTAAACTAACACAGAACTGATGTTATCAGCCGCCACATGCTGAGAGATATGCTGAAGATGGGATCCGAGCGTGCTTATGGACTTGTCCAGTATGCAGTGAGAATAATCTGTTGATTAACTAACTATAGTATCGTCTTTGTTTGCCCTGCCAGGTGGCCTGGGTGCTCGTTTATCTCCACAGATCTCAGTTCTTGGTATTTAAATCAATTCCACTGATGATATTCCACCATGCCATTGCTTCAGGCAGTCAAGTATTATTTCTTTTGGTCTGCTACTTCCTGGTCTACCAATGATCTCTCTAGTCATCCCCATGTTCTCATGCCTCTCTTCTCATTACCTGACCAAAGAACACTGCCCTTTTTCTATCAAAAACACTAGAAACTGACTAATGATAGAGCTATTGCTGTAATGTATGTATAGCATGTCTGCCTCCTGCTGCACAAAGGTAAAGGGCTGTCTTGTGTTGAGGTGGGGCAGAGGTCATTGTTTTACATAGAAATTGTGAATGTGGAGGAGGCTTCGCTAAAATCACTGTACAGTATTTCTACACACCCCAGCATAGAACTTTTTCACTTCCTCATTGGCTGTTTCAGATGATAAAGAAACTCTTTCAGTGTCAAACAACTTATCTCTGCCCATCATTCCTATGAACAAATGAATGAACTAACTTTATTTTCAGAGGGTTGTTAATTGGGCCCACAGGCCTGTCTTACATTCAGCCCTTCTGGCCTCACGCCTTGCATACATTATTCCATTCATACCTCATTTTAGCAGATAATAAATATCATCAAGGAAACGTAAATGTTAGTTACAAACACTGGAATGTGCTATGAGGGTTGGTTAATATGGCAGATGATTCCTCCTGAAGGTATTTACGAGGGCAGATTATTAAGTTCTGGGACTGAATTTTTTAAATATCTGGCAAGGTAAAATTAATACAGTGCATATAGCGGCTATTTATCATTGTACATGCTAAATCTGGTATTTCTATTCAATAAGTTTTGTCTTACACTTAGATGAGGGAGCCCTGGTAGCAATTGTCTTGAGTTCAGATCCACATTAAGTAGAATTTTTTTTTTTTTAAATAACTATTGTTTCCATTTCGACCCAGCCTCAAAGGCATAACAGGAAAAGTCCTGGGAAGAAAAGACAGCCAGCATGATTTTGACATGGCCTATCATGTGCTGACTGGTCTGTAAATATATGAGTCTGCCTGATGCGCCAGAAATGTTAAAATGGATCTTTATTTACTTACGCTTAGACGAGAGTAACCCATTTGCTGACATCTTTCCCGGTATGACATCCACAGCTGGGAACACTAGGGGCAGGCAACCACTATGCTGAGATTCAGGTGGTGGAGGAGATCTACGATGAGTTTGCAGCCAAGAAGATGGGCATTGAGTTCAAGGACCAGGTGTGTGTGATGATCCACAGCGGCAGTCGAGGACTGGGTCATCAAGTGGCTACAGGTAGAAGTTTGCTTTTTACTATACTATGGTGAATAAATAAATGAAAACTGACATTTTCATTTTCTGTTTCTTCTTATTCTTCTTCTTCTTGTTTTTCTTCAGTGTCTTTCTTGAATTAATGACAGTATCACTGTGTCTTTCTTGAGTTGATGATAGTATCACTGTGTCTTTCTTGAGTTAATGACAGTATCACTGTGTCTTTCTTGAGTTAATGACAGTATCACTGTGTCTTTCTTGAGTTAATGACAGTATCACTGTGTCTTTCTTGAGTTAATGACAGTATCACTGTGTCTTTCTTGAGTTAATGACAGTATCACAGTGTCTTTCTTGAGTTAATGACAGTATCACTGTGTCTTTCTTGAGTTAATGACAGTATCACTGTGTCTTTCTTGAGTTAATGACAGTATCACTGTGTCTTTCTTGAGTTAATGACAGTATCACTGTGTCTTTCTTGAGTTAATGACAGTATCACTGTGTCTTTCTTGAGTTAATGACAGTATCACAGTGTCTTTCTTGAGTTAATGACAGTATCACTGTGTCTTTCTTGAGTTAATGACAGTATCACTGTGTCTTTCTTGAGTTGATGACAGTATCACTGTGTCTTTCTTGAGTTAATGACAGTATCACTGTGTCTTTCTTGAGTTGATGACAGTATCACATTGTCTTTCTTGAGTTGATAAATCACTGTCTTTCTTGAGTTGATGACAATATCACTGTGTCTTTCCTGAGTTGATAAATCACTGTCTTTCTTGAGTTGATGACAGTATCACATTATCTTTGTGAGTTCATGATAGTATCACTGTGTCTTTCTTGAGTTAATGACAGTATCACTGTGTCTTTCTTGAGTTAATGACAGTATCACTGTGTCTTTCTTGAGTTAATGACAGTATCACAGTGTCTTTCTTGAGTTAATGACAGTATCACTGTGTCTTTCTTGAGTTGATGACAGTATCACGTTGTCTTTCTTGAGTTGATAAATCACTGTCTTTCTTGAGTTGATGGCGGTATCACTGTCTTTCTTGAGTTAATGACAGTATCACTGTGTCTTTCTTGAGTTGATGACAGTATCACATTGTCTTTCTTGAGTTGATAAATCACTGTCTTTCTTGAGTTGATGGCAGTATCACTGTCTTTCTTGAGTTGATGACAGTATCACTGTGTCTTTCTTGAGTTGATAAATCACTGTCTTTCTTGAGTTGATGACAATATCACTGTGTCTTTCCTGAGTTGATAAATCACTGTCTTTCTTGAGTTGATGACAGTATCACATTATCTTTGTGAGTTCATGATAGTATCACTGTGTCTTTCTTGAATTGATGACAGTGTTGTCATGTCTTTCTTGAATTGATGACAGTGTTGTCATGTCTTTCTTGAATTGATGACAGTGTTGTGATTTCTTTCTTGAATTGATGACAGTGTTGTGATTTCTTTCTTGAATTGATGACAGTGTTGTGATTTCTTTCTTGAATTGATAACAGTGTTGTCATGTCTTTCTTGAATTGATGACAGTGTTGTCATGTCTTTCTTGAATTGATGACAGTGTTGTGATGTCTTTCTAAACCTCTGATTTGTTGTCTTTCTGCAGATGCTCTGGTTGCCATGGAGAAAGCTATGAAGCGTGACCAAATAGAAGTCAACGACCGACAGCTTGCATGTGCCCACATACAGTCGCCCGAAGGACAGGAATACCTCAAGGGAATGGCTTCAGCTGCTAACTATGCCTGGGTCAACAGAACAAGCATGACCTTCTTAAGCAGACAGGTACTGCAACAGACACACATTATTGACTTTCAACATTTTGTTTTTGTGCAATAGAATCTTATGAGAACCAGTTTGTCTTTCTTCTTTTACCTCTTGAGTTGTCTTTCAACAGGCATTTGACATGTTGTGTTGTGGTTTACAGATAGACAGTGATATCTGCGCCTCGGTCCCAAAGACCTTCATTTTCAGCAAGCCCTTAAGTAGTCACATTTTGCAACATGTCTTTTAAGGAACTGTGAGCATACCCACTGTTATGTTTAGTAAATATATTCGTATCCTGGCCTCTTAAAAGCTATGCAAGTGAGAACATTACCAATTACATTAAACTATATTTGTCAGAGAGACATGTCACAACATGCTGGTTTCATTCATGGCCACTAAATTAATATGGATGTGCAAAGAAATGCCAGGTTTGGGGCTTCCCGAGGCGACAGAGTTAAAGTGATGATAATTTCTGCTCTACACCAAATACCTCTGACCTAACCATGACATAGAAGGATCATCTAACACACTCAAGTGCCAAGCAAACAAGCTGTTCCATAACATGCTATAAGTCAACATTTGTAGCCTCAGAAATGAAAGCTGATCACCAGAGACTTTGCTGTCTATTAACAGTAAAAAAAAATTTTGTAAGCTATTTTGTTTCTTTTGGTGGTGATTGCACCTCATATAAACTTTGTCTTATTTGATGCTGATTTTGTTTTTTCAGGCTTTTGCAAAGATGTTCCATTCCACACCAGACGACCTTGATATGCACGTCATCTATGATGTCTCTCACAATATAGCTAAGGTAGAGGAACACTTCGTCGACGGCAAGCAGAAGACATTGTTGGTACATCGGAAAGGTTCAACTCGGGCTTTTCCACCACACCATCCATTGATTCCTGTGGATTACCAGGTCAGTTGTTTCCTGTGCATTACCAGGTCAGTTGTTTCCTGTGCATTACTAGGACAGTTGTTTCCTGTGCATTACCAGGACAGTTGTTTCCTGTGCATTACCAGATCAGTTGCTTCCTGTGCATTACCAGGTCAGTTGTTTCCTGTGCATTACCAGGTCAGTTGTTTCCTGTGCATTAACAGATCAATTGTTTCCTGTGCATTACCAGGCCAGTTGTTTCCTGTGGATTACCAGGTCAGTTGTTTCCTGTGCACTACCAGGTCAGTTGTTTCCTGTGCATTACCAGGTCAGTTGTTTCCTGTGCATTACCAGGTCAGTTGATTCCTGTGCATTACCAGATCAGTTGTTTCCTGTGCATTACCAGGTCAGTTGTTTCCTGTGCATTACCAGGTCAATTGTTTCCTGTGCATTACCAGGTCAGTTGTTTCCTGTGCATTACCAGGTCAGTTGTTTCCTGTGCATTACCAGGTCAGTTGTTTCCTGTGCATTACCAGGTCAGTTGTTTCCTGTGCATTACCAGGTCAGTTGTTTCCTGTGCGTTACCATGTCAGTTGTTTTTTGTGCCATGGTTGAAAAAAGTTTGTTATTGCTATTTTTGCTCTAACTTTTGGTAACTGTATTCACTTTCATGAGGAGTCACAGTAGCTTCATGACCAGACACTCGTATTCTGGCCTAGAGTTCTTGGGTTCAAATCCATAATGAGTTAGATTTGTTTTCTGCAACTTCATATGTTTGAGACAACATTAAAGTCTTCTTCTTCGCGTTCACCGGCTGTAAATTCTGGCGGAAAGTTCTGGGTCTTTGTCCACGTCCGGACTTTAGAACATGAGTGTTGCATGCATATCTGTTTCACAGAAATGGCTTATTTGTATGCAGACTTGTGGTTCCTTGCCTCTCAGTGGACCATTCCCTCTTCTGTAAATGTTTCAGCATCTTCTTAACATTTCAGAGGGTGGGCTTTTTGTGTCATCATATCACCACAGTCATGTATAAGTGTTGCATTTCTATAGTATTGTGATGTCTGCCTTGGGTTAGAAAAGTATCCGGTGTGAATCCTAAAGGGCTGGAAATGCTCGCAAGAAAAATTATCTAATGATATCACTTGTTCTCCTGATCTCTAGGGTAGTGATATCACATACCTAGTCTTCACAGATAAGAGTAAAAAAACAAGTTATTTTGTATAAGTAAAAATATCCACAGCAGCTGGAAATCACAAAGAGTATACTGTAAGGGAGCTTCCCTTGCAAAATCATTCGAAACAAAACACATATCCACAGGTAGAATATGTTATCTTAGAAATAATTTGTCTAGAGAATTTGGGTTGAGCTCAATAAAAAATCCAGACACAGTACTTAGGACATTACCATAAGTGATCCATTCCTGGGTTCCACAGCTGGTTCAGAGTTCAAATTCTGGTGGTGCCATTGCAGTTTGCTTGTATGTCCATCTGATATTTTCCCTCAGTGTTGAATGTCGGCCGTATCCTCTGGTCACTCCCTGCTGAACCGCTTTTCATGCTGTGATGATGTATTCCTGCCTCTGCTTCTTTACTCTCTTTTTTTCCCCCTGTTTCTTCCTCTTTTCTTCTTCTTTTCTTTTCTGCTTTTTCGTCTTGTTGTTTTTATTGTTCCTTCTTCTTCTTTTCTGTCTTCAATTTCTTCATTCAGCTATATATATGTCTTTTTTTTTAATTTTTTTTTTATTGTGAATCCTCAGTTGACAGGCCAGCCTGTCCTCATTGGAGGTACGATGGGAACTTGTAGTTACGTGCTGACAGGCACTGACCAAGGGATGGTGGAGACATTTGGCACTACCTGCCACGGAGCTGTAAGTTTCTATACGGGATGTCCTAGTCTGTGGCAGTTACAGCATGCTAGTATGTGGCAGTGAGCACATGTTAGTTTGTGACAGTGAGTTCATGCTAGTTTGTGACAGTGAGTTCATGCTAGTTTGTGTCAGTGAGTTCATGTTAATAGCAGTGAGCACATGTTAGTTTGTGACAGTGAGTTCATGCTAGTCTGTGACAGTGAGTTCATGCTAGTTTGTGACAGTGAGTTCATGTTAATAGCAGTGAGTACATGTTAGTTTGTGACAGTGAGTTCATGCTAGTTTGTGACAGTGAGTTCATGTTAGTCTGTGACAGTGAGTTCATGCTAGTTTGTGACAGTGAGTTTATGCTAGTCTGTGACAGTGTGTTCATGCTAGTCTGTGACAGTGAGTTCATGCTAGTCTGTGACAGTGAGTTCATGTTAGTCTGTGACAGTGAGTTCATGCTAGTCTGTGACAGTGAGTTCATGCTAGTCTGTGACAGTGAGTTCATGTTAGTTTGTGACAGTGAGTTCTTGTTAGTTTGTGACAGTGAGTTCATGCTAGTCTGTGACAGTGAGTTCATGTTAGTATGTGACAGTGAGTTCATGTTAGTATGTGACATTGAGTTCATGTTAGTCTGTGACAGTGAGTTCATGCTAGTCTGTGACAGTGAGTTCATGTTAGTCTGTGACAGTGAGTTCATGCTAGTCTGTGACAGTGAGTTCATATTAGTCTCTGACAGTGAGTTCATGCTAGTCTGTGACAGTGAGCACATGTTAGTTTGTGACAGTGAGTTCGTTAAAAGTGGCTAAGTGTTTAGGTTAAAGTATTGTATGTGATTTCTATAAAAGTTGCTAAGTGTTTAGGTTAAAGTATTGTATGTGATTTCTATAAAAGTTGCTAAGTGTTTAGGTTAAAGTATTGTATGTGATTTCTGTAAAAGTTGCTGAGTGTTTAGGTTGAAGTATTGTATGTGGTTCACGTGAGGATTGTAGCAGATGTCCAGCGAAGGCCGACATGCTTTAGTATATAAACATTGTCTGTCTACAGGGGCGAGCCTTGTCTAGAGCCAAGTCCCGGAGAAACCTGGACTACACTGACGTTCTAGAAGCGCTGGAGCAGAAGGGGATCAGTATCAGAGTTGCCTCTCCCAAGCTAGTCATGGAAGAGGTAGGTTCAGTCTTCACGCCCCTGCTTTTGTTTCCAGGTTTGAATCAGATGACTGGATCGTCCTAGTATCTCTCTCTGTGTCTTCCCTCCCCCTTTCCCTCCCCTGTGTGACACATGTCACACAAAACACTCACAGCAGTTACATGAATCCACCCAAAAAATGAATAAAATTCCATACAGGATAAGGGAAATCATCAGTAAACAATAATGCAGCAGAGAATTTAATGGATCATAGGTTTGTGAGTCTAAACTAATTGTTACAGTGATTCATTAATTACTCACTGACCCAGTTGTTGGTTAACACTATGACCAGTGGGAAAATGTTGACATTGTTATTGCTATTAATAAAGCCATTTCCTAGGAAAAACCCCTCCAAATGCTGTTTTTAGTAACTAATTCCTGTTCCTGCAAAGCAAGTACACAGGCACAAGCTATAGGTGTTGTAAGCTAGGTGTCTCCTAAACAGGCCATTATAGCCATGTCTGTACAGGGACCCTGTCATTGAATCGGTCCCAACTGGAGGTATCAGTCTTGCAGCTTCTCTGGGCAGCAGGGTCAAGGACAGTAGGTATGTGACTAGCTACCTTGTCATGCTGGCAACTTCAGCTACAAAATCCAGCCAATCATCAACAAAATTCCTTCAGATTATTTCGTTTGAGTTAGTTGAGGGCCAATGATCCTTTGGGCGATGATAGATGGAAGAAGTTGTTAATGCTGTTTTAAATCTTTTGCCTTTCTTATCTTTAACAGGCACCAGAATCTTACAAGAATGTTACAGATGTTGTGGACACATGTAAGTTCTGTTAGTCATTCTTTAGGTTTTCCCATGTTGGTTCCGTGGCTTTATAGGGGGGGGGGGGGGGGGGGTGTCTGTGACTAGTTTGGGTTTTTTCCTTTACAGTCAGAGTGCATCTGCCTGATTTGCAAGGAACCAGCAGTCTGCATACAATCACCCCAGATCTGTAAACAGATGTTCACGCAAAACTCAAGTTCTGAAAAAGACCAAAAGTCCAGGAACGGGTGAACAACCAGAATTTTCAGCTGGAGTTTACAGCTGGTGAAGCTAAGGAGAAGAAGATATCTTAAGCTTGTCATCAGCATTGTTTCACTGAACAGAATCTGTGGCGTGAGCTTCTTTGTGTATACTTCTACAGTATTTTATAAGAAGCGAAGGAACTGAAACATTGATACAGCTGAGTATCACAAAATGTCTCGTTGTCTATCTATATTCTCTTCATTTTGATGTTGACACATAAGGCATTCAGAAGTGTTCTCTGTTGCTACTGGTCTGCTACTTTTTTGTTTAGGGTATCCCATATTGGTTTGCATTCCTTCATTTCATTTTCTTCTTTCTCCAGGTTTCATTAGTTCGCCCATGTTCTCCTTTTACCATCTGCTGTCCTTGCCAAAGTGTCACAACGCTGACTAATAATATTTCTCAAATACTGTTGGTGTATTATTTGAGTTTTGTCTTCAAAGTCCCCTTGACATCCTTATATTGTCAAGCATTACCAGTACACAGTTTGTCTATTCCAGATGTATAATATAGATGTTGCGTCATTTCACAATTCCCAACTGGAGTAACTTTACTTAGGAAGTATATAAGTTTTTTCACCTCTTCTTATTCTTTGCAATAAGTTGAGTAGAAAAAAATGAGCTACTGGTAACTACCTCGGGAAATTTAACAATGTTCTTATATTCAAAGCAGTTTTTTCCCATTGTACATTTAAATAATGTATACAATTTGTACATGACGAGATACAGCGAAAAATCCAGGTAACAGCAGAAAAACAGAAGTAATGGTAATTACAAAGAAAACTGACCTTCCAAAAAAGCAACATCAAAGTAAATGGGACAAATCTCAAGCAAGTTGATATGTTTAAGTACTTGGGTTCCCTGATAACATCAGATGGAGGATGTATTAAAGAAGGTAAATGTCCAGTAGCTCAAGTATTGGCAGCATTTTACAAAATGAACATTTTATGCAATCTTTCTTTGTCAGTTGAGACGAGAAAGAGAATTCCAAAAAGTTATATAAATCCTATCTTGTTATACGGAAGCGAATCATGGACAGTCGGTAGATTAGTGAACAATTATTTGGAAGCTGCGAAGATGTGGTTTTATAGATGAATGATGAGAATATCCTGGTCAGATAAAAAGATTAATTAAGATGTTTTAAAAGAAACAGACTCTCGAAGAGACAATTGATATTCTTTGATCATGTGATGAGAAGGAGAAAATTGGAGTACATCGTGACAGTCAGAGGTAGATGGAGACCAAGAGAAAAGAGGCTGGGAAGTTGAACATCATGGCATAGTGGATCATCTGTACCAGAGCTGATTGGAAGTACACGAGACAAGGTTGTGGATGGACATGACTACCAATGCCACACAGCACGGACTTTAAAAAGAAGATTCTTTGTATCCACATCATTTAAATGTTCTTACAGTTACCTCACTAAACTGTCAGAATACTATTTAATCCTCGGTAAGCTTACACTGTTCCACTGATAACTGCCTCAGTAAATGTAACTGTAATACTGGTAATTACCTCGGTAGACAAACACTGTGCTGCTTATAGTTAACCTCAGCAAACAAATGTATTACTGATAACTACCTGCCTGTGTTGATTTATGTTGTTATTGATAAATATCTGCTCCATGCAGCAGTACTGATTATTTGAGTTAAATATTCTAAGATTAGCATTACGTTTTCTTTTGACTTGTTTTTTTTCCTAGTGCCAATAACTTTAGTCACTTAATATAATATTAAAGTACAGCCGAAACTTAAAAAAAACAGCAATTCCTTTAACCTTTTGCCTTTGTTGGTTTTCAGGTCATGCTGCAGGTATCAGTAAGAAGTGTATTAAACTGCGGCCAATTGCTGTCATCAAGGGTTGAGATCATTGATGGTGTAAACATGTGCTGTCAGCGAAATGATAAAGGAATTGTCTCCACAAAGCTGCTCATTTATGTTACATAAAAACGTTATGTTTCTGTTATATTTATGTAACAAATCTTAGTCTTCACCATGTTGTTGTGTCATTGTTGGTGAATAAAGGGCAGAGATGGTCAGTGCTATGTTGACTGCCTTGACCTTTGTGGTTTAATCTCTGATTGACCATTAACATAATGTAACCCTTGACCTGTTAAGGTCGTGGAGGGTTATCAGTGAAAGCACTAACACCCAAAATCTGCAATCTTTCTCTATCTTCCACTTGTTGAACAAGTTTAATTTAGTTCTGTCCATTTCTTGATGTTGTTATTCCAGATTCTTCTTTGCCCCTTTCCTCTTCCTTTCTTTGCAATCGAGTCATGTCTCACCATGTCCCTGAACCAAACCAGCTCGCTACGTTTCACCACTGCCAAAAGTGGCTCCTGATGTCCTGCAAATTTGCTTAATTTGTCCCTTACATATTTGTTAGTTAAATAAGAGACTTGACTGTTACTCTAGTGCAGTGGCTCCCAACATTCCTAATGCCACAACCCTCTAATACAGTTCCTCATGTTGTGGCAACCCTCTAATACAGTTCCTCATGTTGTGGCAACCCTCTAATACAGTTCCTCATGTTGTGGCAACCCTCTAATACAGTTCCTCATGTTGTGGCAACCTCTAATACAGTTCCTCATGTTGTGGCAACCCTCTAATACAGTTCCTCATGTTGTGGCAACCCTCTAATACAGTTCCTCATGTTGTGGCAACCCTCTAATACAGTTCCTCATGTTGTGGCAACCCTCTAATACAGTTCCTCATGTTGTGGCAACCCTCTAATACAGTTCCTCATGTTGTGGCAACCCTCTAATACAGTTCCTCATGTTGTGGCAACCCTCTAATACAGTTCCTCATGTTGTGGCAACCCTCTAATACAGTTCCTCATGTTGTGGCAACCCCCAACCATACAATTATTTTTGTTGCTACTTCATAACTTCAGTGAATATATGTTTTCCTATGGTCTTTGGCGACTCCTGTGAAAGGGTCATTAGATCCAAAAAAAGGGTCGTGACCCACAGGTTGAGAAATGCTACTCTTGTGACTGGTAAAGCCCTGGTTTTTTACAGGCTATAGTGAGTGCCCTGTCCACCCTACCATCAACCTTTCCTGTTGTAAATCTTGTTGTCCCTGATTTGTTAATTAGTCAGGCCAGGATGCTTGTGCTGGACAATGCTTGTTTTGTATTTATTTTCCTGAGTTTACTCTGTGTGAGTATTGGTGATATCTGATTAATTACCTGGCTTACCTCATTACATCTGTTTCCACCATATTGCCATGGATATTGCAACTGGCATTAAAGTGTTCAGTACCTTACAAATCGTCATTGATGTTCTTGAGTTAAGTTGAGTCAGGAACCAACATCATTCGGGACTCCCCATAAATGCTTTGTCCTTATCTTCAGCAGCCATCGAAGAGTTTCATTCTGATGGTATCAGTAGATGTTTTTGTCGTACTATTCTTTTTAAAGGTTCTATTTCCATCTGCTGAGGCATATTGGGTAAACAGACCAATCTGCATTTGATGTATGATGTAATTTAGACAACAGTTAAAAGTTTAAGATAAGGAAGATGTGGAAGGAGCTGTATGAGATGGCAAGGAATAGGATGGCTTGCTATTAGTTGGTTTAGAGCCTATGCTTCAGCTGGAGATAAAGGCCAAAGAATTAGATCACTTGACATTAGCTGGTTTAGAGCCTATGCTTCAGCTGGGGATAAAGGCCAAAGAATTAGATCACTTGACATTAGCTGGTTTAGAGCCTATGCTTCAGCTGGGGATAAAGGGCATCAAAAGGGGGTGAATCACTGGACAGCAGGTACATTATAACTTCTACACTGTTGAACCGGGTTTCTGGGATCTGAACCTGTTTGATTCTCATCCTTGAGATGTTAATCCTACATAATGCAATCTGGCATCACAATAGTTATACAAAAGAAAGATGGTTCACGGATTTTTAAAAAGGGTACAGGTTTCACACATGGCAAGAGGTTTGGACATCTCTTCATAATGCAGCCTACCCACATACAGGCCAGTGTTCCATAGATCACCTTGCCCGCCCATCCAGCTCTTTCTTGACTTCAAAAAGGGGGAGCTGAGTTCTACAAGTCTCCATAGGTCAGATGAAGTCTCTACATCAACAACCCAACAGGTCATCATCATTTGATCTGCCAATAAGCGTCGACTGTTATGTTTCCCATCTCATGTGACTACCAGAATAACAGATCAGGTCAGAGGTCTAGTCTCGCCCATCAATTGGGCTTAACCATCCAGGTATTTATCTCTTTGCCTTCCCCTTGCTCTCATTCTGTTAATCTTGCCAGTCATTACTTACCAAGTTATTGAGTCCATTCCTTCACATAACATGTCTGGAAAAACACTGATTGTTTAGTCTCATTTTACTTATCAGTATACAAGTCTCTAGTATGACTGTCTCAGTTTGCCTATCATTCCCTGATATACCTTGCTTTCTTCTCAAAAGTCACATCTCGGCTTTGAGTGAATGTTTTCAGCTAAAACAGCAAAAATCCTGTTTCAGGTCTCAAATGACAGTTGATCATTGCATCATTCTTTAAGGCTCCACCTCACAGTCTCACAAAGGCTTTACATGAACCCGCCATCATCTTCTTCTTCTGTGTTTGTACTTAAAAGGGCAGCTGATACATTGTGTTGTGGTTTACAGCTAGGCTGTGATATCTGTATCTTTTGGCCCAACACATCCGATTTCAGGAAACTCCTAATTAGCTGTCTTGTAGAACTTGCTTTTGTTTTCGGAAACGGAGTGTGTTTGATTTCACTCAAAATAGGGCCCTGGAGCTCACAATCGGGATGCAACCATAAAAGAGCAACATAAATAAACACAACAAACCGATGTAACCATACAACAGCAACATAATATGAACACAACTAACCAATGTAACGGTGGTAAGACTCCCACAAAATGGAAATTTAACTTACAAGTTTAATTATTAATTACAACTGGAAAAAAAAAGCAGTCAGCTGTAAAATTATTTTGCCCAATAAATAATACAGATGGGCTAACAAAGGTATTAAAAAAAGTAACACAGTAGGTAATTCAAGGGAGGACCTACAGCTGTTTCTGTAACTCAACAGTAGTTACCCTGTAAATGTGTGGTTATCATGAAGATCTCAGGTTGCTGCTTCTGTGTTTGTTCTAAAAAAAAGGCGCCTGGCACATTGTGTAGTGGTTTGCAGCTAGGCTACGATATCTGCCCCTTTCGACCCAACACATTTAATTTCAGCAAGTCTTTAATTAGTCATCTTTGACACTGTGCATGTTAAGGGGGCAAGGGGGTCTATTCTTTGATTGCCCCAGAACCCCCATGGGTAGTCTCCAGTGTGACGGCAGCAGCCACAGCAAATCTGTTAGCTTAATTCTGAAATTTACTTCTTGACTTTTAAAGCAGCATGTTGTACAAACATACTTCATTATTCTGAAACTGAGAAATCTTCTTCTTTAGAAGTACAGGATTCTAGATAAACCATTCAGTGCTGACTGGCTGATACAAATTATGCACAATGCATAAAGGGAGCCATTGCTTACTGTATGCTGTCCCCTTGTGGGATGCAATTTTTCTTTATTTGAAGCCCTCACCCTGGCTTTTGCCGGGAGCCCTAAATATAGCCGGTGCATAGATATGGCCTAACTAACGGCTGAATGAGGTTTCTGGGACCTCTCCACGGGTGATCCTCATCCGCATGGTGGCATTTTGTGTCACCGGGTGTTTATCACTCTGTGTGATGTCCTGGTGGGATACAACTTACATCCATACATACAGTATGAGAACATTTCAGCATTTCTAAATCTGACTGAATTTTTGTTTTTTAAACTGCTGATCCTCCCATTCTCCAATCAAAGTAAAATATAAAAAAAAAAGCCTCTTAAGGAAAATACTGCTACAATAATCTGGATCAAGTACTGAGCAAACTAAACAGTTGATTCCTTTATAGTAATCAATGTACTGGAATGGAACAACTTGCAACTACTTCCTACATTTACAACATGGAGAAAACCTGTGGGGCAAACATATACAAAGATGCACATGCCTCTAAAATATTTAGGATGTTTCAATTGTAGTCGGTTGACAAAAAAAAAAAGGAATGCCAAATATTAATTTATATTTTCATCGGCTCTAATGGCCTGCTCAAGAAGATGGAGCTTGGCTAAGTGGAGTCTCGGAGGCAGTCGCAGCTGACAAGGATAGTTTCATTTTCATGCCAGGATATGCAGGTGTAAAAAGCAATGAGCAAGCTGATTGGCTTGAGGGTATGGCTGCTGTAGAGAGTGGATGACCAGGCTGATATACTGAATGCTCCTGGAGAAGTCTGTGAGAATCGAGTGATGACTGTGAATATGTATTCATGACCAGACTGCAAGAACAGCAAGTGAGGCCGAACAAGAGCACGATGCAGGTTGCCAAAGAACAACAATAAACCAACACAAAGGTGCTGCTAGTGGCCACACACTGAGGAGGGCACCCAAGCACTCAGGGACTGAATGGTTTGATGTGCAATGTGGATGATCTGTCCACTAACTAAATAAGAGCCTTTTTCAAACAAAAAGTCTACCAAAGTTCTCAGAATAATGAATAAATGGCAAAGTGCACATCTAAGAGACACTTTCACAGAAATACAAAAGAGGTAACAAGGTGTTGAAAATTTTAAAAAATACTAGAATTTTACAAAGCAAAGACAGCCAGGAAAATATAATAATAAAGAAACTGTTGTCTCACCTGACAGCAACAACAGTTATTTATCACAATTTGTCTTCTTCTGCCTTTAACAAGGTAGTTGGCATGTTGCTGTGGTTTACAGCTAGGTGCTAGCTATTTGCACCTTATAGCCCAACACATCCGATGTCACTAAACCCCTTATTATTCATCTGTTATAACATACTTCTTCGGGGAAAGGGGGTCTATTCCTTTTCCCCCAAAGTTGGGGACCAGGGCCCGCAAGGGGCTGCCCCAGAATTATAGAAACAATGAAACTTACTGCTCATTATTGTCATCACTGTCTTTGATGGTTACACCATCAACCAAATTCTCCAGATGATCCTATCAGCTATATCTGCAGTTATGTTTACTTCTATATAGTTTGAAACTGTTTTTTCAGCGATCACTGTTTACTCTGCCTATAATCCAACATAGGTCATGAGCATGGCAGCGCACCTGATATCTTCATCTGTCATCTTGCAGTCAAACCAGATGTCTTCTATATCTGACCAGTCCTCAACAGTTTTGTAGGATGTGCTCTGGAATTAGCTTTGATACCTCACGCCTGCAAGTGGCATAGCTTCTGAGGCCAAACTGATGAAACTGTGGTCTGGATCCACAAGTCTGACTTCAAACTGCCAGTAAATTTGGGGGGAAAGCCCCATTATAAAATGCAGACTCTAATTATGGGGATACAGAGTGGAGTTAAACACCTCGAGATATATTCTTGTATTCCCACTGATGTGTCTGTCCAAGTTTCATGTTCTCATGTCAAACATCTCGAGCTGTATTCTTGTATTCCCATTCCTAAATGACTGATACATACATACATATATATATATCCCCCACACCACCTACAGATGTTGATTATAAACCTCATAATACACATCATACCTACAGATGATAATTGTAACCCCCATATATGCCATCCCACATAGCCATACATTAAAAACATCATACTATAACCTACTTAAAGTGATTCATTATAAAGGTCATATTACTTAAAGTGATTCATTGTTAACCTCAAATACACATCCCACCTAAAATTATTCATTATAAATGATACATTACATCTGATTTAAAGTAATTCATTGTTAACCTCAAATACACATCCCACCTAAAGTTATTCATTGTAAACCTCATATTACACATGACTTAAAGTGATTCATTGTTAACCTCATATTTAATCTGACAAAGTTATTCATTGTAAACCTCATATTACATCTGATCTAAAGTGATTCATTGTTAACCTCAAATACACATCCCACCTAAAGTTGTTCATTGTAAACCTCATATTACACATGACTTAAAGTGATTCATTGTTAACCTCATATTTAATCTGACAAAGTTATTCATTGTAAACCTCATATTACACCTGATTTAAAGTGATTCATTGTTAACCTCAAATACACATCCCACCTAAAGTTATTCATTGTAAACCTCATATTACACATGACTTAAAGTGATTCATTGTTAACCTCAAATGCACATCCCACCTAAAGTTATTCATTGTAAACCTCATATTACACATGACTTAAAGTGATTCATTGTTAACCTCATATTTAATCTGACAAAGTTATTCATTGTAAACCTCATATTACACATGACTTAAAGTGATTCATTGTTAACCTCAAATACACATCCCACCTAAAGTTATTCATTGTAAACCTCATTTTTTTTTTAAGTAAAGGTCCCTTTTCCAGGCCTTTAGGCATATAGGGCATATAAGGCTAGACCTTTATTTTTATTGACTAATCAGCACAAGATGGGTGATGTGTCAGCATCCCGCCGGCCGTCTCTACTTCCCAGGACTGCACCCGGTACCCACTCAAGACTGGGTCGACCTGGGAGCCAAGGTCATTTTTGAGAAAAGTCCAGCTCCACTAGGGAGTGAACCCACGACCTTCCGATCTGCGGCGAGTGTCTAACCGCTCCGCCACGGGGACCCCCAAACTTCATATTACTTCCCACCTAAACCTCATTAAACACTACACTGTATTAAAACTTACTCTTAATAACATCCCACATATTTATTAAACACTTTAGATAAAGGAAACCCCATAGTAAATTCTGCTGTCAAAGTGTGAAGTCTTGGGCTGTTACATATTCTAGGTCACAATCTGAGGCTGGGTGACCAAATGCCTCCCTCAATGCCCCTCCTTCCAAAGTCAAGTCCCACAAAAATTTAACCTCCCCTTCAACCTGTTCCAAACTTTATGCCAAGAGGACACTAACCAAATGTTGATTATATTTATGTAAAATGTCACTCAAATGTTGATTATAGATGTCCAACAAAGAAAACATCTTCATCATTTAACATTCTAGAAGAGCTTCTGGCTGAACAGTTAGAACCACTCGGTTCTCATATGTGAGACCCAAGTTCGATCCTCTCCTCTGTAATGAACAAATTGTTTTTTTTTAAGTGCGTGGAAAAGGGGGTGGGGGGGGCGCAATAAAAATCCTACCCTGCACAGTTTCTGAAAACTGCATTAACTAGGCAGCCATAAATCTTGAGACTCCTGACACCCTGTCTTTTCCCGCCCTAAAAGTGGTAAATATAAACAGTACAAATTTTTTTTATAACATTTATGAAATAAAATGTATATGGGCTTGCTTAAGAAAAATGTAACTGGAATTATGGAATTATATCTGCAAAGTCACACATGCAAAACTGTTTTCAAATAAATACAGTGAAGAAACTAAACTATTCACACAAGCAACAACAAAACTATCCGCAAGAAAGTCTGGAGTTGGGGCATGTGTCATCTGGTTTGGCTGAGCAATGGAATCAGTTCTGATCACTTGTCTGTCATCTGCGCCTCAAACAAATCCAGAATCCGTTTGATTTCTTTGCTGTGAGCTCATTAAGGAAAACACTTAAGACAACAAAGAAATGTTAAAGTCAAAGACCCTTTCTGTGCTGGTGGCACATCCTGTATATTATGCTAGACTCTTTATAGACCAATCAGCACTCGTTGCGTGAAGTGGCATACATCACATTGGCATTCTTCACTTCCCAGGTCGGAACATTACCTGGTATACAGACACTACTCTCCAGCCTAGGCAACCGGTGCCAGGTAACTATGTCAGCAGCATCATCATCATCATGTAGAAGGTCCTCCACTGTTGAGTGCTGAACTCACTTTGCTATTCAAGTGTACCAGAGGTCAGAGGCACGATCGCCTAAGCCAGTCATCAAAGCGCTAAATGATGATGATGATGACAGAGACGAGTGCAAAAGGTTCAGGCTACACAAAAAGTGGCTCTCATCACTGTCTGCCTAAAACATTCTCGGCCCTAGCTGCCTCTCCCACCTCATAGACTGTCCTGCCCAAGGTTTATCTTATGTCCTGTGCCCACTTCTTTGCTGGTCAGCCACTGCCTCTCTTTCCTGATAACATGTCCTCCACTACAGTTTTGTTTGTTCTAATCCACTGCGACCATTGATTTGGCAAATATATTTTAGTTTCTAAGACACAATGGTGTTTATAAGACAATTTTTCTCTTATGTTCAGATCTTTTAGAATGGCAGTGTTTATTTTCTTCATTGTCCTTGGTATTATAAGAACTTTTATGTAGCATTTCAGCTCAAAAGCCCCAATTTTCTTCCTTAAAGGTTGTGACAAAGTCCAGACTCATATCCGTAGTCGTGTTAACAATAGGGCTTGTGTTAACATTGGGTCTAACACAAAGACCAAGGTTAACACATATGTAGAACCAATGTTAACAATGTGGTCGTGGTTAACACTATAGTTCATGTTTTAACACTGTCAACATCTGAATCAAGCTGGAGAGTGAAACAGTTATTTCAAAAGTGATAATTCTGTTTTCACCAACAAAGACAACTACTTCATCAGCAGTATTTAGGGACAGACAGACAGAACGGCTATCCTCTGAATAATGGCCACATATTATGGCGGCCCAAAAAACACCCTAACAGGGCCTCAGTCACATGTAAATTGCGGACTTACGGTGACTTAAATTGCGCTATTCCGGTGACTACCGCCACCGCTGAGAGTATCTCATTGGGGCTAAACTAGATGGCTGGGACTCATGAGCAGCAGCTTCTGCATCTCCTGCCTTTGCTCGTGAATCCCAGCCATCTAGTTTAGCCCCAATCCACGCGGCGTGGAAGATGCTCTCGGCGGTGGCGGTAGTCGCCGGAAGTGCGCAACTTATGTCGTCGGAAGTCCGCAATTTACATGTGATTGAGGCCCTGTTTTTGGCCGCCATAATATGTGGCCGTTATTTGGAGGATAGCCGACAGAACAAAGATAGACAGAAACCACTAACTTTAAAGCAAACATAAAAACTAAAAATAACATGATATAATCATTCATTCACTTCATGCCATACAGTAAAATCAAATCAACACGATAAATTCCATTGCAAATGTTGCTCCTGGGGTATCAGATTTTGTAAAAGCTTCTGCAAGAGATGTGGCATAAAATACATTGGTGAAACAAGTCTATGACTGGCTTATAGGTTCAGGCAATATCTTTCGGACAAACAGAACAGTATTCTGAAACCAGTACCGCCGCACTTCAACTCTCAGGATCACCAAGATGTCCTCAATATGGAAGTGACGGCCATAAAATCTAGCCACTACAGCGACAGAGTCTGCAAGTTTCTTGAGAATCGCTTTATTTTTACCTTGGGTACACAAACATCTAGGGGACTGAACTATCAACACAGTTTTATCTTCAATCCTCAAGATACGGTCCTTGGATTCTTGTGCTATTTATTCTTGGGTTGCACATGTCGTTTCATTCTACTGGCAAGATATCAATGTGGCTGCTTCAGCATATGTCAGTGATTTTGTTCGATTTATGTATGTGCTGATGAAGGCTATGTAGCTGTAATGTTCACTTTCCGTTTGTGTTCGTCACATTGTGAAGCTCGCTGATCTACTTTTTGTTCCATTTCATATCTTTCCATTTTATTACTGAGGAGTGGTACGATATGTGACTCATATTACTGAGGAGTGGGACTATATCTGACTCATATTGCTGAAGAATGGGACTATATCTGACTCATATGACTGAAGAGTGGGACTATATGACTGAAGAGTGCGACTATATCTGAAAATATGACTGAAGTGTGGGACTATATCTGATTCATATGACTGAAGAGTGGGACAATATCTGACCCATATGACTGAAGAATGGGACTATATCTGACTCATATGACTGAAGAATGGAACTATATCTGACTCATATGACTGAAGAGTGGGACTATATCTGACTCATATGACTGAAGAATGGGACTATATCTGACTCATATGACTGAAGAGTTGTACTTTACCTGACTCATTTGACTGAAGAATGGAACTATATCTGACTCATATGACTGAAGAGTGGGACTATATCTGACTCACATTACTGAAGAGTGGGATTATATCTGACTCATATTACTCAGGAGTGGGACTTTATCTGACTTATATTACTAAGGAATGACAAATGTTTCTGCCTATTTACCCCCTAGACATGGGGGGGGGGGGGGGGTCAAACCAGGTCAAGACTCCCAGGCTTTGACTTCTCCTGCTGTGCTTATCGGGCAAGACCAGACATGGTGACTGCAACACATATTTAGGTTGTGATGATCATCGCTAGTGTCTGATAGCAAACCAACAGCCTACCCACATGGGCCAGAGTAACAAACAGATGGTTGATTGGACAGATTGTTAGCAGGAGCTGCATGGGCAGATGCTAACTGGGCAAACTTGGCTTTAGGGACTTGCAAGTTCTCTCTCTCTCTCTCTCTCTCTCTCTCTCTCTCTCTCTCTCTCTCTCTCTCTCTCTCTCTCCTCTCCCTCTCTTTCTCTCTCTGTGTGCGTGCATGTGTGTATGTTAAAATTCCAGGCCCCTGAGCAGTGGGACTTTATAAGGCACTGGACCCCCTGGGTGGAAACAATAATAAACAAACTATATTTGATAAATGTGACTTACAATAATGAGACCTGTAAACATGAAAGGACAGACAAGAGATGGAAGAATACTGTGTCGCAGGACAGACAAGAGATGTAAGATTACTGTGTGGCAGGACAGACAAGAGATGGAAGATCACTGTGTGGCAGGACAGACAAGAGATGTAAGATTACTGTGTCGCAGGACAGACAAGAGATGTAAGATTACTGTGTGGCAGGACAGACAAGAGATGGAAGATTACTGTGTGGCAGGACAGACAAGAGATTGAAGATTACTGTGTGGCAGGACAGACAAGAGATGGAAGATTACTATGTGGCAGGACAGACAAGAGATGTAAGATTACTGTGTGGCAGGACAGACAAGAGATGGAAGATCACTGTGTGGCAGGACAGACAAGAGATGGAAGATTACTGTGTGGCAGGACAGACAAGAGATGGAAGATTACTATGTGGCAGGACAGACAAGAGATGGAAGATTACTGTGTGGCAGGACAGACAAGAGATGGAAGATTATTGTGTGTCAGGACAGACAAGCATACAACATGAATAACTTCCATGAAAGGATACATCTGAACAGTTAGATGATCAACAGGTTTCATGGAGCTGTTGAGTTCTTCACACTTAGCCATCAGGGCATACATGGACTGCAACAATATTTGGTCTATATCAATAAGCATGAATAAACAGGCGGTACAGACAAACAGATATGCATGTAGATAGATAGGTAAATGGGTGGGCAGAAAGCTAGGTAAGTAGATCAGTATGAAGGTGGGTAGGTTGACAGATAGACATAGATAAACAGGTAGGTAGATAGCTAAGCAGACAGACACAGATAAACAGGTAGGTAGATAGCTAAGCAGACAGACATAGGTGGGTAGATAGCTAAGCAGACAGACATAGATAAACAGGTAGGTAGATAGCTAAGCAGACAGACACAGATAAACAGGTAGGTAGATAGCTAAGCAGACAGAAAATAGGTAGGTAGATAGCTAAGCAGACAGACACAGATAAACAGGTAGGTAGATAGCTAAGCAGACAGACATAGATAAACAGGTAGGTAGATAGCTAAGCAGACAGACACAGATAAACAGGTAGGTAGATAGCTAAGCAGACAGACACAGATAAACAGGTAGGTAGATAGCTAAGCAGACAGGCACAGATAAACAGGTAGGTAGATAGCTAAGCAGACAGACATAGATAAACATGTAGGTAGATAGCTAAGCAGACAGACACAGATAAACAGGTAGGTAGATAGCTAAGCAGACAGACACAGATAAACAGGTAGGTAGATAGCTAAGCAGACAGACACCGATAAACAGGTAGGTAGATAGCTAAGCAGACAGACATAGATAAACAGGTAGGTAGATAGCTAAGCAGACAGACATAGATAAACAGGTAGGTAGATAGCTAAGCAGACAGACATAGATAAACAGGTAGGTAGATAGCTAAGCAGACAGACACAGATAAACAGGTAGGTAGATAGCTAAGCAGACAGAAAATAGGTAGGTAGATAGCTAAGCAGACAGAAAATAGGTAGGTAAATAGCTAAGCAGACAGACATAGATAGACATAGATAAACAGGTAGGTAGATAGCTAAACAGACAGACATAGATAAACATGTAGGTAGATAGCTAAGCAGACAGACACAGATAAACAGGTAGGTAGATAGCTAAGCAGACACAGATAAACAGGTAGGTAGATAGCTAAGCAGACAGACACAGATAAACAGGTAGGTAGATAGCTAAGCAGACAGACATAGGTAGGTAGATAGCTAAGCAGACAGACATAGATAAACAGGTAGGTAGATAGCTAAGCAGACAGACACAGATAAACAGGTAGGTAGATAGCTAAGCAGACAGACACAGATAAACAGGTAGGTAGATAGCTAAGCAGACAGACACAGATAAACAGGTAGGTAGATAGCTAAGCAGACAGACATAGATAAACAGGTAGGTAGATAGCTAAGCAGACAGACACAGATAAACAGGTAGGTAGATAGCTAAGCAGACAGACACAGATAAACAGGTAGGTAGATAGCTAAGCAGACAGACACAGATAAACAGGTAGGTAGATAGCTAAGCAGACAGACATAGATAAACATGTAGGTAGATAGCTAAGCAGACAGACATAGATAAACAGGTAGGTAGATAGCTAAGCAGACAGACACAGATAAACAGGTAGGTAGATAGCTAAGCAGACAGACACCGATAAACAGGTAGGTAGATAGCTAAGCAGACAGACATAGATAAACAGGTAGGTAGATAGCTAAGCAGACACAGATAAACAGGTAGGTAGATAGCTAAGCAGACACAGATAAACAGGTAGGTAGATAGCTAAGCAGACAGACACAGATAAACAGGTAGGTAGATAGCTAAGCAGACAGAAAATAGATAGGTAGATAGCTAAGCAGACAGACATAGATAAACAGGTAGGTAGATAGCTAAGCAGACAGACATAGATAAACAGGTAGGTAGATAGCTAAACAGACAGACACAGATAAACAGGTAGGTAGATAGCTAAGCAGACAGACATAGATAAACAGGTAGGTAGATAGCTAAGCAGACAGACACAGATAAACAGGTAGGTAGATAGCTAAGCAGACAGAAAATAGGTAGGTAAATAGCTAAGCAGACAGACATAGATAGACAGGTAGGTAGATAGCTAAGCAGACAGACATAGATAGACATAGATAAACAGGTAGGTAGATAGCTAAGCAGACAGACACAGATAAACAGGTAGGTAGATAGCTAAGCAGACAGAAAATAGGTAGGTAGATAGCTAAGCAGACAGAAAATAGGTAGGTAAATAGCTAAGCAGACAGACATAGATAAACAGGTAGGTAGATAGCTAAGCAGACAGACATAGATAGACATAGATAAACAGGTAGGTAGATAGCTAAGCAGACAGACATAGATAAACAGGTAGGTAGATAGCTAAGCAGACAGACATAGATAAACAGGTAGGTAGATAGCTAAGCAGACAGACATAGATAAACAGGTAGGTAGATAGCTAAGCAGACAGACATAGATAAACAGGTAGGTAGATAGCTAAGCAGACAGACATAGATAAACAGGTAGGTAGATAGCTAAGCAGACAGACACAGATAAACAAAAATAGATGATTAGGTGGGTTTCTTCTATATTTGAGATCAGCTATATTAAACATTCAGTCGTGTATATATTCAATATGTATTATCATCACCATCATGTGCCTTGTTTTTGTGTGTTAATAAAGACTTTGGTCACAAAGTTCACTTGCTATCTGTGAGTTTTTCCATTCACCTTTTGCATGTTTGTTGTGTGCCTAGTCACTGATCCGAAGTAGCCCAGATAATTCCGCAGTGTGACGAAGATCCTGCACATTTACACCCACCTAAACTGGCCTACAGCTTACATCGTAACGACCAGGTGCTCATGTGTGTGTTATATTATATGGCTAAAGGAGTTTCTGAGATTTTTTCCGGTCAGATATTTCAGAAAGCAATCCTAGGGAGGGGGGAACAATCATAAAGCTACTATTGCAGGATCTGCTATGAGATAATCCCAAAACAGATTCTTCTTCCTTTTATTCTTCGTTTGCCTGGTCTGAAACAGATCAGGACCAATCAGGACAATTCACTTCTTTCTGTCTACTGATATTATTATATCATGGATCATACCATGGATCAAGAAGAGGGAAAACATTGACATTCTAACGAGTTGAACATCAATGAGAACTGCCTCATAAACAGCATCCTGTCCCAAAAGTTGAAGTAGTTTGGCCACATCAAGAGTCATGGTGGCTTGGAAAAGAAGGTGTTGGAGGGTACAGTTTGTGGAAGGCGAGGCAGGGGTCGACCACCGCAAAGATGGATACAGGACATTGAAGATGAACTGGCACTGAAAGCACATGAGACCGAAAAGCTGGCTAGGGAAAGGGATACTTTCAAGAATGTCGTCGTATGACGCTCTGTAAAGGACTTGCTCATTGATGATATTACTAGAGTAGACAAAGAAGATGAGAAACACTGACATCTTGAAAAATCTGGACATCAAGGAAGATTGGCTAATAAACAGCATCCTTTCTCCGAAGCTGAAATATTTTGGTCACATCAAGCGCCACGACGGACTGGAAACAATTATAGCAGCAGGCATGGTACCAGGAAGGAGGGGCAGGGGCTGACCGACACGAAGATCGGCAAGAATATAAGTGACTCCTTGAGTATGAAAGTGCATGAGATGGGAGAACTGGCGAGAGGCCGAGTTTCTTTCAAGCAGACTGTGATGAGAGCGACGTTCTGCAAAGGACAAACAATTTCTAGAGGCCTCAGAGATGTGGTTTTACATAAGAATGCTTAGAATACCTTGGACAGCCAAAAAGAGCAACCAAGAGGTTTTGAAAGAGGCGGGAGCCCGAAGACAACTTATCACGGACATCAGAAGGAGACAGCCATCATTTTTCGGCCATATTATGAGAAGAGGGAAAATAGAACATGTTGTGACCACTGGAAAGATCTGTGGCAGGAGAGACAGAGGAAGACAAAGAGAGAAGATGCTTGACAGTCTTGTTGCATGGCATGGAGGTGTGTCGGCACACGAACTGATACATGCTGCAGGAGAAAGCAGATTATGGAGAGGTATGATCGCCCACGCCAGTCGGCAAGGCACCTGATGATGATGATGACATGACAGTATTCTTATGAACATTTATTTTTTTCGAGGGAAAAACCAATCAGTCAGCATTCTCAAACACTTTGCTAGTATCTTTATTAAATATGAACCAATATTACAAGAACCAAGAATTGAAACTGTGCTAACCTTGATACTGGCATCGACTGAGTCACATGTGATGTCCACCGATCGCTTGTAGGCATCCTGGCAGCCAATCGTGATGGCCGACATCTGCAAAGTTTTCAGGTCAATATCAATAAACAGGCCAGAGTATTTCTTTTAACGATTTTATTTGTAATTTTGGGAGCCATTGTAATTTTTGGAGCAAAGGACCACAAAAAAGCTCTTTGCCAAGTCATTTTGTGCTGAGCTATGAACTGACATCAAAGCACTTGAAACATTCCAAAAAGCACTTTATCCTTATGTTCAGCAGCTACCCGAAGATGGTACCAAGATCAGACAGACTGGCCGGCTCTGCACCACTTAGTGGTGAACTGATGTATGACAAGCTTGATATTGTGAGGGCACTTTGGGAGCAAGTGAACAGTGTGGAGGTATGGATGAATTATTAAGGTATGAGGAGAATGGCGCTGCGAGGAGTTACCAGGAGATGTGGCCGATGCTCAACACTCAGGGGAAGGGCAGGATTGGAATCAAAACTCTTCGCTTGCTGCTGAAGATGGGGACAGAGCGCTTATGGGAGTGTCCCGAGTGCTGTGATGTCGACCCTTAATTCAACATTTAACAGCCAGCAAAAGGTTTCAATTCTGATGCATGGTGTCGTAGAAGTCTGATTCTACGTCTGCGCCACCTTTTCTCTGAGTGACGAGCATCGACCTGGTACCATGGTCACTCTTGTCTGTACCATTCTCTCCAGACCCATTGTTCACTTGCTCCCAAAGAACCTTGACCACATCTACCTCAGCATGCATAAATAAACCACCCATTGGCGCAGAACCAGCCAGTCTGCAAGCCTGTTCATGTCACAACACATCGGCATGCCTCCGAGAAAATATTGAAAGAATGCTAACTACATGGGACCATTAAAGCAATGCTTGCCACACAGCACAGAGACCGCCTGTCTCCACCTTTATTTACATGCTCTGTGAGTGGTTTTAAATCATGACATGTGTGTGCAACTTGCCAAATCATTTGAAAACTTGTTCATATTTGACTACATTTTCAGCTAAAACTGTATATATAATTAGGTCTCAGACCAACCTTTCCCAATCACCTCTTATCTTCTTCTTCTTGACATTCGTCTGTGAACTATGGGGGACAGTTCTGGTTGTTCGTCCACTTCGGGACTTAATACTTGTTCCAGAACTCGAGTTTTGTAAGGACATCTGTTTTACAAATCTGGCTAATCTGTATGCAGACTGTTGGTTCCTGCCTGTCAGGCAGACTCCAAACAAAACAGTCACCTTTAACAATATGTTTGTTAGAGGAGCAATGGGTCCCTACCCCCACTCCAATGAGGCCCCAGAACCGACACGGGAAGTATGACACTCACAGTAGACTTCCTGTTCTGACTTTCAACATCAGGCTTTGAAGAGGCCCCGGGTGCCAGCTTTGGTACGTGCTGCATACAGTGTAGTATTTATGGCCTCAGATATTCCATCTATCCATCCCTTGCCTGGTCGACCTCTGGATCTGCTTCCATTATGTCTACATGAAGGGCTCTCTCTCTGTGCAGCATCTGATGGAAGTCTTGTCCTATGCCCTAACAATTTAATCTGTCGTCTCTTGATGTAGTTTAGTATGGTTTCCATCCCATCTTGTTCCCCAATATCATCATTTCTGATCCTGTCTGTTCTAGTTACATTAAGGATTCAACACAGAACTTTCATTTCTGTCAAGATTTTTCTTTTTTCCTTTGTTGTTTATATAAACTACAGTGTTATTTTTCAATATTTGATCATAACTATGGCAAGAAGGCTCCACCATTACTTTTGTCTTTCCATTATTCCGACAGAGGTCCATTTTATCACTTTCTACAACCATCGGAATCTATCAATTCCTGTAGTTCTTTCTGACTTGTTGCTATCAAGACGGTGTCATCAGCATTAGGCAAGTTGTTTAAGTTGTGACCATCAACCTAGTATATGCATGATAGATCTCATTATATATTCACTGTACAATGAAAACAAATCAGGTGATAGTACTTATCCTTGTCTTACTCCCCTCTTTATGCTCTTAAATGTTCCCAACTGATGTATGTTAAGGCATACATTTTATTTATAAATTTTTTTTTTCATTTTTGAGTGCTAACACAAAGCCACAGGCTGTAAATCTGTGGATATCCTGATTAAAAATACTAGTTCTGTGCATGTATGTATTTGCTGATGTTTTTAAGTTGTGGGTTTTTTTAAACCGTTTTATAGGGTTGAATGAGGTTTCTACAATTGTATCCTATTGTTTGCATCCTAATAATGGCTCTTTGAGTCACTAGTTGTCAGTTTTAGGCTGCAGCCCTGGAGGGGAAGACCTGTATGCTCTTGAAACTGGATCCTTATCAAAAATCTGATTCTTTACAACAGTGAGTACAAAAATTTACATGTTCTGTAAATATTACATCTTTGAGAATGAATTCTTACTTTATGAAGACTGTTTCGAATGTTGCCCATCATGAGATCCAGGCTGTCGGCAACTCTCCGAGCATGGTTCTCCAAATCTATCACAGCCAAAGCATCAATGGGGGGAATGTCATCTGGGCTTTGCTGGCACAAGCTACTGGGTGATCTTGACACACCAGATGAGGTGGCAAATGATGTAGAAGAGGAAGCAGAGGCAATACTGCGAACACTGGATCTGCGACTGCCATTACTGGAAGTGTCTGTTGAATACAACAGTGGCAAAGTTGTGGGAAAATGTTATTTATAATGTCAAAAACAACAGAGATGGATTTGTGACAAAACATTATTGTACAACAGTTAAATACAAAAGTGACAGATCTGTGACAAAACTTTTTTTTACAATTGTTAAATACAACAGAGATGGATTTGTAAGAAAACATTATAACAGTTAAATATAAGGGTGATGGATATGTAACAAAATATATGTATCATTTTCCAAATGATCCTTTTAAAATAATAAATGCACTGTATGATAGGAGATATGGTGGTATAGTGGTCAGTAAGCTTGCCTGACCAGACAGCAGTCCAGGTTCAATCCTGCAGGGGCAGAACTGTTTTCTTCTACCAGTATGGCCTGGAGTCTACCCTGTTTGATAAACATCAGTACCAGAAAATCTTCTTTTTTTTTTTTTTTTTGGTTTGTTCGAGTGACGTAACTGTGATGTGCCTGTTTACAGCAAAGTGATATTTGCATCTTTCGTTCAACACATCTGACTTCAACGAGCATTTATTGCTGTGGTTAACTTCCCCGATAATTTTGAGGGACATGGCAATGCATCTGTGGGGTATAAACACTAGTACCAGAAAATATTCTGGGAGGGAAAGGTGATCAACATGATATTATCCACACCCAGTGCTTTTTTTCTATGTGTCCTATAAGTTTTCCACACACAGGAAAAATACCTGTCTGGAAAATTTATTATGATGCGTGTCCTCCACAGCTAAAGAATTCATATAAGTACAGCTGCAGTTTGATCACATACCCAGACAACCACAGACGCACAAAGTATCAACCTACTGGTAAACTCTGTTCCAACTACACAGTGAAGATCCTCGGACTAGAGCAGGCTGCTGAAATGTTACACAACACCAGTTGAAATGTACCAAGTGGTCATTAATCTTCACTGATGAACTATCGGTGCTCCAAGCCTTCAAGAGTGGTAAGCTCCTTCACCTGAGATCTGAACTTGGCAAGGTGACTGCCCAAAAGTGTAATGTACTCTAGTGGGTGCCATCCTAATGTGGTATACAGAAAATGGAACCGCAGAAAAGAAAGGGGCAGAATGTGAACAGAAAGAGAATGCAGTAACATACTTTGAGAAGGAAAGAGTCATCCAGTCTATCAGAAGTACAGCCCATTAAGAAGGGAATACCGGCCCAAGTGAGTCAACACTGCACTCAAAGCTGTATGGAACTAAAAGGGAACTCCTAAAAACAGTCAAGTTTATCACTGAAATTAGATTCTCCTCCTTGTCAATGAGATCAAAGCCATCACCACCTTCGTACTTGAGCTTATGGACCTACAGACTTCATTTTTCTTCTGTGTTTTCCCTTAAAAAGACATTTGGCAGACTGTGTTGTTGCTTACAGCAAGGCTGTGATATCTTTGTCTTTCAGCCCAACACTTCTGATTTCAATAAACCCCCTAATTAGTTACATTTGACAACATACTAGTTAGAGAAATACCAATCTAATCTATTTGTTTCTGCAATCCCTGTCTGGGTTCCGGGGCCCTGATAGGGAAAACAAGAATAGACCCACTGCCTCCCCAAAAGCATGTTGTAAGAGTCGACTAACTGGGAGCTTTCTTCAAAGTTAGAGTGCATCTGCCTGAGAGACAAGGAACCAGAGGTCTGCATACAAATTAGTCAGATCTGTCAAACGGATGCACATGCAACACTCAAGTTCTGGAACAGGACTGCAGTCCAGAAGTGGATAACAACCAGAACTTTCCGCCTGAGTTTACAGCTGGGGAACGCAAAGAAAAAAGAATTTTCTGCAAAAATTAAGTCACAGAACCCACTAGAGGCACTCCATTCTATCCAGCTGCCAGATCCATAACGGTGATGAGCTGGCTAATCCAAGTACTCTCTATACTGGACGATTCGACAGTTAAGTTTAAACATCAACACTGTCAACAACTTACAGTCAACAACTTACATCCAACAACTTACAGTCAACAACTTACAGTCAACAACTTACAGTCAAACACTTACATCCAACAACTTACATCCAACAACTTACAGTCAACAACTTACAGTCAACAACTTACATCCAACAACTTACAGTCAACAACTTACAGTCAACAACTTACAGTCAACAACTTACAGTCAACAACTTACAGTCAACAACTTACAGTCAACAACTTACAGTCAACAACTTTCAGTCAACAACTTTCAGTCAACAACTTTCAGTCAACAACTTACAGTCAACAACTTACATCCAACAACTTACAGTCAACAACTTACAGTCAACAACTTACAGTCAACAACTTACAGTCAACAACTTACAGTCAACAACTTACAGTCAACAACTTACAGTCAACAACTTACAGTCAACTGTTGATTCCTCAGACGTATTAATGTGGTCAGCATTTGCTGGAACTTTCTTCTTGTTCAAAAAAACTTTTATATTCTGTAGTTTGTTCATTTCTCATATTCTGATTTTATTTGCTTGAGCAGATGTTATAAAACACCTCGAGTGGCTAGAGCCAAATGGTTAGAGCATTGGGAGACCTGGGTTTGATGATAAAGGATTCTGGAAACAACACCACAGTCAGATACAAAAGATAGAGAGCAAGAGGTCAACACTGATAAAATATCTGCGACTATGAACACCATCATGTAAGAATCAGAAACCACAATGTGCTTCTTATGGCTCTTGTATGTATGTGGATGTGTGTATTGGGTGCCTATGTGTGTGTAAGTGAGTGAATGGCTTTGCGTGTGTGTGTGTGTGCACACACGAGCGTGCGCATGCATCTTACCACCCATGCTTTTGTTTTTGATGTGATATTCATAATATGCATATTATTACATGAATATAACATGCTTTATTGATAAAATATAACTGCTGTATGAAAGATGGGTGTCTGGAAGGGCCGAATGTAAGAAGGGCCTGTGTGCCTAATTTGTGACCCTTTGAAAATCAAGTTTGTTTGTTGGTTCTTGTTAACCTGATACTGAAACAGCAGAAAAATAATCTTTTTACTTCACTTCTCACATAACAGCTAATGCCAATAGCAGTCACAATTTGGTTTATGTTAAGGCCTTACACTTCACACCATAATGATGGTCTAGTGGCAAGTAGCTTTACTTTCTCAGTACCTCTCTCTTCTGAACACTAGCAAAAACACATATGACTTCCACATTCACAGTTTCTACAGCTCAACAGAAATACAACAGAATAAAACATAACTGCCAAAGCTAAATATCTCTTCAGAGTCAGTAACTGCTGTTGCAGGCAAAAGCATAGAACACCCCATGCAATATCAACAACACACAGCTGAAGAGCCTAGAATATCTGACACAATAATAACACACACAAAATGAAATGAATGACCAATACACAATTTTAGAGCCCAGAATATCAAATGCAATACCATAATAGGGTTGCTCTTTGCCTTATCACTGCCAAGATCCAGTTCAAGTACCCTGATGTTTATTTAAGTTCAAAAGAACCAGTTTAATAAAACAAAGGCTAAGGCCAGAAAATACTATGACCCACTTGCAATGAGCAACTAACGGCTGATCTCTGACTATAAGGGACCCTATCCACACCTTCGGGTATATTGGGCATACTGTGCTAGATCCCTATTTTATAGACCAATTGGCACTCAGCAGGTGAAGTAGTCAATACTACGCCAGTCACCTTTATTTCCCATGGCTTACCAGGTACCCACTTAGGGTTGGGTCAACATGGGAGCCAAGGTGATTTTTGACAAACTCCAGCTCCAATTGGATTTGAATCCACAACCTAAAGATTCACAGGCAAGCATCTAGCCGCTACACCACAGCGGCTTCCAAAGAGAGCTGTGCATAGCTAATGAGCTGAAACTATATCTAGCTTAGAAAAGCTGTTAGTGTAACAAGAAAAGATGAAATTAAAAATGAAAGAAATCAGAAGACAAGAACTAAAACCAGTCATCCAGCTGATGCAAGACCAACATGTGATACAGACTGGCCATCTAAGGAGAATGCCCTGGCACCAACTGTCACAGAGAGTCACGCTAATGAAATATAATGGACACAGAGCAGGGAGAAGACTAAAGAGAAGATGGAATGTCAGCATCAAAAACAGCCTTAAAAAATAAAGACCAACTTATAACAGTGCACTGCAAAGAGCACACAGAGTATCCTTGCATAGATGTAGAGTTTTGAGGAAGTGAAGAAGCAGAAGAACCATAACTAGTGCACAGTAATGATGTGTGTACACCAAGCTGTGGTAATGTCAATGAATGCTGAGCTCCTTTGTCAAGGCCTGGTCTAATGTGTTGAATATATGGTGCCAGCCCTATATTTGTACAAGCCAGTGGTTTCCATTTGGTGGTCCATGCACACCTGGTGATCCATGCACACCTGGTGGTCCATGCACACCTGGTGGTCTATGCACACCTGGTGGTCCATGCACACCTGGTGGTCTATGCACACCTGGTGGTCCATGCACACCTGGTGGTCCATGCACACCTGGTGGTCCACTGAACAAATTTCATGAGTCCATGATATCATTTACAACATACAAAAAAACCTCAACTTAAGAATGCAATTTTTTTCTAATAACATTTCTAATGTTTATAAAAAATGTCTTCAGTATGACTATTACAAAGTACTGGGTCCCTGGCAGGCCTTTGGAAATAAGAGACACTGGGTTACCAGATAAGTCTCAGTTGTCTCAGTTCAATCTGCACTATTTTTGTTAAATCATGCAGTACTCAGGAACATAACAGACAAAGCATACGTATCTGCAAAGAATGATTCGGCATATAAATTCATATTTGCATCTCCCCGTGTGAGTTCCGGAGCCCTGTTACAGGAAAAACAAGAATAGACCCACTGCCTACCCAAAAGCATGTCGTAAGAGTCGACTAATTGGGAGCTTCCTTCAAAGTCGAAGTGCATCTGCCTGAACCAACAGTCTGCATACAAATTAGTCAGATCTGTCAAATGGATGCACACGCAACACTCAAGTTCTGGAACAGGACTGCAGTCCAGAAGTGGATGAACAACCAGAACTTTCGGCCAGAGTTAACAGCTAGTGAACGTGAAGAAGAACAAAGAAGAAGATAAATGCATCAGATTTCTCTTTGTGTAAAAAGAACCAAACCACTTTTAGCTGGTTAAAGGGAAGGAAGTCAGTAAACTTCTCAGGGTCCTGTGTGGGTATGTGTATGTGTTCATGATGATAGTAACTGAGTGACTAGCACATTAAGCAAATGCTAATTTACAGTAGACCAGAAGATAGCCACTGGAAAGCCATGACAGTAGATACGAGGATATTCATGAGAAACTCACTGAAACAGGGCTGACCGCTGAGGCAAGACAAAACAGGGCTGACCACTGAGGCAAGACAAAACAGGGCTGACCGCTGGGGCAAGACAAAACAGGGCTGACCGCTGGGGTAAGACAAAACAGGGCTGACCACTGGGGTGAGACAAAACAGGGCACCCCGCTAGGGTGAGACAAAACAGGGCTGACCACTAAGGCCAACCAAAACAGGGCTGACCACTGGGGCAAGACAAAACAGGGCTGACCACTGGGGCAAGACAAAACAGGGCTGACCGCTGGGGCGAGACAAAACAGGGCTGACCGCTGGGGCAAGATAAAACAGGGCTGACCATTGGGGTGAGACAAAACAGGGCTGACCACTGGGGCGAGACAAAACAGGGCTGACCGCTGGGGCGAGACAAAACAGGGCTGACCACTGAGGCGAGACAAAACAGGGCTGACCACTGGGGCGAGACAAAACAGGGCTGACCACTGGGGCAAGACAAAACAGGGCTGACCGCTGGGGCAAGACAAAACAGGGCTGACCACTGGGGCAAGACAAAACAGGGCTGACCGCTGGGGCAAGACAAAAAGACAAGTTAGCCATCTTGTCAGAAACTTGACCGGAGGACTCAAACAGAGAGAGACATAACTGTTGTTGACTGAAAGATTAACACTGCAGCTTAGTGAACAACAAATTTAGGAAGCAGTGATGGCATTTCTTAGAATCTGTTTATTAGCTTAGCAAGCTGTAGTGTGACAGCTTTATTTTGAGGTTTGAACAACGGATCAACATCATGGCACATGGGTGTTTGAGGTTTGAACAACGGATCAACATCATGGCACATGGGTGTTTGAGATTTGAACAACGGATCAACATCATGGCACATGTGTGTAACCCATAAATGCTCTGTCCTTCTTCTAACTCAAGTCTGAGTCCCCCTAAATTTAAACTATACGTAGTTGATTATTTCATAGAGGATTGTGCTACTTTCGCTAGGTTTTTATTAGTATCTAGTGCAGTGCCAGTACTAGTGGCTCATGACTGGTAGTCAGATAATCTGTCAAATACCGCCAGCGTGATTAAGATTATTCTTTGATAGCACTACTGAGATATTTTCTTAAACAGTGATAGTGTTACTGAGATATTACTGTGATCATTGACAGCATTATTGTATTGCTTGTGTAGAAAGCTGTCAGGTCCTTAAGAGTGAATCAGAAAAAAAGAAGAGAACAATGTCGTGGGTGCTGTACCAGGACAAGCCAACTCAGTGACCTGGTGAATCCAAGTGCACTCCTAGTGCCGTGTAGGGGCGCATCGACCGAGGTTTGCAGTGCTGGGGCTAAGGCCGGGGGCTTGTGTGAGAGAGTTGGCTCGCACCCGATAATGCTGGAGGAAACTGTAAGGCCAGGGTATGATGGTGATTTTAAATCACCCCGGCAGCTTGTTAGTAGTACTAACACCACTTTTGAAAAAACCTTACCACTATTTCTCTTCTTCAAGTTTAAAGGGTAGAGTTACAGAGCATTATAAGGATGAATTTTTTTATTTTTTTATTTGAGAGAACTCATTTTTTTTAAAGATTCTTATGCAATAAAAAGGTTAACATTGTGGTTGTAGTTTACAGCTAGGCTGCAATATCTGCAATTGTTGGCCCAACACATCTGGTTTCAACAAACTCCTAATTAGTCACCTTTTAAAACATGCTAATTACAGCGCTCTGCGTATTTCCCCCCCCCCCCCCCCTCAAAACCGAGTCCCTGAACCCACATACAGATTCTGATTCAATTACAAAAGGCGACTCACAAACACAACACAAACTTCTGGAAACAGTTCAGTCAATTTACCTGCGTGAGACATTGGGCTACTCTTCTTGATTTTCTCCACCAAATCATCTGCCACAAACTGAATCATGTCCCCTTTCCTGGTTATCGTCCCTTGGGGAAGGTTCTTGGGCAAGCAGATGTTAGATTCCACATGACTGACATCATCATCTTGCAAGCTTTCCAGATGGTCAGCTTCAGACAAGCTTTGGACTCTCATGTTTGGTTCATTATGGCGTTTGCTAACTGCATGTTTTTTACTTTTGAAGCTAGCGCTGGCATGTTCTTGTTCTACATCCTGACGAGAGCAAGAGAGTGAAAGACTTTCAGGTCTGGATACATTGTTGCATTCTGGGATGCCTTCATGATGGTCTGCCAAGGAGACAGAAGAAGTTTGCTCTGTTTGATTATCTGCATGAATCTTTCCTGAAATGTCAGAAGAGCTCTCATAGTTTTGTTTTGACTTCTGTTTATCCAAGGGTTTCGTACTATTCTTCTTCAAAGTCTGGGTTAGGGACAGCTTTCTGATGAATGATTGGTCTACCTCTGTCAGTAAGTCTTCCTTCAAGTGCTCCACCGAGTCTGAGCTTTCCAGGGAACTACCAGCCTCATGGGTCTCTGATTCAACATCACAGTAGCGAAGTGTTTTTTGCGAAGACAACGATATGTCAGGGGACGCATCCTCCAAGTCGCCATCTACAGCAGCATGAAGCTGCTCCTCATTTTTATTTCCACTACAACTTTTTATATGTCCATTGTTACAGTTACTAGTAGCCACAATGGGAACATTTTTGTCAATCATTTTCTGAACTCCTAGTTTGCTAATGTCAACTTTAGATGATTCACAATTTTCTAAAGTAGACATGGTTATCTTTACAAATTTGTGTGCATTTGCTTTCTCACCTTTACATATTCTTATGCTTGTGATAGTTACCTGAAACATTAAACAATAATATTAATAAAGATAATTTAAAAAAGGTTGGTGATTAAAATAAAAACACATTTTAAACAAAAAGTAGCTATTTAATATAATGCCTGTCATTTTTCGATGTACTTCATGAGAGGCATTTCTTCAGAGTTACATAAACACATAACAAATCACATAAAATGAATCTTCTCAACTGAAATACACAAATCACAAACTTCCCTAGTTAGTGTTTATTTCATGACCGAAAGTTTGAGACACCTCCATGGCTACGATGAAAGTTTGACATTTACCACATGCTCTTTTTGTTTGTTCAACATGGGACTGTTTAGTTTTATTGTCCACCATCTGGTCCATTACCCCAGGATCAGCCAAAACTACACCTTACCTTTTTATTTTATACATTATGGTAAAAATCCAAACAGGCAACACCATAAAATGAACTAGGTCTGTTTGAGCCAGACGTTGAACCCATAACCTCTGATCTATGTGGTCTCCTGATAATTTATACAGGTCTGGTACAATTTCACTCCCATCCTAGTCGTCGAAATGTCAGACAGTCCACGGCTGACCCCTTATCACACAGTCCATGGCTGATCCCTTATCACACAGTCCGTGGCTGATCCCTTATCACACAGTCCACGGCTGATCCCTTATCACACAGTCCACGGCTGATCCCTTATCACACAGTCCACGGCTGACCCCTTATCACACAGTCCATGGCTGATCCCTTATCACACAGTCCATGGCTGATCCCTTATCACACAGTCCATGGCTGACCCCTTATCACACAGTCCATGGCTGATCCCTTATCACACAGTCCACGGCTGATCCCTTATTACACAGTCCATGGCTGACCCCTTATCACACAGTCCATGGCTGACCCCTTATCACACAGTCCATGGCTGACCCCTTATCACACAGTCCATGGCTGATCCCTTATCACACAGTCCATGGCTGACCCCTTATCACAGAGTCCATGGCTGACCCCTTATCACACAGTCCATGGCTGACCCCTTATCACACAGTCCATGGCTGATCCCTTATCACACAGTCCATGGCTGATCCCTTATCACACAGTCCATGGCTGATCCCTTATCACACAGTCCTTGGCTGACCACTTATCACACAGTCCATGGCTGATCCCTTATCACACAGTCCATGGCTGATCCCTTATCACACAGTCCATGGCTGATCCCTTATCACACAGTCCATGGCTGATCCCTTATCACACAGTCCATGGCTGATCCCTTATCACACAGTCCATGGCCGATCCCTTATCACACATACTGTCATGTCCAAGTCATCTCCGATATTCTGTGCCATCTGTGAGGTGGTTGACCACCACTATTGTTTATGAACCATCCTCATTCCCTGTTGTGCCATGCCATTATACACCACATAGGGCTCATTGTTTATTCTTTAATTTGTTCTATCCTTTACAATTGTTTCAGTGTCTTAGACAGCAACTCAGGCATCTTTCATCAACATTCATCTTAGGGTGTTTTTCATCCAAAATAGGAGGATATGATTCTGGCTGGTACAGTCCTATTGTCAACCGAGCCTCATCAAATTGGTACCACTTTATTTTCAAAGAAGAAAAAAAGAGTGAGGAAGAGACCTGACCTTCTGACCCCATCATGTGATGACATACAGCAGGGCTATTCAACTAAGTTTATTCGTGGGCCAAAATGTTGAAAATGGGTATCGTCGCGGGCCAGTGGCCCGAACCAAGTGTGGGAAGATTATTAATACACTACAATTGCGGAAACTGTCAATGTGTAAATTTAATATACACAAAGACTGTTACCCCTAGGTCCTAGCCTATGGTAATACAAATGAAACAGTGTTGTAAACCATTATAATACAAAATGTACTACAATCTTTGGTAACGATTAAATAATACTCATTTTCAATTGAAATACACGTAATTCCAACTTGTTGTTTGAATTATAAATTAACGTCAGCATTGCCACTTCAACTGCACTGTCATAATAATAATAATAACTGTCCTGAGTTCGTTTCATATGGCTTTGTGCAGAAGAAACCGAAAGCTATAACGTGGCAAAATGTAATTATTGGGAAAATTTGCATTTCTGTTTTTGAGCTGATTTTATAAAATTTGGTGCAATTCTCATGCAATCCTGCAGCCTATCACTGCCCAGTGAGCTCCAACTGTTTGTCTTGATGTCTGCAGATTCGTCAATGGCAACTGACAAAAATTCTGCCTGCTTTATGATTTCAGCTAAAGATTAAAAAACTTCAGTTCCTAAAATTTTGATTCTGCACATCGTCAAAGTATCTGACATAGGGATTTGCCGAACTACACGTGCCATGCTTATTTTTATTTTATCATCAACTGCTATTTGGTCCAGAATTGCTAGTTTGCATTCTTCCACGGTTTCTGAGTCAGTCAAAGACTGCTTTGGGGGGGGGGGGGGGGGGTGGTGGTTAATATCCACCAAACATGCAAAGAAGCCGCTGTAGCTTTTTCTTGTTGAGTACAAGCTCGCAAAAGAATTCTGCTGCTATGCTGATAATTAGCAATCAACGACTCAACCTTTGATTTCCTAGCAGTGAAACCTTCTGGATATGACTTTCCCAAATCTTTATGTTTTGTTAAAAATGCAGCTTCATGTTGTACTCCTTTACTGCCGACACACATTCGTTGCATAGCAAGCACACTGGTTTCAAATTAGACATAGTTAGTAATATTAATAAATATTTAAGTGTCCAGTCATTGTTGAATGCATGATTTTAATACTCCAACTTTTCTCTCTTACTAGTACTAGCCATGGCATCAAGTATTTAATTTAATTTTTAAATTTAGATAACTTAAAACACTGTTACTGTTTCAGTTTGTTACTACACAATCGTGTCCGGCAGTCTACATCTGGCTGTGACTTGTGTGTTAAAAATCTGATAACAAGATCACTAGCAGGTGTTCTGCGGCATCCAGTGTCACTAATGTTTTGCAGCATTTATTGTCATTATTCTTTGTGTACTATTGGTCACCATTAAGGAGAGTTCCTCAGTAATCTAAGCGCTAACTATCTGGACCGGGCTGGTATTTTCATACTCCTCCTGTCCAATAATTATCTCACCTTTATTGACTGTCCAGTGGAGCGTTGCTACCTACCGGTTACTTGATTCTTTACAGTCTATCTTATTACCTTTGGCTCCAAACAAACAAGTTCTGCTATTTGAAGTAACTTTTTCCATGAATTAATTACATTTTCATGCCTGAGACATTCTCCCAGTTGTGCTATTATCTGTTCATATGCCCATTCGCTTGTATTTTCACATTTAGAGATCCCTGACAAACATTTCCTATTGTCATGTAACTGGTTTTATAAGATTTCTACAGAAACATTGATTGATTTTTTTTTATATATTTTTTTTTAAATACTTCATTTCAGTGGCAATGATCGGCGGGTCCCTCGCTAGGCCACCAGCTGAATAGCCCTGACCTACAGTATACAAAAGGCTAACACTTCACACCCCAATGGCATCATTTGCTAGAAACCTACTTAGCTTCTCTGTTTTTGCTATTACTTCAGCTAAGAATTGTTTTTAATAATTTAAAAGATGTGAGCAATGGATGCAACCAAGATTTCAACAAGAGCATTTACTAACATAACTGGTTTAGTTTTATTTCTGGACTCCATAAAATACAAATAAAATTGTCAGATCAAATGTACACACATACAGGTAACAAATGATCATACAAACTTTATTTTCAAAGTGTCAAAAATTGGGCACTCAGGCCTGTCTTACATTCGGCACTTCCAAACACTCATCTTTCACAAAGCAATTGTATTTTAATAATACAGCATGTTTTTTCATATAATAATATGCATAATATAAATAAAGGAAAAACATGAAAGCATGGATGCTAGACAGGTAAAGACAGTTAACAAGTAAAAAAGGATAGATTATATAACATCATTGATGGCCTATGCTCCAATGGGAGCTGCACAGCAGAACAAAACTATTATTTAATAAGTCGGCTCTCCTTTAAATAACAGTCGCTAGCTGGAAGGCGATGGCCGCTTAGTCGGCGTTCACTCCCCTGGCTGCAGTGCAATTACAGAGCGGACAAGTCACGAATCAAAAAACACAGTGAGGTCAACATGCCTGCTAGAGCTAGACCACGCACTGTGACTGACAGTAATGACCGCGGTCTTGCAACGCAAGACTCTCGTAGACCACGCGCTGCGACTCACATTAGCAACCGCGTTCTTCCGAAGCAAGACTTAGTGACCGTAGATGTGAGACCTGCAGAACTGTATGTCGTAATGAGCGATAAGCTTCCGTCGTTTCTGTGATGTGTCACCCTAACCCTACCCCAAACCCTAACCCTACACCAAACCCTAACCCTACCCTTAACTCTACCCCAAACCCTACCCCAAGCTCTAAGCCTAACCCTAAGATGACAGGTAACTATATCATTTGTTTCGTTCCCTCGTTACACCACTCCGTATTTGCACTGCAGCCAAGGGAGTTAACTCCGACTAAGCGACCGTCGCCTTCCAGCTAGCGACCGTTATTTAAAGGAGAGCCAATAAATCTTTTCCTTGGGTTTACCTCTACCTCCCCCAAAATATTACTAATATTATATATTATATTAATATTATTGGCTCTCCTTTGAATCAACCCCCAAAATGTGGCAGCATGCCACATTCTGGCCATAAAATATCCAAAAATATCAGAACGACGGTGTTTGTTTATATCTAAAATATGGATTTTTGTGCCAAGGAACAAATCGCGGCAAAACTAGGATTACTTGACAATCAATATAAACTTTTGCACACGGTAGTAGCAGACGATAAACACTGACCGTTGACAACAATTTCGAGCGTTTCTGCAGACGATACTAGAAGACGATATTAGTGACTGTTGACCAATTTTGAGACATTACAGACAATGAAAGCCGATTAGAAATACTGTGTTCTTCCAATTGGAGGATTTAGCAGCGGTAGATGTCAGACTTGTCGGCATGCGCAAAACGCGATTAAACTCATCGCCAAAAGTATCCTCAGCGCCGCTACGCTCGGCACGGATGGGGGGCTAAACTAGGTGCCTGGGACTCACGAGTACAGTAATTGGAGGAAGTTGCAAGAGATGCGGTAGCTGCGGCTCGTGAGTCCAGCCATCTAGTTTAGTCCCCATCCGCGCTGCGGGGGATACGCTCGGCGGGAAGGCACACTCGCAGAAGCAGGTCAGCAAGTAACGTATCGCCGAGACCCTGTCAGAGCATTTGTTTCGTTATCCGGAGCCGGCACATATATTTTTAATAGAACTGACCCGCATTGGGTTATTTTGGGATATTTTATGGCAAAAAATTTGCCAGTTTAGCTCTCTTTCGAACGCCATCATATTACAGCCGCCATTTTGGGGGTTCATTCAAAGGAGAGCCATATTATTAAATGGTTTTTAAAAAACGACACTAGCGACTACGGTGTTCGGCAATTGGCGGTCTTTTCGGCAATTTCCGTTACCCGGAAACCGTTCGCAACTTGTTTCGGGAAATCTCGGCTGGTTTCCGGATGGGTCCAAATCTCTCATGAAATTTTGCCATTGGTGGGAATTTGGACCAGCTATAAACAGCTGAAAACAGCAGGAGGGAACCCCATTAACAGCGCATGTCTACGACAGCCGGACGTCCTCTGTTTTTCTGTTAGTCATCAGTTTGATTAAAAATAGCGGTAAATTCGAGGTTGGCTTTAGGCTTTAACTGTTACTTGTCCTGGTAATGCTAGTTATAATTGAATTCTCCGTCCAATTTTACATTTGTGTATAAAATTTCTTTCTGAACGGTGACTAGGTAGATGTACAGTGACATTTTTCAGGCAATGGCTGTGTCTCATTGCCTGCCATCTTGTCCAATGACAGTCGAATGTAAACAAAGTCGATACAGAATTGCGCAGTAGGTTGCGCAGAAAAAAACTTCTTGTTTCTGGGTCACAAGTTTTAGCGGCTGTTTCTTACATCTTATCTCCACAAAAACCTACATATCTCAGCTCAGAAATGACATACAAGCCTAAATGAGGTACCATTGGAAAGAGATTGTTTACTGTGCTGGTTTTATTGGTGTAGAGAGCATTTTAAAAATTTTACTGAAGTAGCTAACGACACCATGTTCTCATAGATCGACAGAAATAGAGGACAACAACAATGAGTCATTATCAGCTGGTTACAATAACAATACTCACTGACTTACCAAACGGTACGTAACAACTTCATTATATATTGTATACTTTTTTTTACAATTGAATAACATTACATCATTATAAATAATAAACCGTAGTAAACCCAACAGTGGAGCTCAGAAACTGGTGTGAGGCATCAAGTTTGAACATAAAAAGGGTCTATTTTAAATTTACAATTATTTCTAGTCAAAACAGTACTACTTACAATGTTTAATAATAACAAACAGGAACTAGAATATAGTCGATCTACTGTTTCTATTGTTACGGTGCAAAATGAAACAATAACAAAACAGCCGACATGAAATCTGATTAACATGAAGAAAGTATTTCTTAACAATAACAGGAAGTTGATCATCCACAATATGATCCGCTTGTGATTTTAAATACCAGAATTTTATGGTCCATAAAAAAACTTACTTAGCATCTAGTTAGTTAGTTAGTTAGTTAGTTAGTTAGTTAGTTAGTTAGTTAGTTAGTTAGTTAGTTAGTTAGTTAGTTAGTTAGTTAGTTAGTTAGTTAGTTAGTTAGGTTATCATAATTGCACTCCGAAAATGCCCATAGGTGCTTAGATCCTCCCTTCAGTATGAACCCAAACGCCCGATATCTAATAGTACCTGTTCTATGTTGATTAACAAGTCGTCTGATGTGGGTCTCGTTTTTTGCTATGACGATCTGAATTCATAAGTCTGCCATTCTGGCGAGTGATATGGATTCCCTGCCCCCAAAGTCCTTTATCCTTCCCATTTCTGTGAGGGCAATAATAATATCAGTATGATCCATAGGCTGACCGTCGCTAGTGATAGCGGATCCAGCCAACCTATCAGCTCTTTCATTTCCATCCTACGTTTCCCGGAACAAAAATAAAGGTAACTCCACGCACAGTAGACTTCTGTAATGATTCAAGCCATTGTCTTCGCACCAAACCTGCCTGAACCCTCCGGATCATACTCACTGAATCCATAAATAAAGTGGCCATCGATGTATCATCGTTAAATGCCTTGTCTATTGGCGTTGTCGATCATGCCTCTCCGCAATCTGCGATCCGCAACTGAATGTATCAATTAGTGTGTTGACACCCGTCCATGACACGACAAAAGGCTGTCAATAATCTTCTGGCGCTGTCTTCCGCTGTCTCTCTTTTCACAGACTTTTCAGTGGTCACAACATGTTCCAGTTTCCCTCGTCGATGAATACTGGATATTTGTGAAAGGGAAATCTATGAAGTACTGTTACCCATCCAGCCTGTCGTAATCTGCGGCCAAGAAAAATTGGTCATATATTTGACTATTTCCGTCCCGCAGAAAGCCTTCTTTAAAATTAAAGAATCAGCATCAGTCGTGAAGGGAATCAGCTTTAAACATATTTAACAAACAAATCAGTGTTAGATTACGGATTGCCGACACAAAGAAAGCATGGATGGGGCGGAGGGAAATAGCTGGGACCATTTACAATTTCTCTGATAAAAGTACATTGCTAGACAACTAAAATTAGTGCTCACTGGCGCCAGGACCTGAGATTCTCCCACCCCCATGAAGTTCCGGCCCCGCCTTCTTATAAAATGGGATACACTGTCTTGCTTGTCTGATTTGCATATTGGATCTGAAATCTGTCCAGATTTAGTATTCTTCTAAAACATTCGTTGTCAAAACTAATTTTCTATCCAGAGCTACCGTTGCTTTCCAACTCTCACGACCATAAGTTAGCATTATAATCACACTGGAATCCTCATTCTTAAACCATCCATTGTTCTATAATCAGATTTAACTAGTATGTGTCTACAGGAAGCATTGTTTCCAAAAGATATAATCAAACTCAGTTTAGGGATTTAGCCTGAGAAGTGGATTGACGACAGTAAAGACCTTCTACATTGCCAGGTGGAGACAATATCCATTGTTGTCCATCTTATCTATTGCAACCCCCCCCCCCCCCACCACCACCACCACCTCCCCGTTTTTTCCACATGAGGCTTAACAGCAAAAGTGTAAACTTATTATTATTAATTATTTATTATTATTGCACAGTTCAAAGCGTAAACTCCCTGAGGGGGCAAACTGAGGATCGCGCAATCCTTAAGGGGGTTTGAGGTTTTTTAATGTTTTGAACAACGGATCAACATCATGGCACACGGGTGTAACCCATAAGTGCTCCGTTCTTCTTCCAACTCAAGTCTGAGTCTGAAGAAGCTCAACACAGTGCACAGGATCTGTAGCACCGGCGAGGATCCTGAAATACTTTGGGTAGATTTTTAACTCCAAATTTTGCCCGGGCAGCGCCGTTAGGCTAATCTTTTTTGATTTCCAACTGCCAAAGCATTTTTAAAATGCGCAACAATGCACATGGGCGTCCGATCTCACTACCCAGAGACCAGGCGAAAATACTAGAAGTCCAAGTCTACGTTTAAAAATTCCAGGGATTGAACCCGAAACCTCTAGCACTCGAGGCGGACACCGTGCCTCGCGACCACGCAGCACCAAAAATTGCAACGAATACTACAGCCATGATGTAAATATACCCATATTAGTTATACATAAATTGTAATATTTATCATTTTCCTTTTCTTTTAAGAGAGCTGTATGTACCATATATAATATCAAAGATTGGAAGTGAAAAGCGACAACGTAAAAATACAAAGCGCGGACTTATTATTTGCCTCGTTCCTGCGTTGCTATGGTATTCATGTAAATTATAAGTAAGAAGTGTGTAGCACAATGTTGTCACTGGAGGGGGAATTACGTAATACAGAAACCAGTCATGCTTCCACGGAAACAAAAGCCGATGTGTTAAAATTAGACGACGACATGGTTGTTGGTGATGCAGAAATGATGACAGAAGTAGCCGCAAATAATGAAGTAGACACTGATCAAGACCGTGACGTCGAGGTACAAGTTGTCTAGATAAGTTGTACTTGTACCAGTCAAACATAGTGTTCCTCTCTCACTAGGGAAGTCACAAGTGGTCATTCTAATCACTAATGGTCCCTGTCGTCTGACGTTAGTAATGTCATATTTGATCACAGTATTGTGTAATGTCAGTTGTTTCTAACACACAAGTTCTTCTGTACCATGATACTAAACTGTGCAGCAAGACTGTAGTGTTGGCCTTCTTCTGCCTATCTTCCCCTCCAACTTTACGTCTGTCACGGCGGATGGTCGCTGTCCCTATTCTCGTGACATAACCAAAGAACACTGTCTTCTTCTGAGGCGGGTAATCAGTTGTATTTGTTCATTACATCTTGATTACACTTTCCATCCTTCCTTGCTGTTCTCCTGTGTCTAAAAAACGACAACTCTACACACTACAGTACGCCTTTCACATACTGTTTTACTAATCTGCTGATTGTCCATCCTGATCTACTCCCATACACCGGAATTTAGGCGCACTTCCACAGAGAAAAACTCCACCAAAGAATTTTCTACAGAATGGGCTTAAGACTTGTTCAACTGTTTAATAATAGAAAGAACATTTATTAAGCAGGAAATAGGTCGTAAAAACTGTCCCAAGAAAATTATTGGCACACTTTGGGGGAGGAGCCTCAAGGGGTATAAGTTTTATTGAATTGCACAATAATAATAATAATGATCATCATTATTTTTAATAATAATAATAAGAGTATTAATATCATTAGTATTGATAGTATTATATGGTGAATAGCAAATAATATATTTGAAATAATATGAAATGTATAAATAAATGGGCTATCCTTCGAATAACGGTCCTAAATTATCAAGGCGGAAAATATACCCTAACAGAGCCTCAGTCACATGTCAATTTTCCGCCTCAACAATTGAGGACCGTTATTCGGAGGATAGCCAACAAATGCTTAACAAGAGAAAGTCTATATATGGAGGGGGAGACTGATCCCCAAACAATAGTGGGTGTCGGGTGGGGGGAGGGGTGCCTGGGCTACCATTTTTATGCATATATGTTCCATGCAGGACTTTTTTTTTTAACTCTTTGAGTCCCAGGGGGTTTAGCATCACAGGCCCAGGGGGTAGTTGAAAAAATAATAAAATCGGCGCATCATGCTTTCATTGGGCTTCTAGGTAGGAACCTATGAATGTATGATGCGTTCCTTGGGACTCAAAGAGTTAAGGGTGGTATGCAATGGTACACAGTACTGGCACCTTTTTTTAAGGCATTATTTTTTTAGTTGTTACTGACATTTTGTGATGACTACAAGCACTTTTTTATTTTAAAAAAAGCCTAGATTACAATTGTGTTGTAAAAAAATTGTCTTTCAACACATTATTACTACTATAATTTTTATCTTTGTAATTATTATTATTACTAATATGCTGAATGGAACACAAATATAATACAATACTTGAAAAATATTAAATGTATGAACAAATGCTTTAAAGAGAATTTCTATAAATCGTTCAAGGGTTCTCATAACTCTGTCAGGCCCATGAATTTTGACAGACTTGGCCCACATTATCTCTTTGAGTCCCAAGGAACGCATCATACGTTCATAGATTCCCACATAGAAGCCCAATGAACGCATGATGCGCCGATTTTATTACTTTCTTTACTACCCCCTGGGCCTATGATGCTAAACCCCATGGGACTCAAAGAGTTAATTTCCCTTTACAAAAAATGGCAGAAGGGTGGTGTACAAGAAAGGCAACAGAGAATGTAATATACTTCTAATCCTAATAAAAGTATATACATTTTTAAAGAGAAATGAATGTACATTTTGAATCTGATGATAAGTGTATGTTTAATTTTTTTACAGTTAGTAGGAAAGAAGAATTCAGCAGGTGTTATTTTCACAACAGCATTTTACAAACAAATTCTTCACTTACTATGATTTTGCAGCCACACGAGTAGTGAATATCCAAATTTGAGAACAAAACTTCAAAGTTTGTTCAATTTCTTAACAAATTCCAAAGTTATAGGTTTCTGTGTTAGTTTAGTACTCAGGAGCTCTTAGTTCTCACGGAGTGCTGAGACAAATTTCAGAGGAAAAAATGAGCCATTACACACACACTATTTACTATTTACTTTGTACAGTTATATACAGACCGTGACTGCGATGATTTCAATGTGATTTCAATCTCTTTGTTTAGAGCACTTTCCTTCTCTGACACCATAAATACGGTATCAATGGGACATTTTCTGTGTAATAAACTCATCAGAATCGCTAGATTCAGAGCAGCTGATCGCTCAGCTTCGCTGGTGAAAATGCCCCGTCCGAATCACTTTCCAAAAAAATCTAAATTTTCATTATTACTATCAGAATTAAAAACATCTGACTGAAACAAAATGTACGGCACACACGATCGACGATGACACCGTTGTTTGGGCAAAACGGAACTTCTCAAACAATGCTCATACCATTGCTCAAGCCTTAAAGAGTTAACACTTGCTTTATTTCAATACAAATAAATGTAAAGTCATTCAAAGTTGCCAGTTGGAATTTCCTTACTGACAAGCAGTATAATTAATGAATGAGTTGGCATTGAAGAAATAATAGTTCAATAACTTTTAAGACTAACATGTTCTTAACCCTTACTGTAAGAAAATTTCCAAAAAATTAAATATTTTTTTGTTAGGCTTTCAAGTGATATTTTTATGGCAAATGTAACCTTAAACATCTTTGCAATAGCTTTCACCTGGAGGGGTCCTGGATGAAGAAACCATCACACGCGGCTTGTCAAACCTTGGGAGGTCCGCCAACGGCTGCCATCAGGTCTATTTAAATCTTGCAATACCTGTAAGTTATCGAATGTGATCATTCTTTCAGTGTGTTTTACTTAACATTTAGTATTTTATTATTAGAAACACATTCTATGTTTCATGTGTAAGCACGTCAACCAGACTTGCCAATGGCTGGGTTTTCCCCTCAGATCCAGTTTAGTTGAATTAGTGTTTTTCTGGAGTTCCAAACCATTGGCAGGTCTGGGTACAACAGGCTGCTATCAGACCCACAGAAGCAGACTTATTTGAAAAGTACATTTATAAACAAAGCACTCATGACATTGAGGGAAAAGTTCATTTAGAAAGTTGAGTCCTGAAAAAAATGTATCAGTCAAAGACACAAAGAAATACACCCACAGCCCCTTGAATGCTGTATTTAAATGCTGACTTCAGTATGATGTACTCTGTGATTATGAAGAACAAGCAGTCGTAAGAGCAGCTGGTGAAACATCAGATTTGTTTGAGGTCAAACTGGATTGAGACAGGCTGCATTCTCTCACCATACCTATTCAATATATATGCAGAAAACAATGAGAAATATAAAAAATCACCAGACCTGTGACAGTTATGGACTGCTCATAATTGGTGGCAACCCTATTCAAATACTTTGCTATGAGATGACACAGTCAACCTTTTGAACAGTGTGACGTGACGCGTGGTTTAAATGTTTATGTTGTTGAGTAGGGATCTTCCTTTCAACACATTCTCTCCACTAGATAAACCGAACTAAAATCTGAACTATGTTGCTCTCAGACAAAGTCCTGGATATCCAAGAAAAAACAGCCCATATTGGCTCGTTAAGTATATTAAACATTAGCTGAACTTGGTACCCACAAGAGAAGGCAAGGAATTTTAGATGTCTAACATACTAAATGAATTATTAGACAGGGCAAGTGATTCCTTCGTCATCTACCTTCTCCCGGTGTTATTATTAATAATTAAAGAATTATTATTATCATATTATATGAGCCCCCCACCAAATGTTATTCTATCCTAACAGTTTTTAATTAAAACATGTAAGAACAGACATTTGGAATTTAACAAACTATGTAGTTTAAAAACTTGACATACAGCTTTATTTACTACAATGAAATTCCCAGTTTGTTTGATTTACACAAACAGTGACTGGTTAATGAAAGTGATACGCTTCAGCGAGACAAACAGCTCGGGGTTTAGAGTGGTATGATAATGATGATAAAAGGTTAACATAAAGGGGTTAACTCAACTTATAAGCCTCTGACAGCCGTGAGGAACTGTCAAGCTTGTCCAACTCTTCCTTGCCTGTTGTCTGCCTGTTTCAGCTTATTCTCCACTTCCTCCCCACATCGTTCTCCACCTCGTTCTCCACCTCGTTCTCCACCTCGTCCTCCACCTCGTTCCCAGCTGGCCGAGTCTAACACTATGTAGTCTCTTTCATGGACTGATCGTCACATGGGCGCTGGGAACTTTTCCATCTATCGCCAAACCAGAGTACGACAGTAAAATATACCTTTACGTCGACCTGTTTGTTTGCCGGCAGGCTGCGATTAATGACGGGAATTCCCCAGGCTCGAAGTATAAGTATCAATCTATTGTCCAAATTAAACTCCTCCCTTTCCTGAGTTCTGCCCAACCCTCAAGATGATGACATAAGCCACGCCTCCGGAGTACCCAACAGATCACATTAGCTAACAAGTGGCCTGTCAGTCAATTCTGGACTGACATCCCTAGAGCAAACATTCTTAAGTGACCCAATCTAGTTTACAACGAATCTAACTGGCAGGTGTTAAAAGACGTTCAGTGAAGCCATTGTGTTTCCTACTTGACCAAGATCAAGATAAAGCATTCCTAATTGCCAAACGCCTGTTCTCTCCAGAATTACACTGACGTGTTAAACTCCGACCTCCCGGCTCCAAACTGTCTAGCGTCTACTCAATCCCCCGGTTCAAAAGGGCCCCGCTCAGTCTCTACAGTCTGGTCAGGAGATAACATTCTGACACTGGCGTGAGAATCCAACCTCACATCCCTAGTCTGAACCAGCGGGCTGTATTACGTAGTGTTAGGTAATTTTAAACAAAGCGCAGTGGCTTTGTCTGGGAGAAGGACTGGTAACATTTAAATCAATTTGGTTTAAAGTAATATTAGGGTAAAGGGCAGAGTAAATATAATCCTCTCTCTTTAGAACCAGAAGAACTTATTACAAGTACTAACTTCTGGAATCACTGAGATCGTCTCGTGACAAACAGTGTAAATGGAATAGAAAATGTAATCATGTTTGTCTGAAATATTTTGGCCATATCAAGCGCCACATCGGAATGGAAAGAATAGTTGCAGAAGGTATGGTACCATAAAAGCAAAGCAAGTGCCAACCAGGACGAAGATGAGCCTAGAACAGGAGTGACACCTTGGTGGGAAAGTGCATGAGGCGGGAGATCTGGCAGGGGGCTACTTTTTTTTCTTCAGGCTGGCTATCTATCTATCTTCTTTGACCCCACCAGGTCATCACACAAGCGATAAACACCCGATGACATAAAGTGCCACCATGTGGAGGAGGATCACCCATGGAGAGGTCCCAGAAACCGCGTTCAGCCATTAGAACATATTTATGGTCGGGCTATATAGTGGCCCTATGGCAAGAGCCAGGGTAGGGCTTCAAAATAATAAAAGAATTGCATCCCACAAGGGGATGACTAACAATAATACATTAGGCTGGCTGACTGACTTTCTACCCCACCAGGACATCACACAAGCGATAAACACCCGATGACACAATGTGCCACCATGTGAATGATGATCACTGTGGAGAGGTCCCAGAAACCTCGTTCAGCCAAGTGGCCATATTTATGGCCTGGCAAGAGTCTGGGTGGGGCTTCAAATAACGAAAAATTTCATCTTTAAAAGGACGGCAAAATTAATTCAGGCTGGCTGACTGACTGACTTTCTACCCCACCAGGACATCACACAAGCGATAAACACCCGTGACACAAAGTGCCACCATGTGGATGAGGATAACCGTGGAGAGGTCCCAGAAACTGCATTCAGCCAATTGGCCATATTTATGGCCTGCCTATATTGTGGCCCCTGGCAAAAGCCAGAGTGGGGCTTCAAACAACAAAAAATAACGTCCTAAGAAGGACGAAAGGTAGTAAATAATATTCAGGCTGGCTGTGACGAGAGTGATATTCTGCAGAGGACCTGCTGCGTGATGATGATGTCACGATTTTTAATTTTAATTTGTTTATGATATTATTATTTATTCTAAAACAGGGGTTTTCCCTGACAGATATCAGCTTGCTGTCAGAGTATCAACATCTGCAGAAAGTGGAGATCCCATACAATGATATTACAGGTAATTTAAAAAAAAAAGAAATTTTTTTTTAAATGTTTATAATTCTCTAAAACTCTACATTAGTAAACTTGAAAAGATAAGAAGCAGCAAGAGAATTTGTTTTTTAAAATATAAATATCCTAGTAGTCAAACCCTTAAACCAATGAGAAGACAGGCAGGCGTGAAGTTCTCTGTCTCTTTGGTGATGTCACATCAATTAACAAATTAAAAAAAAATAAAAAATTAAACACATTTTTTTCCCAATTACTAAATGTCTCAACTGGAAACAAGTTATTTCTTCATCAAGGGAAGCAATTACATTACTTAATATAAACAAAGCAAAGAACTAACTGATTTCCTTTCCTTTGATTATTTACATCTTTCCGGTTGCTTTGCCACAGAGAGCAGTGTTATATAAAAATGAAATTATATGATGTCACAGTGAATCCAGCATTTTTTGTTTTTTCCATATTTGTTTCTTTCACCAAGAAAGACCATTTAGGGGGAGGGGCATGTCTACAAGCTGTGCAGCAGCCGCCAGTATATAGCTATTATACATACTGGGCACTATCCAGAGACATCAAGTAAACCAAAACATGCAAAAAAACCGGAAAATGGATTTTTCTGGTTGATAGGATTATTGAAAAACACTAGGGACTGATGCTTCTTCTAGTGAGAATTTTCTAAACAACTGCCAGATACTCCAGAATCAGGCTAGTTTTGGCTCACTTAGAGATAATTTATCTATAATGAGGTTGAACTTAGTATTCCAAAAAGTAAAAAAAAATACTTGTCTTTCTAGTAAAAATCTCAGACAAAGTAACTGCATAGACGTTCCTTCTACTTTACTGCTACTTAGTCGATACTCTTTCACCCTGGGGTATAGAGGTTTGCTAGAGTAGACTTTTGTGCCAGCAGTTTTTGTGTGTTTGGCTTTGTTTTATTCCAGTACCTTCTGCTTCTTGTTTCCAAATATTACAAACATTAAAAGATGCAGTCGAGATTATTCTCAACACAAATACTGTGAACACACACACACATCTAGAAAATATGGAGGTCCAAAGCTAGGAAAACAGGCAAAGAGAATGCTCAAGAAATTAGTCAATTACACAAGCACGCGCATACTTGGTGGAGGAAAAAAAGGGGGAGGGGGTGATTCAAATGCAGCTTTGAGCCAACTAACACTTTGATTTTCACTACCAGCTGTGGATGTTAAAAGATTGTTTATAATTTCATTTCAGATCTCTCTGCACTGGGAAATCTCAAGTATTTGCTTTTTCTGGATGCCTCCCATAACAGAATTGAGCATCTCCTGGATTTTGACCCACCATTCAATTTGCAGGAAGTCGACATGTCTTGGAATAATATAAAGCAAATGTGTGATCTTTCTGAACATCCATTTCTCAAGAAACTCATTCTTGATAGTATCCTTTGCCTAATTTTGTTTTATCTTCACCATGTGCTTGCCAATAAAGTGTGGATGAGCATAGTCTGCCATTTCAAAAAATAACCACAGTCTAGTAGCTGGTCTTTATTCTTTTATTGATTTATATTTTGGCCTAGCCATATAGGTATGTGGCTTTGGGCTGAGGAGCCCTGTGGGGAGGAAACTAGCCTTATCATATGAAGAGGAAATGCAACCTGAAAGCTCTGTATTATATAGCCTTACAGTTATGTTAGTCAGTAATTTTGCTGATGTTAATTACTTTTTGTTAACCTTGTGAAAGATAACAACATCACAACAATTCAAGGACTGGAAAAATGTAAACAGCTAAAACATTTGAGTCTTGCACACAATAAAATCAGAACCATCACAGGACTTGATCATCTACCGATTCAGCATCTAAATCTAGTGAGTAGTTCATGTATACTGTTTCCTCTGTTTGCTGAGTTTTCCAGATGTTTTAAATGCTGTTTTTTTCCATTTCATCATTATCATCACCTACTATACTGACAAACATAGGCAGTTATGGTTTGTCACTTCACAAAATGGCTAGTCTGAATTCACGCCCGTCTTCTTGTCTCATTGAGGTCAGGCCATACAGGTATTTTCTTTGTCTTTCTCTTGTACAAGTTGTCACTAAGTTTTCAAGATTATTTATCCTCCTAATATGTACACATCTTTGACTGTCTGCATGTAATTTCTGTAATTTGTTCCATTTTTATTTGTGTCTTAGAGCTTAGGTTCCTAATTAGATGAGACTTGCTGACCTCTCTTAATTTTTAAGGACCCCATACTTTTTTAACAGTCATATTTAAAAATACATAACAGAACAGACAAACACACACAATTGAAATCATAAAACGGCGGAGGGGGTTGAGAGTTGCTGTTTTTAATTTTTGGGGGATAAATGACATCATGGACCCCTTAAATTTGTTCCCTGAACCCCTTTAGACCCACAGACCACCAAGTGGGAACAACAGAAGATTGTCTGATTTCTTGTTCTGTCCATCAATTTTGAGTTTAACATCATGAACTACAAATATTTCATGGCAAATAAAACAAATCTGGCCTCTGAAAGATGTGTGGCCCTGTTCTTCTGGATGAAAGCAAATGCTAAACACTGAGCAATATATTGATGAAGACATTTGAGATCATGAAAATATTGTCTTGGAGAAGTCTCAAAAGTTCTTTTGCAAACTAATACAGTGCAGAAAGTTGACATTACCTCAAGTTTGTCACAGAGGAAGACTCAAATAATGAGTAATAAACTACAAGCATTCATTGATGGGTACCTGCACACAAGAGGTTAAATTAAATGAAATGATAGAATAATTAGTGTGAAGCTATGGTAGTCATGGTATGGGACGTCGCAGGTCGACCCAGCCTAAAATGGGTACCAGGATGGGCTGTCCTGGGAAAGTAAAGACAGCCGGCGTAATGCTGACCACATTACCCACAGAGTGCTGATGGTCTGTAAAAATATGGGACGCTCTGCCCATATACCCGATGCGCCAAAAGGCGTGAAAAGGGAACTTTAGTTTTTTTTTTTTTTTTATGGAAGAGAACTATAAAAAATTTCAGGAAATAAAGAGGTGAAGGGAATATATGGGCATTAGATTAGGCACACATAGAGAAGTCTGATTATAATGTAGCTATAATGTCCTTGCACTGTACCTTCAGGGTCAGTGGAATAAATGCAGACCAAATATACATGAAGAAGAGAATAAGATAATGATGTGAAAAAGATGAAGAGTGCAAGGGATGAGAGACACATAATGGAGAGGACAGTTATGAGTTAATGGCCTACATTTCATTCGGGGATCAAGGGCAGAGGAAGAAGTATAAAGTAATTATAAGCTTCAATGGTTGTTCAAATTTTGTTTCATTATGTGTTAATAATCGTATATTATAATTTTTTTTTATGTTTGTGGTGATTTTTCAGAGCAACAATAACATACTGTTTATAGATAATTTTGACAGTCTGAAGCATCTGAAGGTAAGTTGCATTATGTTAATGTGCATATGGAAGCTATGGTGGTATAGCATCTAGATGCTGTGCCTGCTGGCCCTATGGTTGTGGGTTCAAATTCACATGTCAGCCAAGCCTAAAATGGGTAGCAGGGAAAGTACTGGGAAGTAAAGGTAGCTGGTGTGATGCTGACCACATCACACACTGAGGGCCGATAGTTCTTTAAAAATAGGAGTTGCATCATGTGTTCTTTGTGCCACTGGCTGTTACCTTACTTTGTGATTTACATGTATATATATATATCTCTCTGAAAACGTGCACACTAGCCTGCATATGTGTACATTTGAATGCTTGCATACATGCACACTCATATTTGTGGGCTTACGCAAACATTTTTTTTTTTGGGAACTGTAATTGATCACAGATGTTGACTCTTAGATATCTGACAGATTAAAGTTATTGCACATGAAACCATTCAGTCCTTAAATGCTCAGCTCCCCTCTTCTATAAATCCCGCAGTGTCTAGTGGCTGATGACACCCACTTTGTGTTGGCTTCTTATTCTTCTTTGGCTTTCTGCATGGTGCTCTTGTCTGGCCACACCTCTTTTAATATGTTGTTCTTGTCGTCTGGTTATGGTTGCAGATTCACAGTCATCATTTCATCCTCCCAAACGTCTTACTTCTCATAGAGCATTCAGTATATCAGCATGGTCCGTGGTTCATCCACCCTCCACAGTAGCTTTACCTGCAAGCCTATCGGCTTGCTTATTTCCTTGCACACATGCATGCCCTGGCACAAATATGAAACTGATATGTGTCAGTCCCGACTACTTTAGAGACCTCAACCACCCTACTCATGTTGACTCTACCAGTCCCCAAATATTTTGCAGATGATATCAAGGGAATATAAAATGCAATGTTTAAAGAAAATACAGGAATTGACTTTCAAGGAAACTAAATAAATACACAGAGGAATCGACTTTCAAAAGGACTGACTACAGAGATGAATTGATCCCTTGAAAGCCAGAGTTCTTTAGTATACTTCAACCAAATATAAAAATAGGAGAATACACCTACCAAAGATTGAAATACACGGAGAAGAGCCTGTCGTGCATCATCAGCATTTATCTTTAAGATTTAGTGGATACAACTTAGAGTCACTGGCTGTAAACTCTAGCAAATAGTCCTGATTATTCATCAGCTTCTGTACTTTAGTCTTGTTCCAGAACCTGTGTTGTTTGCATATCCATTTTACATGTCTGGCATATTTGTGTGCAAACTGTTGGTTTTTTGTCTGTCAGGTAGATGCACTCTGACTTTAAAGAAAACACTGATCCTATCTATGTTGGGCAGATGTTTCTGTTTAAAAAGTACTGTGGCTTCAGTAGCTCTGTGTTCCTGTTTAGAGAGTACGATAGCTTTAGTAGCTAAGTGTTCCTGTTTAGAGTGTACAGTGGCTTCAGTAGCTCTGTGTTCCTGTTTAGAGAGTACGGTAGCTTTAGTAGCTCTGCATCCCTATTCAGAGAGTACAGTGGCTTCAGTAGCTCTGTGTCCATGTTTAGAGTATACTGTGGCTTCAGTAGCTCTGTGTCCCTGTTTAGAGTGTACTGTGGCTTCAGTAGCTCTGTGTCCCTGTTTAGAGAGTACAGTGGCTTCATTAGCTGTATGTCCCTGTTTAGAGAGTACTGTGGCCTCAGTAGCTCTGTGTCCCTGTTTAGAGTGTACTGTGGCCTCAGTAGCTCTGTGTCCCTGTTTAGAGTTTACTGTGGCTTCAGTAGCTCTGTGTCCCTGTTTAGAGTGTACTGTGGCTTCATTAGCTCTGTGTCCCTGCTTAGAGTATACAGTGGCTAGTGCATCTGTAGTTCAAGTGTGTGAGTTTTGTTCCATACGATGATGTGTTTCAATTTTCTGATACAGGAATTAAATTTATCTAGAAACTGCATCAGAAGTTTGTCTGGATTGGAAAATAACACTTTGCTGGAAGCTGTTGATCTAGAATCAAATGAGGTTTGTATTTTTCTTAAATATGTTTAGCTGGTTTTTTTTTTACAAATAGTTTAATCCAGTATTTATTAATTTCCTTAAAAAGACAATCCACATTCATTCAGTTTAAAAAATAAATAAAGGAGAAGTTGAAAACTTGACAGTAATAAGACAGTAGGAAAAAATTGATTGGAAAAGGAAAAGACTACAGAGAAAACGGTAGCTGGACAATGTAGCATGGAGAAATGTCTGTACTGGAAATAAATACCAGTGTACAAGGCAAAAAAGATGAAGATATACCAGACATTTAGCACTGTATATAAGGAGAAACTATACCAGTTTCCCTTACTTCTTCATAAGATTATTTGTAGAGAATAAAATCTTGAGACAACAGAGGTATATTACTGAGAATAATGCAGACAAATACTGAGCAAGAAAAAATTCAAGAGATCCCTGCAACAGTTTGTCATACAAGCATGCAGGAGCTTTGAACACAACACTTTAGTTGAGTGGAAGAAAGGTGTTTTAAAAGGTCATAGTAAGTGGGTCTGATTAAATGTGGAGCTACTGTGGTGAAGCAACTAGAGGCTTGTTGTGAAGGTCATAGTGAGTGGGTCTGATTAAATGTGGAGCTACTGTGGTGAAGCAACTAGAGGCTCGCTGTGAAGGTCATAGTGAGTGGGTCTGATTAAATATGGAGCTACTGTGGTGTAGCAATTAGACGCTCGCTGTGAAAGTCATAGTGAGTGGGTCTGATTAAATGTGAAGCTACTGTGGTGAAGCAACTATAGGCTCGCTGTGAAGGTCATAGTGAGTGGGTCTGATTAAATGTGAAGCTACTGTTGTGAAGCAACTAGAGGCTCGCTGTGAAGGTCATAGTGAGTGGGTCTGATTAAATGTGAAGCTACTGTGGTGTAGCAACTAGAGGCTCGCTGTGAAAGTCATAGTGAGTGGGTCTGATTAAATGTGAAGCTACTGTGGTGTAGCAATTAGACGCTCGCTGTGAAGGTCATGGGTTCAGATCCTAAGAGAACCAGACTTTTATTTTCCCTTGGTTCACAGGTTGACCTAAACTTGAATGGGTACCACATAAGATTCTGTGAAACAGGGGTGGCCAGCATGATCTTGACCACACAACCCCCCCCGAGTGCCGGTTGGTCCATGAAAGATAGGTCGGCACTGCATGCTCAGTATATCTGAAGGCAGGGGAAAGTTGTTTTTTTTAAACTTTACTGATTAGAGAACTTCAGCAGTAGTCTTCAACCCAATTCCCACAGAAAAATCATGGCTGAAGAAGTCCTCATTGCATGTAGTGTTCCACAAGATGGCAATACTTTACACAAAGAAACATTTTGCATTTTAAATGTATCTTAACCATGCAAGCTTGTGTATGGAAAAAACTAAAATGAAATGAAATTGTTTTATCAGTAACCTCCCTTGATTTGCTTAGTTTATTGTAGTTTACCAGTTTTTTTTTTAATGCACACATATTTTTGCAGGAGCCTAACTAGTGTAGTGGCTAGATGCTTGTTTGCTAGCTGAAAGGTATTGGATTCAAATCCACATTGAGTCGATTTTGTTTAATCTTTTTTTTTTTTCAAGTTTTACCTAGTCTTAAATGCATCAGGCAGTGTCCTGGAAAGTAAAGGCAGTCGACATGATGTTGACCATATCGCATATCTCTTCTGTAAAAATATACATAGCATCATATGCCTGATGCATAATTGATGTAAAAAGGTGTCCTTTATTTTACTTTAATATTTGTACAATGAAATCAACTGTGCGGGATCAACATCTATCAGGTAATTGACATCCTTGAAGTCAAGTATTTGAGGAATGCCAAGAACTTACGAGAGCTGAGCCTGCTCCGAAACCCTATCCAAGAGCTACCTGATTACAGATTGTGTATTTTATACAAAATTAGCCGATTAGTCATTCTGGACAGACACCCAATTAAGGAACAGGAAAAGGTTTGCAATTAATGTCAAATTTATTGTCAGCCATGTTTATGTTTACATCCAAACAGAGAAAGCCGGCTTCAGTAAATCTCTGAAGCTTGTGTCTGACATCTTCACCATGAGTCCTGTAAATTTTTCAGCCAGTTTCTCGATTTCCTCCACTCACATGTAATATTGGCTTCCCCCTACACACTTTCCATTCAACGTTTCTTCTAGCACATCCTTCAGTTTTATTTCTATATTCCCTCTTCAGAACTGCAATCTGCAAGTTTGATTATCAGTAACTTTTTGAAAGCCGGTCAAACAGCAACAAATCCTGTACCCTATTCAACACTAAAGTACAGTTACACAGGGACTCCCTACCAGAACATAAAGTAACCTACTGCCCTGTGTAGGTGGGAAAGAAGCAGATCCTTCAACAACAAGGTGTGTTTTATCAGTGACAATGTGAGCAGTATGGTAACAGAAGAGTTGCAATAGAAACAAAAAGGTGTGTTTTCTCAGTGACAGTGTGAGCAGTATGGTAACAGAAGAGTTGCTATAGAAACAAGAAGGTGTGTTTTCTCAAAGAGAGTGTGGGCAGTATCATAACAGAAGAGTTGCTATAGAAACAAGAAGGTGTGTTTTCTCAGTGACAGTGTGAGCAGTATGGTAACAGAAGAGTTGCTATAGAAACAAAAAGGTACATTTTCTCAATGAGAGTGTGGGCAATATCATAAGAGAAGAGTTGCTATAGAAACAAGAAGGTGTGTTTTCTAAGTGACAATGTGAGCAGTATGGTAACAGAAGAGCTACTATAGAAACGAAAAGGTACGTTTTCTCAATGAGAGTGTGGGCAATATCATAAGAGAAGAGCTGCTAGAGAAACTAGAAGAGATAGAAATAAAAATGAAGAAATCTGGAGAGGACTAGGATGAAACCAGTCATATATTTTGTAAAGAGGAACAAGTGAGATGGGTTGGGCATCTGATGAGAATGCCCTGTTAGCAACTGCCTCAATGAGCCATGCTGAAAATAAAATAAAACAAAACTAGGGGAAGACCATTAAAAATGTGGAACAAAGGCATAAAGAACAGCTATAAAGAAATAAAGATCATCTTCAACAACACATTAGAAAGAGCATAGAGATGATGCTTAGATCTCCCCTCATCACTTCAGTGAGCTAACTGGAGGAAAAGAAGAAGACGAGGAAGAAAATGATCAGAGCACACAGCCACTTTAACAATGCACAACATTTTCAGATACCTATTTTATGAGGCCAGGTAATTGACCCAAGGTTGAGTTAAGAATTGATGTCACAGCCATTGGGACATTCTTATTTGTGCTCCATCTCTACCTTCAGCTGAGAGTTCCATCGTCAATGGTACCAGTAGCTGTTTGATTATATATCTTTCTTGGCATCTTTTAGGTGGAGAGTATCCCCAGATCCCCTGGCCACTCCCACTGCATCATTCTCTCCAGACTACAATCATCTTTTCCTGTTTCTTCATTATTCACTTGCTCTCAGAACATCTTCACCATATCTAGCTTGTCTTGCATCAGTTCACCGCCCTTCTCCCCCAGTGATGCATCACCAGCCAGTCTGTCTGTCTGTTCATTTCCCAATACACCTACATTTCCCTTAGAAAAGATCCAAATGACACTATCTACCACTCTGCAAGGAGTATGCTTGTCTTCACCTTTCTCAACATGCTTTATGAGTCTGTTACAATCACAGCATGTGAGCGCGTCTGGTTGTCATGCTATGGAAAGCTGCTGTGTCTGTCTCCTCCTCTATTCTCAAACTGGATGTCGTCAAATCGTATCTAGACTTTATTGCACTAAATGATGTCCAGTCGCTTGAGTATGGCATTAACTCACATAGGGAGGTTAACGATTAATATTAGGATGTAACATTATGACTCTGGATCTAACACCATCACACCTGGATCTAACACCATCACCCTGGATCTAACACCATCACCCTGGATCTAACACTGTCACCCTGGATTTAACACCATCACCCTGAATCTAACACCATCACACGGGATCTAACACCATCACTCTGGATCTAACACTGTCACCCTGGATTTAACACCATCACCCTGGATCTAACCCCATCACCCTGGATCTAACACCATCACTCTGGATCTAACACTGTCACCCTGGATCTAACATCATCACCCTGGATCTAACACCATCACACTGGATATAACACTGTCACCCTGGATCTAACATCATCACCCTGGATCTAACACCATCACCCTGGACCTAACACCATCACCCTGGATCTAACACCATCACCCTGGATCTAACACCATCACCCTGGATCTAACATCATCACCCTGGATCTAACACCATCACCCTGGATCTAACACCATCACCCTGGATCTAACACCATCACCCTGGATCTAACACCATCCCCCTAGGTCAAGTAAGAACTAGGTTAGAATGGATGGGATACAGAGTCAGCAAAGGTACACATGTATGTTTTATATCTGAAGTCAGCAAACTCATAGTTAGTTCTTTGATACTTATAAAGTTAAACATCCAAGCTGTTTAGAGAACATACAAAATTACAGAAATTAAATTATTAATAGTTTAGCTTGAAAAACTCTTTTATCATAGAAAATATTTTCTCTTGTTTTACTCTTAGGTGTGTTTGTGTGTGCATGGGTGCATGTGTGTGTGTGTGTACGTGCAGTGCTTGGGTTTAGGTATAAGCTAACTAAGCTGCAGCTTAGGGCCTCACAGTCAGCTAGGGCCTCAACAAATTCTTTTTTGTGTGTGTGAAAAAAAATTCCATTTTATTTTAACAGAGCTTTGACAAGATTGTATAATGAAATATCTGTGGTTCTGCTTACACATTCTTTATGAGAGTTTAGTTATTTTTTTATTCACTAAAAATTAAAATGTCAATATATTTCTGTTTTAAAAGAGGTACAGTCGAGTTTAAGTCGAACTCGGATAAGTCTAATTTTGGTTATGTCTCTATTCTGTGTGCTGTCTGGATAAGTAGAAATCCTGATAAGTGGAAGCATTTTCTTAGGTCCCTGCGACTTCTACTTATCCAGACTTGACTGTATATATTTTAAAGTTTTCTTATATTAGCTGGTGTAAATTAAAACAGTGGGAGCCTAGGGGCTTTATATAGCTTAGGACACTGTCAAGTCTACATCTGACCCTGTGTTTGTGTGTGTATGTGTGTGAGTATGTGTGTGTGTGTGTGCTTGCATATTTTTTTAACTGGTAAAAAGCACTGCATTGTTATTTGCTTGTTTCTGTGTTATTTGCTTGTTTCTGTGTTATTTGCTTGTTTCTGTCTAATGTAGGTGTTGGCTCTCAACATGTTTAATCCTCCAATGGGAGTGGTTGCAGCCCGAGATCATATCACCAATGTGGTGTATTCATTCCTTCAGCCAGCCAAAGTCTGGGACAGGTATTCGCTGTATATGTTTTGATCTGACACACAAGTTCTTATCATTGTCATAAATGGTATTTATTTGTTAGATGAAGTATGTGATTTTAGTTGTGGAAATGACAGTTATATTGATCAGATATGGCAACAAAGTGGAGCAATATATTGTTTGTTCTCACGTTTTTAATTCATAATGAGACAAATATTTTAACCAGCATTAGGTTACTGATGCCAAAAGTGGACATTAACAACAACAACAAAAAAAGAATGATTGAAACAACAGATTTTAAATGATTACAACTATTCCTAAATGTAACAGGTAGAGACAGGATCAGAAAAGACAGTTTAAAAAAAAAAAATTAAAAGACAAGTTGGGATGGAACCAGTGCAAAACTACATCAAGAGATAATAGATCAAATGTTTCTGTCATGTGTCAAGACAACCACCAGATAGTGCACCACTCAGAGCCCTGTCACTGAGACACAAAGGAAGCAGCACTAAAGGTTGCTGATGTCAACAGTGGATAGCGAAATATCTGTAAATACCAGACACCAAGGCTAACACTGAATGCCTCTTCAAAACCTAACACTGAAAGGCAGAACAAGTTATTGGAGAATAGAAGAACAAGTATGGGAAATCATTGTAAGTATGAGAAAACATTTTAAGCATGGGAAAACATTGTAATGGGTTGATTCCCCAGTAAAAGGCTGAGTTAATTGTTCTCAGCCATATAGCTTCTTATAAACTGAATGCCAGATATAAGAAAGAAAAATGGCTGGCTTAATATTTATTTGACTCTTTATCCTCGGTTGAGTCATGGAAATATGGATCTAATGCCATAACCGTGCACCTAATGCTATAATAATGAACATAAAACATAAAGATCAATGTAAGACCATAATGATTTCCCATAATCAGGCACTAATATCTTAATCATGGACCTAAGCTCATAATCTTGGATTCTCTTTAATAATGGACGTAAAATAGTTTCTGTATAATCATCCCTGGACCTAATGCAGTATTCCTAGACCTAACACTATTTTGCTGAACTAGCATCACATCTCTAGACCTTAGACCATGACCTTAGACAAAACACTACATCCCTGGATCTAACACCACATCCCTGGATCTAACACCACATCCCTGGATCTAACACCACATCCCTGGATCTAACACCACATCCCTGGATCTAACACCACATCCCTGGATCTAACACCACGTACCTGGATCTAACACCACATCTCTGGATCTAACAACACATCCCTGGATCTAACAACACATCCCTGGATCTAACACCACATCCCTGGATCTAACACCACATCTCTAGATCTAACACCACATCCCTGGATCTAACACCACATCCCTGGATCTAACACCACATCCCTGGATCTAACACCACATCCCTGGATCTAACACCACATCTCTGGATCTAACACCACATCCCTGGACCAAGTATTACACCTCTTGATATAAAGCCACTTGTTGAAACCTAAAACCACCTCCCTGGATCTAATATTTCCCTGGACTTGATATTGTCCTCTAAAACAATCCCCAGTTTCTGAACCTACCATAACACTGTACCTGACTTGTTCCCAAGATTGTTTATTTTAGATCTGTTGCCTTTACATCACTTAGTGCCATTTATGAGTGGGATAGTTGATGGCATGAATGAAAATAATGGGACAGATTTTTTTAAACATTCAACCTTAAATCTAAACCTTAGTCTTCTCTTTGTTTTGCTATTGGCATTAATCCCTCAGTGTAATAGCTTATGACCTTCAGATCAGTACAGTGCCAGGTAGGATTATCATCATGTGCTCATAAGCTCGATTTGGCTTCTGTTCTTTTTATAAAAAATAATGTTTCCCCTTCAGAATGCATTGTGTGAGATTAAAATCTTATGGATGAGAATCAAATAAGTACAGGTTCAGAACAATATTCATTCTATAACACAGTTATTTTGAGGGTACGCTACGGTTACAGACTAGCCTGCAATCCAAAATGGGTGTGTGGATATACTGGCTTCTCTTCTGACTGAATTTTCTATTTAAAGTAGTTATGTAATATAGCATCCCACATTTTAGGACAAATATGGGCAGATAACTACAGTTTACTTTATAAACTGAAAAGAATGGGTTATGAAATATATGAATATAAATACAAGAAGATTATTATTAATTTTATTAGGAAAAGGTAGATCAAAATGATCTGTTTGCAACACAAATTAGTTTATATCTTTTTATTCGATAAGTGTTCTCATTTGATAATTGAAACCATTTTTCAGCACATTGCCCAACATCGGGACCCCATACCCTATGCTGGTATTAGTAGGGCCTCAAGGTTCCGGGAAAAGATATTTGGCTACAAAATTGGTCAAAGAGTTCAGTGAATATTTTGGATATGGGTGAGTTTTCAGAACCTTTAGATAACTCAATATAATTCATTCCTGGGAATTAAATCCTGGTCACATGACCCACCAAATGCTGACTGGTCTATTAGATATGTCTTCCCCATGTGGGTTCTGGGGCCCCATTGTGGGGAACACAAGAATAGACCCCCTGCCACTCCAGTAAGCATGTCATAGGAGTCAACTGATTGGGAGCTTCCTTTGAAGTCGGAGAGCATCTGCCCGAGGGGTAAGGAACAACCACACAAATAAACCAGTGAAATGAGTGTACACACAAACTCAGGTCATGGCAGAAAGCCAGAGTCCAAATGGATGAACAACCAGAACTTTCCACAGGAGTTTACAGCTGTTGAACACAGAAGAAGAAATATGTCTAGCCCTATATGCCCAGTACACCTTAAGATGTGGAAAAATGTTCTTGACTTATAATCTGTTATAATTCATGTTAGTCACTTCTTTGTTTATAACTACAGCTTTAGGCATGAAGATGGAGGTGTAGGTATTCACTGGAGCTCTGAAGTGGATAGCTAAAAATAGAGTTCCCAAGAGAATTGTTGTGTCTGGCTCTCAGTCGGTACTGAGAAAAGTTTGCAGTAAACAACTCTTGCAGGAGTGGACACCAAGTGTCACCACATCTAAATCGCAAAGACTCTCAGGAAATGCGGGAGTGTGAGGAAATGAACAACCAGATTTGCTGGCTACAAAGTATTAGCTTCAGGAAACATGCTGGGCTAGGAAGACATCCTGAAACCATTTATGGAAGAATACTGATGGAAGAAACAGTATCAGATGAGATTAGATGTGTTTGGATGTGTGAATTTGGAATTAGGTGTAAATCCAGCCAGAAAGGACATACGAGAGGATATGGGGTATGTGTACAACCAGTGTACTACTGGAACATTTAGTGTTTACACTTTAAAACACTTGCAGCGTGAGACAGAGCATCACTGGGTATGCACCGGAGTACTGTGATGTCAGTTCTTGAATCAGTAATTCATGCCAGTCGGTAAACATCAGCCTTACTCTGTAAGAAATTTTGTAGTTATCTTTAAATATTACAGAAAATTTGCAGAAATAAATAGGCAGGGAAGCCTTTAGGCCATAGAAATGGTATACAATAAACAAGTATACAGGTATTGATTGGCACTTGTAGAAAGAAGTAGAGAGATAGAAGGACACACTAGACAATGTTGAAATTAGATTGGCTTTTTACCCCACCTGGACATCACACAAGCGATAAACACCCGATGACACAAAGTGCCACCATGCGGATGAGGATCACCGTGGAGAGGTCCCAGAAACCGGGTTCAGACATTTGGCCATAATGATGACCTGCCTATATTGCGGCCCCTGGCAAAAGCCAGAGTGGGGCTTCAAATAACAAAAAATAACGTCCTAAGAAGGACGTAAGAATAAATGTTGAAATCATCATCTATACTTTTCATACCAGGAACTGAACCTGTTACCTCTAAATGACCACAGCACCTCACTGCGAGTCAAGTTTACTATGATGCACCTCCAGCTCGACACCCGACCAGCACATTAAACAATTCAGAGAACACAGAGAACTTTTGGGGCTAACCAGCTTCCGACACTTTCCTGTGCACCACTCCTGTTTACATTTGTCTTGTTCCTGTCCAAATAAAATTGTGAATGTTAAATTAAGAATCGACATCACAGACCTCGGGACACCCTCATAAGCGCTCCGTCCTCATCTTCAGCAGCAAGCAAAGAGTTCAAATTCGGATGCTACCAGTAACTGTCTGATTGTATATCTGCCTTGCCTTTCCCCCGAGTGTCGAGCCTCGGCCAGATCTCCTTGAAAATCCTCACAGTGCCATTCTCCTCAGACTGTAATGATCTATCTGTTCCTCAGAACTGTTCACTCGCTCCCAAAGGGCCCTCACAATATCCAGCTTGTCATACTTAACTTCACCACCATGTGGTGCAGAACCAGCCAGTCTGTCTGTCTGCTCATTTCCCAACATACTGATATAACCTTGAGAAAATATCCAAAGGATGCTAACTACCCGAGACCTTTGAAGTGGTGCTTGCAACTCTGCACGGAACATGCCTGTCTCCACCTTTCTCAACGTGCTCTGTGAGTCAGTTACAATGACAGCATGTGTGTACAGCTGATTCTCAAACAAGCGGAGTACAGCAGTGACTGCAACCACCTCCATTCTCAAACTAGACGTTGTGATTTTCTCCGTTGCTATGAACCCCCATGCACTTTGTCTGCCCATCAACACAGGGCCATCTGTATATACAATCACATCACTTAGGCGGGAATTGACATGATTCTGCAGCACCAGCTGGCCAGTCTCTGCACTCATGACCCAAAGTGATTAGAACCCTACACAAGTCTGATACACGATCTGACACTTTGACCCACTCCTCTTCTCGCCTAAATTTATCAAGCCTGCACACATGTCCAATTGTGTCTTCAGCTTGCGTCATCCAAGACTTTCCTCTGTTCAGTCTGTGACCCTTAGCTCTATCCAGGGCTTCATGCAGGAGGTGCCTCTTGTCTGCAGTTACTCTGAGATATGACTTTGCTTGCAGAACTTTGAGCCTATCTGCAATATTAGGCAGTGGAAGTATATATCGCATACATATACCGGGGTATCTTTTGTACATCCCAGAATTACCCGCATGGCTTCATTCTGTATGCTTTCAAGTTTCATCAGCTGACTCTTTAATATGGTAAGCACGCCAAGTCCACATGCTGGAACATTGTGAACAACATTCTTTGTTCCATGTAAATTGGTGTCCAAATTAATCTGTTTGTCTTCTTATTTATGGTAAAATGTGCCCGCTGTTTCATTTTTGGACGATTTGTCTTGCCTTGGTGAGGTGACTGTTTAGAAAGTAGCGGTTAACTACTGAATGAAATATTCACCTAGAAAAACCACAACAGCCAAAAAATGCGGGTCTTGGTTCTGAAATTTCCTGTAAAAGATACGCAACTAACTTGTGTTCATGCTTTAAAAATCTTGAGCTAATCTTTCATGAACTTGGTGTTAATTATCACATTTTATGTGATCAGTGCTTTCTCTAAATCATGTCCTCTTTTTTAGAAAATAGCAATTTCTTATTAATTTCTATTTCATTTCATTCTCCTTTTTGATTTTTGATTTTACTTTGATGCTTTCCTGGCCAACACTTAACACTCAGGGAAAAGGTCAGACAGACTTACTGGTACCTTCAGAATCGCACTAGCTGCTGGAGATGGGGGCAGAGCACTCAAGAGAATGTCCTGAGTGCTTTGATCTTAGTTTTTAATTCAACTATTTCATAATTTTTCAAAACTGTTTTGCCATTTACAACTTAATTTTTGTCTGTAGAATCTCTCACACAACACGACACCCTCATTTGGAGGAATCAGCAGGAAAAGATTACTTTTTTGTATCAGTGGAGAAGTTTGAAAAAGATGTTAGAAAGGTAGGAATAATTTTTACCTTATGAAGTAAATAACTGATTGTAGCACATGGGCTAGATTCTTACCCACCAATTCACAGGTCATAGATTTAAATCCCTATTGGGGCAAATCTTTTATAAATGGCCTGGTCTCCCAGAATGACCCAGTCTGAAAGACTATGGTACTTGATGGATTCAGTGGTAACCTTTTTTTCTCAACAGTGGATTTTCTGGTAACCTTATTAGGTAATCTTGAGGGAGGATTTAACCCTTTCACTTCAGGAATGCTAACAGATTTGATCATGGCCCCGAAAAACTTGAAGAAAACCAAAATTTAACACAGTAAAGTAAGTAAAGTACCATTTTCCCCGACATCAGGCATATTAGGTATTTAGGGCTGAACCTATATTTTATAGACTAAATAGCACTTGGTGGGTGATGTGGTCAGCATCACACCGGCTGCCTTTACTTCCCAGGACTGTACCTTGTACCCACTCTAGACTGGATCAACCTGGAAGCCAAGGCCATTTTGGAAAACAGTCCAGCCCTCGTCAGAAACTAAACCCATGACCTTCTGATCCGCAGGCGAGCATCTAGCCGCTAGACCACGGCACTCTCTAAAATTTTACATAGGTAATTAATTATTTGTTTTGAAATTTAAAAATGTTGAATATTGAATAAAGAATCGACATCATAGCACTCTGGACACTCCCATAAGCACTCCGTCCCCATCTTCAGCAGCAAACTAGGAGTTCCAATTCCGATGACACCAGTAACTGTCTGATTGTATATCCATATTGCTTTTCATCTGAGTGTTGAGCTTCACCAGATCCCCTGGTAACTCCTTGCAGCACCATTCTCCTCAGACCGTAATGATCTATTGGCGCTTCCGCACTGTTCACCCGCTTCCAGAGGGCCCTCACAACATCTAGCTTGTCATACATCAGTTCACCACCAAGTGGTGCAGAACCGCCAGTTTGTCTGACTGCTCATATCTCAACACACCGGCATAACCTGAAGAGAATATCCAAAGGATGCTATTTTTTTTTATGTATCTACATGTTTTTAATTTATTTTTAATTTTTAAAAAAGAATATGAATTGATATATAAAGGGAGAAAGGGGTAGTCAGTAAACATGAAAGGAGTGAAGCACTATATGGAATACATTCCCCAGGGCCTACAAAAACAAAGGTATTGGATGACTCATGCCGTGATCTGTATCACTGAGATAATCAGGGAAATTTTACCTCAGCTTGGCTTGATAAAAGCTATTTGATTCACAGGAAAACCCCCTAATTGCTATTTTTGGGTAAAATATTAACATTTATGAACATGAAACGGAGTGAAGCATTATGTGGTATACATTTCCCAGGAGGGATATCATCAAGAGAGATGTTCCAGGCAACCAGGGATCATGATCTGTGGAGATGCATGATCGCCTACGCCAGCTGCCAGGGCAGATGATGATGATGATTAAGATATTTATATTTAGGACACTTAAACATTGTTCAAGTGTGACTGGAACTAATCACCGTGAACTATTTTTTCTCCCCCCCAAAAAGGTCACTATTTACAGACTGTTTTTGAGACCTTCAGAGGGCTTCTTTTGGTAACTGTTAAATACCTGATCAAGATATTGGCACACTCTGTTCCAAGGCCAATATATATGTCACTCAGGGCTCACAGTTTATTCTTCAGTTCTTCATTCCAGGGCAGTTGATTTAATATTATAGATGGAGACCATTCCAGTACCTTCAGCCTCCCTCATCAATGTTTTTTAAGAGCTCGTAAATTTTTGACTCTATATGCACTAATACCATTGTTATTAGTACATATAAGGCACATTTGTATCTGTATATAATGTGATTAAGATTGTACTTGAACCCTAAAAAAAATTAAATTACATGTCATCACACTGGAATGATTTAACTAAATGTTAAGGAAGCTCTATCATGCATGTCAAGTCTTGCTTATAAATTACTGGGGCCTTATGGATGTGAGTCATGGACTCTTAACCATTTGAGACAAACAAATGGAGCTTTTGAACTTAAATGCTACAGGACAATTCTTAAAGTACCATAGACAAAGAAGGAAAAAACACCAACATCCTACATGATATGCACCTCGAGGAGAATTGGCTTATAAACAGTATCCTGTCCAAAAAGCTGGGGTATTTTAACCATGCTAAATGTCATTGGTGGCCTGGAGAAAATGGTGATGTAGAGTTCAGGTTCCAGAAGTTGAGCCAGAGGTAGACCTCCATGAATGTGGATACAAGACATGCAAGATATATTGGCTATGAAAGCACATAGGGTTGGAGAATTGACTACAGAAGGGAAGACGTTTAGGCGGACCATGATGAGAGCATTATTCTCTACACGATTTGCTGCTTGTTGATGATGGTGATGACAGGCAAAGAAGAGAATAGTTACATTGCAGCTTTCCATGCAGGTCATAAGAGGCAACTAAACAGGGTTGACATGAAAATAGCTACCTCATCACATATGAACCTTTAGCTTCAAAATCCAATCAATCCTGAAAAAGTCTCCAAGGATCATTATGTGAATTGATGAACTTCTACTACTGCTGCTTCTTCTTCTTTGCTTCCTCTTTTACCATTTCGGGTGTCGAGGAAGATAGAAGGTTCTGCTTCTTGTTTTTCTTATTGGCTTGACCTTAAACACATTGGGCTGTTGTAGAGTTTCTCTGATATTATCTTTCCATCTGGTTCTTGGTCTACCTTGTGGTTTATGTCCTTCTCCTCTTTTGTCTCCTCTGTCTTTGTTTGTAACGTAGAATTGGTACTGTGCCACTTTTTTCTCTTATGACCTCATTTCTGATTTTACCTCTTCTGGTCACTCATGCAGCTCTTTTCAGACATCTCATTTCCATGGTTACTAATTTTCTGTTATGGTTAGTTGTGATTGACCATGTCTGACACTGGAAGCAGAGAGTGGGAATGAATATGCCTTGTATGATAAGTTTCTTTGTGCTGACTGGGATTGTCTGATGCTGTAAGAGGGGAGCTAGCTGTTCTACTGCTTAGTTTGCTTTACTGCATCTGGTATTAATTTCTTCATTCATATTTCCATCTTCACTGAATGTTGTATCCAAAAATTGAACTTGGATGCCTATATTTAATGCCTTTGCACTTTACCGCCAAATTTAGTTTCTGCTTCTTTCTTCCTATTTCTGTCTTCTCAGTATTCATTCTCTATTATCCTCTTTAGATTATTTATTCATTGATGTTAGATCTACGCTCCATTAAAAAAAAGGCTACATAAATTAAATTAAATATCTGACAGAAGGTTATCCACCTGATCAAGGAAAAACAAAACCAATAATCCCCTGAAAAATACATTAGTGAAAAAGATTTTTGACAAACCTGGACTCACAACACTTTAAAACAGTCATTAACTATACATTAAACATGTTACTATAAAGATTTTTAGGGGGGTAACTCTAAGGAATATTTCAGGGTGCGTTTTTACAAACCTGCTTGTACAATGGCAACTGGTATGGACTTCAGATGGGCTCAGTTGAAAGGGTTGCAAAAGAAGGCTTGGCATGTGTTGTTCACATGGAGCTTGAGGTGAGTTTATCAAGTGTTTTAAGAACACTCAGCTATCATGGGAGAAATTTAGAAGGGGGAGGAATAGAGAAGAGGAGGGGAAGGAAGGAAGGGGATAGGAGAAATAAGTATAAGACTGGAGGGGGGAGGTGGGGTCTGGAAAGAGAAATAGAAAAAGAGAAACAGCTTGGGGAAAAAAATAACTTTAGAGAAGAGAAGCGGTGATAAAGGGAAAAAGAAAGAGATTAAAAAGAACTGGAATGAGCAGAAAAAAAAGATGGGAGGAGAGAGGCAGCAAGAGAAATAATTTAGAGGGATGAAGTAATGAGAGAGAACAGAGGATGAAAAATAAAAGGTAAGATTGAAATAAAGAGAAAGAAGATAAAGCAGGACTTTGTCTTATAGAAAAAAAAAAGTTGCTATAAAAATATCTGAAAAGTACTTATTACAATAGTGCTGAAAAAAATGTTGCCTTAAATAAGTGCCAGTTCCATGTACCATAGTTTACAACCAGAAAAAAAATCCTGGAATAGAGATAAATAAAAAAGATGGGGAAAAAGAGAATAGTAAAGAGGGGAGAGAGAAGAAGATCAAAAGATGGAGAGATTATGCAAGGGTAAGAGAGAAATGAAGAAAGATAGCTGGAGAGAGTGTGTAATACTTCACCTTCAACACTGCAAGGCAGAAGAGAATGAACATGAGATTAGATAGAATGAGATGCCCAGCCGTAATTTACAATTGGTCATTGTAATACACTTTTCCTGCTTTTTTCTTCAATTTGTATAAAGTAGCTTATGCTTGTTCTGTTCTGTTCTTTATGTGCAACTATACCTTTTCTTTTTAATTTAAAGATAGCAAAAATATTGCCCATAAACAAAACTGCATGAGATCTAAAAAAAAGCAGTTGAAAATGTTACCAACTAAATGCCATTGTTCCATAACAGAAAGATAAGACCGACTGAAAAAAAGGAAGGTCATGGATGGCACTAGCTGAAGATACCATTGGGCTGGCAGCCTTAGTCAAGCAAATATACAAGGGATAGGAATGGATCGACAAGAACACACATCACAGCATTTTCAGTCAAAACGCTGGGCTAGATGGTAAGCTCAACAAAATGGGGAAGCAGAAAAACGTGAACAAAACAACACAATGTAACATTTCGGCCGGGCAGCCTTTTTTAAACATAAGTGAACTACACAAACGAGGAATGGAGAGTATGTAGATCTCTAAGGGGTGATGTGGGTGATCAGCTAGCTTCATCGTTCTGGGAACACCTCTCTGATATTGACAAGAAGACACTTAAACCATTCCCTCTCCATTTCAATAGCTCTGACCACAGAGGTAAAGATGATATATCTGTCACAGCAATAAAATCTTGTTCTGGCGATCATACTGAGCGCCTCGCTTTGGAAAATCGCCTCATCCTCGGCTTAGGCGTTCTTAGTCCAGGTGGTATCAATATCCAACACACCTTCATCTAAATAGTTCTACTCTTATCACATTTCAAATGTTAATTATTTTATTTTATTTTATTTCATATTATTACTTTATTCTATTTCTTATCAATATCATTTATGTATCATTAACATTTGTATTTCTTTTATTCCCAGTATCATATTATATATTAACAATACTACTGTTTATTATTTTTGTGTGACTATATTTTATTACCATCGTTTATTCTATTTTGTTTTTCCATTTATTCCACATCAGATTTTTTTTAACGTTGCTCACGTCACCCCTTAGAGATCTCCATACTCTCCATTCCTCGTTTGTGTAGTTCACTTATGTTTGAAAAAGGCTGCCCGGCCGAAATGTTACATTGTGTTGTTTTTCTGCTTCCCCATTTTGTTGAGCTTTTTAGTCAAATTTTTCTGGAATTCCTTGTATAAGCTTGAGTGCAGTCACCACCATATTTTCACCATTTTTGGGCTAGATGGTGCATTAGTGTTCACTGATAATTCCAGATGGTGATTAGTGCACGGTGATGGTTCTAGATGGTGCATTAGTGTTCACTAATTGTTCCAGATGGTGCATTAGTGTACACTGATGGTTCCAGATGGTGCATTAGTGTACACTAATTGTTCCAGATGGTGCATTAGTGTACACTGATGGTTCCAGATGGTGCATTAGTGTACACTGATGGTTCCAGATGGTGCATTAGTGTACACTGATGGTTCCAGATGGTGCATTAGTGTACACTGATGGTTCCAGATGGTGCATTAGTGTACACTGATGGTTCCAGATGGTGCATTAGTGCACAATGATGGTTCTAGATGGTGCATTAGTGCACAGTTGAAAGATCTGATGGGATTTTCAGCTAAATTGAAGGGAAAGAACATGGCAAACCAAAATTGTGCTATTTTTTTTAAATTACAATTTCAAGCATGAGGATGGGGATAGAGGTGGTCACTGCAGCTCTGAAGTGGACAGCAGAAAATAGAGTTACCAGAGGAATTGTAGTCTCTAATCGGTACTGTGGAAGGATCAAAATAGACAGTTGTGACATGATTGAATACCAGGCAGCAGCATTTCAACATCTAGTCTTGATACTGAATTACTTTAACTATCTCAAACGTCAGGTTGGATTGAAAAGAATAGTGAGGGGTAGAAGCCAACCAGCATGAGTATGAGACATCTTTGGCAGGAAACTGCAGGAGGTGGGAAATCTGGCAAGGGACCAAGTTAATTTTAGGCAGGCTGTGATGGCAGTGATATTCTGTACAGGACCTGCTACATGATTTGTATTTTTAGTCACATTCTCATTTCCCAGGGTGTAAGATTATGCATAGTATAAACAAAACTTTCAGGGTGTGCTTTCGCTAAAGAAAACATACTTTGAACCACGCTATGTTCTGGTGCTGCCATTGGACAGTCAGCTGCATGAGAAGAGGCTGAGAGCCAGGCACTGTACCGACCAGCAGATTCCCATGATCCTGCAGAGAACTGACATGTACATTCAGCAGAATCAGGACCACCCTGGCTTCTTTGATATGATGATCTGCAGTGGTAGGTTGAATTATTATTTCATATAACTCTCACACATAGTGTACAGAAGTTAATCATGGACAATCAACAGATCAGTAAGAAATTATTTGTTAGCCGCAGAGATTTGGTTTCATTGAAGAATTATGCAAGCAGTGTAGCATATAAAGATATTTGGTATAAAATAACACACACTACTTCTTTGTCAGGGTTCCAAAGTACAAAGAGGGTGAATGGGGGGAATATGGGGTGTTTACAGAAATTTCCTTAGAATCCCTTGCAAGGCCGAAAAGAGCAGCAGCTCAGATACTTTTAAAGAGGTAAGGGCTCGAAGACAGTTTATCACAAACATCAGAAAGAGACAGTCATCAATTTTTTTGGATATGTTATGAGAAAAAATTAACTGGAACATGTTGTGAGCCACTGGAAAGATCTGTTGGGGGGAAAAAAAAAGACAGAAGAAGATAATGCAAGACAATTTTTGACAACCTATTGTCATTACATGTGGGGGAAAGGGGGGGAGGTTTAGCAAACAAACTGATACATGCTGTTGAAGATCACAGATTGTGGAGAAGCATGATCACCCATGCCAGTCGGTAAGGCACTTCATGATGATGGCCGAATGGCTCACGAATCACAGCCTAGCTGTAAACTACAACTCAATGTGGCAACCGCCCATTTCAGGTTTAAAAAAAAAAAATTCACAAAGACAACTGGATTCTCACATCAGAAGAAGACAGCCCCATGTTCACTGTCAATGCCATGAAAAAGAGTATTTACATGTGTCATAAGTGCTATAAAATTAGTTGTGTGTCCTCAACAGGACGTTGCAGACCAACACCAGCATTTTTAGCTGCTGTGATTTTTCTAGGCGAATTTACAATCAGTAGTTTGTCCTTGCTTACTTCTTTTTCTTCTTCGCTGTCACCAGCTGTAAACTCTGGCGGAAAGTTCTGGTTGTTCATCCACTTCTGGACTGCAGTTCCGTTCCAAAACTTGAGTGTTGCGTGTGCATTCGTTTTACAGATGACTCATTTGTGTGACTGCTGGTTCCTTGCCTCTCAGGCAGATGCACTCCGACTTCGAAGGAAGCCCCCAATTAGTCGACTCTTACGACATGCTTTTGGGTAGGCAGTGGTTCTATTCTTGTGTTCCCTATAATAGGGCCCCGGAATCCACACAGGGACCTTGCTTACTGAACAGCCAGCTCTTGATACCACGAGGCATTGTGCTGCCAAATCACCTGCAACTGTGACCAGTTTGCTATCTCACACAATCACCAGTCTCAGATCATCATCCTGTAAGGGTATCCAACTCACACCGCTTCACTTGGGAAAAAATGGCTTAATTACTATCTAACAGAACAGCTCTAGTCTGTGAGTAAGAAAAATGTCAGTCAGTAAAGAAAACGAACTGTTAATTTTACAATTCCAAAATCATGAACAACAAAATAAATGTTGTGGTTAGAATGCCTGCGTCAGCATATAAGAAAAATGAACATTGATACAATTACAAACAAGAATACATAAAATAATGTAAGTTTTGTGGCGAGGCCTGTCACAAAATATAAGCTGCACTTGGACAGTGGAGGCTCTGCATAATATGTAAAGGATCCTTGACAAAAAGTGACCCACAGAGATTGGATTGGTTCCGAGGTCAGAGATCACAGCAAGGAATATAGCTCACGATTTGTAAATAAAACTGTGTTGGACATCAAGACTCTTAAGAGAGAGAGAACCCAATAAAGAGATACGAGTCTGTCAGTAGAAAAGCTGCTTATTGTATATATAAAATTATCATCCATGTTTCTTTTGCAGATGATATTGGGGAGGCATATGCACAACTTCGTAAACTGGTAATGGACTATCTAGGTATTGGTTCACTTTCATCAAGTGACAGTTCAACTTTCTCCAGTGTGTCATACAGTCGTGGAACGGCAGATCAAATACCAGTGATCACTACTAGAACAATGTCCAATGTTGTCAGAGCCAGCACTTGGTCCAGAACCAGTGATAATTTTTCACAGCCGCGTGGTCCTAGATTAGGATCACTGATACAGTCACGAGGCACAGTTGTAAGTATCATCTCAGATTATAATCACAGCACTGTTGATCAAATATAATTGTCAAAATCACATACCTGTTATTAAATCATATTTCCAAGCATCATTTCAGATTTGTTTGCAGATATTATCATGAAATGCTTTGTACCATGGCAAATATTAAGTACAGTTGAAAGTATCACAGATTAGAATCTCAGACATGTTAACAAAGAACTTTTGAATCAACTCAAAGAAGAATGATAAACATAATAATCAAATACAGTTATAAGCAGGGCTGTTTCTGGTGGTATGCAATGTTAAGCAGTATCAATTCCTTTTTTTTATAGCATCATTTTTTTCAGCATCACTGTAATAGATACTTTGTGATGAGTATCGGCATGTAAAAGTCAACCAATTAGGGGTTTTTCCTTCGGAGTCAGAGTGTATCTGTCTGAGAGGCAAAGAATCAGCAGGCTGCTTACAAAAAAGCCAGATCTGAATAAGATTGGAATAAGACTCAGAAGTGGGTGAACAACCATAATTTTTTGCTAGAGTTTATATCCGGCAAATGCGAAGAAAATAAAGAAGAAGCACAGCATGATTTATTGATGTTCAACCCCACCAGGACATCATACAGAGTAATAAACACCTGGTGACACAAAGTGCCACTATGCAGATTAAGATCACCCGCGGAGAGGTCCCTGAAACCCCGTACAACTGTTAGGTTACATTAGGGCTCCCAACTGCAGCTGGGGTGGGGCTTTGAAAATAACGAAAAATTGCGTCCCCTATTGAGATGACAGATGTAAGCATAGAATTGTTTATGCTTGCACAAACATTTCAGATGATCAGGAAAGAACAGCATTTAGTTTGGGGTTTCCTTGAAAAAATATGTCTTTTTGAAATACAAATTATGACGTCATAATTTCTCATTAGTCAAAGAGGATCACAGCTAAAGAATCACTCACAATATGTATTTTTTTAGACTCACAAAGATGTAACCCAGTTAATTCTCGTGGGAACTGATTACCTCCCTTACTCTGTATAGAATGTTACATTGTTTCAGTCCATAAATGGAAATGTTTTTTTATATGACCGGTATAAAATCTGTGAAAAGAGAGAGAGTGTGAGAAGATTCTTGACAGTCTTCTGTCATCACATGGAGGGGTGTCAGCACATGAACTGATACATAGTCACAGATAGGTATGATCACCCAGTCTGCTTGGCAATGCACTTGATGATAAAATTGTTGGGTTTTCTTAAGGGTATGTTGCTTTTTTTTTTCTAGGTCTTCAGGGTGAAAGAGTAAAAATATTAAACAAGCTCCAATCATTAATACATCTCAGGACTTGAATAAGGCTCTATTTTATTGACAAGAGATAGTCATGGAGATAAATGTTCCATGACAAAAGTATACAGGAAAAGCAGTGTTTCTGTCTGAAATGCCTGATGTTCTGTCATGTTAGTTTTGATTAAATCTTGACAAACTTCCTCAGAATTGTTTTACTAGCTTTGAATTGATATTCTCTAAACTCTGTAGGAAGAAGAGTCTGTCAAGCGACGGTATAGTGTGGCTAAAGATGTCATCACTGGTAACATACAACCACCCGCAAAACAATGGTGGATAAAGTAAATTCACTTTATTTATTTGTAGTTTGCATTTGAACTAATTTTTTTTTTCAGTAATGATTAATAATAAGATCCTCTGTTCATTCAGTTCTTCCGTGTAGTCCAGTTAAATCCTTGTTACATTTATTGCCGTTTTCAAATACATTTTTACACATTTTGCTAGCTTTTTTCTTCTCATCTTTGGTCACTGTTTGAAAATAAAGTTTGTTCATTCACTGGGATTTGTTTTGTTTGCTCCTTGAGCTCTGCATTAGTGATTTTGCCTGACCATTTCATTCTGTTTATTCTACACAGGTGTCAGTTAATGATGCTTGTAATGTATTAGTGACTGTTTCTTTAGCTGTTTTCCATGGTGTTGCTCCATATAACAGCACTAATTTAATGTTAGAGCTGAATATTTGTACTAGGTTTAATTTATTTTGTCTTCCACAGTCTTCTTTTGACTTCCACATATTTCCTAGCTACTAAAGCTCCCTTTGTCTTTTGTGGGTTTTTTGTCTCTGTCTTTGTTTACATTAGCAAACATTAATTGTACTATTTTATTCTAGCTGATGTTAGAAATGGATTCTCTAATATTGTTTCTATCCAGATGTTTGCAGTTTAAAATTTTTAAATATTGGGGGATCAGTATTTATGACCACATTTACCAAGTAGTAAATGTTTCATATCTGCTTAATAACCATCTACAATGTCAATATATTTTTTAAAACCATAGAATTAATTAACCCTTATTCTGTCTAGATAAACTGAACTTAGAAAATTGTGCATCCAATCCTTTATGTCCTTCAAAAATTAACATAAGATTTTAATTAACTAATTATTGTGTGTGTGTGTGTGCATATGTGAGAGAGAGAGAGAGAGAGAGAGAGAGAGAGAGAGAGAGAGAGAGAGAGAGAGAGAGAGAGAGAGAGAGAGTTTAGTTAGCATTTTTAATTAGATTTATTTGACTAATTCTACTGATACCACTTTTTATATAAATCTTTATTTGTATTGTTTTATTATCTAGGTATCCTACATCTGTTTCTGTATCTGAAGACAGTCAGTCTATGCTCAAAGAAATGAGGGAGAAAAGGGCACAATCTGCTCCAACCATTCTGAATGAATTTGGGACTGTGAATGGTGAAGACAAATTTGCAACCTCATCAGATTCTTCCAGTGATACACCTTCAGAATCGTATCTCTCTGACCTAGATTCTGCTCCAGGACTGCACAAAGATGATGATCACAAATCTAATATAAATGCAAACTTCATGGGTCATCTACCCACTGAAAAGATTGACCCTTTGTCCTTCATAGATAAGCATAACTATCGATCAGCCTCAGCAACGCACCTACCAGATGCCTTCACTCAATCGTTTTCCCGACCAGGCTCTAAATGCATAGTTTCTCGACCTGGTTCAGACAGAAATACAGTGCTGCCACCTATCCAGAATATGACTGCATAAATCAGTACAAATCAACCATTGAATAACACTTCTGCAGAAACTATGAAACTTTGTACAAAGACACACACACTCATCCTGCCTTGTTGTCTGCACCTCCTTTTTTATTCTCTGCGTCCCTCTCTTAATCTTGTCAGCCTTTATTATAACATATCTATCAACAACAGAAATAACTGTTGAGAAATAATAACGATTTTTTTAATGCAATAAACCTGATTTCTCTTAGTGAAACTTTATTTCAGTAGTGGAATCAAACATAAATTTAGGTAGTAGTGTAAATAGAATTTAAAACAGACATAAATATTAAATTAAGAACACTAAATTAAGTGAAGCCGTTCCGTTATTATACAGAGCATGGGAAGTACTGGGGAAAATAGACAAGAAAATAATTCTTTAGCAGAGGCTATGGTAGATGCAGACGTCTGTGAGAACGATGGTAGGCCAGCTAGAATGGCAACGTGACCTAGTGATGCACAGCTGTTGATTTGGCATTTGTTACCCAGTGAGCAGTGCTGGACACAAAATAGGGACCTAGGTAATCATGGGAGTGACCATATGCCATGTTCAGTCTTGATTTCTAAAGCTAGCAAGGTCAGGACTGTGAGAACACTCAAGACTTTAAAGTATGAGAGGGACAGTACCCTTCATGGATGTCTTCGACAGAAGGTTTGTAGCACAACCACCACCTCTGCTTTTGTGCAGCCTCCATGGTGGGACCAAAAAGTAAAACAGACATGTATAGCAAAGCAAGCAGCAGTTAAACAATTTAAAGCTATGCAAGTAATTCTGGGATGTACAAGAGATACACCGGTAGTATGCATGTGATACATACTTGCACTGCCTACTGTTGCAGATAGGCTCAAAGTTCTGCAAGCAAAGTCATATCTCAGAGCAGCTGCAAACAAGAAGCACTCCTGATGGAAGCCCTAGGTAGAGCTGAGGGTCACAGACTGAAAAGAGGAATGTCTTGGATCGCGCAAGATGCAGACACAGACATGTGTGTAGGCTTGATAAATTTGGGTGAGGAGAGAAGCTGGTCAAAGTGTCAGAGCAAGATCCAGACTTCTAATCACTTTAGTTTGTGAGTGTAGAGACTGGCCAGCTGGTGCTGCAGAATCAGAAGTTCAGCACAGGATTCATAACAATTACCACCCAGGCGATGTGATTATCTTTACAGATGGCTCTGTGCTGAGAGGCAGACGAAGTGCATGGGGGTTCCTAGCCAAAGCGAATGCAGCCAGAATAACTACCAACGCAGGCGCTACACATGAAACATTCTGACGTGGAAGCAAGAGGTCAGCCTAGGAGAACATGGACTGATTACATTAAAGAGCTTCTTCATGGACACGAAATGAAAACAGCCATTGTTGCCCATCTAACAGTGGGTCGCAAATTGTTCCTCCCCTCGCCGCAGAAATGAAATTGATGATGATGAATACTCTAGTGCAACAAAGCCCGGCATATGATATCACGTCTAGTTTGAGAATGGAGGTGGAGGCAGTCACTGCAGCCTATCCTGAGAATCAGATATTGAGAATCAAATGTACACACATGTCATAATTGTAAGAAAAATGAAAATAGGCAAACTATGTGCAGAGTGGCAAGCATCACTTCAGAGGTCATGGGTAGTAGTGTCCTTTAGAAATTTTCTTCAGGTGATATAGGAATGTTAGGAAATGAGCAGGCAGACAGACTTGCTGGTTCTGCACCTTGAATTCATGTATAACAAGCTAGATTTTGTGAGGGCCCTTTGGGATCGACTGAACAGTGAGGAGGCACAAATAGATCATTACGGTCAAAGGAGAAGGGTGCTGTGTGGAATTACCAGGGGATCTGGCCCGAGGCTCATCACTTAGAGGAAAGGCGAGATGGATATATACAAACAGTTACTGGTGCCAACAGAATTGCAACTCTTCCCTTGCTGCTGAAAATGAGAATGGAGTGCTTATGGGAGTGTCCTGAATGCTGTGATTTTGATTCTTAATTCAGTAATCAACAACATTATTATACTGTGACATGCCAATAGGCAATCACCAGAATCCAATATCAGGTATGTGCCTTTCATTCCACTGGGAAAGTTGTGGAAGTCAGCAGAATTTAATTCACAAACAAAATTAGAATAGTTAACTCTAAAATCAAACCAGTACTACGGTGTCCATCAGAAATATAGAAATTGACTAAAACACTCATAAATATGTTACACATTTTTATTTATTGGTAAATGATTAGAATAGAAAAATCACTACTGTTGAGCTCTGGCAAAGAATAGGATGCACACTGAGAAAACGTGTTAACTGTATAATCAGAACGTCCTTCCTCTAGAATCTACAGGACAAAATAAGTAGAGGGAGAACTTAAAAGACATAAAGAATAGAATTAAAAGTGCTGATTAAAACTTTGGAGGAAAGGGAGTGCAAGGGACAAAATAAAGCAGAAGTAGACAGCAAAAGATAAATCTTGCGGCTGAGCTGGTTGTTTAATAATCTTTGCATACTTTAGAAGACTGAGACTGACTTTGAGTCTCTTGCTGAAAACCTGTGGGAAAACATTTCTAAACTGCTTCTCTGTACTGACAAGGGGGAACATTTGTTTGCCTAGCACAGTTCTGGAGTTGTCTGAACCTCATAAATGAATAACAGGTTTCTATGAACACTCATAGAATGAATGCGAATGAAATTTAATGATATATGGAATTAATAGCCAGTTAGGCAACAGTATGCTTAGAACCATTTACTTAATATCTATTCTGGCATGGAATGGACTTCATATATTTACTTCTTAGGATAAGTATGTTTGGGGCAAGATGTGCTCCATAATGTTTCCTGCTCCAATTTAGCATGTATTTATGAACTCTGAACTAACTTCTTTCTTGCTTGTGCTCAAACCTTCAAGTGAATGACTACAGAAATAGCAGTAGTTTCAGGATTTGTGACATCTATGTAGAGAACTGAGTGAACGACAGTTAGTTGATGCCACATTTGTTTATGTTTGTTGCTGTAACTTGGTTAGAGGTACAGTAGGTGCTTGGTCATCAGAGACTTTTGTGTGCACGCACACATAAGCATGCACATATGTACGTACACACACCCGCACACGCACACACACACAGCAAACAAGGGACCAGAAAATAGTCTGTATATTTGAACTAGTAAATTAGTAACAGTTTTAGCCAAGTAATTTTCAAGAGATACATGTTGAAATGATCCCTCTCACAGGCCATAGATTCGCTCACAGGTCAGTTTTTACAATGACATAAACAACAAGCTGCTGATTTTTTTTTAATGTTAATGTTAATTAATAAACACATGTTTTATTTTATGAAATATCAGTTTAATATTTTTAAGACACTTTACAAATAAATTTACATTTTAATGATTGTCAGTTTATGTTTGAAAAGTTATATCATTTATATACTTATAATTTTAAACAACTATGATTATTATTATTGTTTCAGTTTTGGCTAAGTTAAATAAATATAATAGAATAAACATTTCATGAGGATTTGTGTATGTGATTGTGCTAGTGCGTGCATACATGCACACGCACACATACACATATTTATAGCAAAAATATATTTTGCTTATAGGTTAATCTGAAATTGCAAGCATTAATGTTACCTATCATGGCAACATTCGCTCTGAAAAGTGAGCCCACAAAAAGGTACATTTTTAGCAAGCATGCCAAGGGTTATTGCACTTGTCTTTTCCACACTTCTGTTTAGAATACAATTGTATCAACATTTTAAAAAAAGTGCTATATTCAACAATTGAATTCTTTTGTAGTTTTTGACTTTGTATTAAATTTACCATAGACTTCTTCTTTTATTACATAAAGTTTGCATGTAGACATGTGGTGTGTGCATGTTCTCTTTAAGTCCTAATCAAGACGTTTTATTTTGTTTTTGTTGAAGTAATGTCAATGAATCCCCCAGATACTGTGAGTCTGAATCTCAGCTAAGCCCAGTGCACCAGAGTTCATGTTTTCTGAACTCCTAGAAAAGCTTACACCTAATATATGATGATGGCAGAGATGTTTTTTCTTAACTCTTTGAGTCCCAGGGGGTTTAGCATCACAGGCCCAAGGGGTAGTCAAGAAAGACGTAAAATCGGCGCATCCTGCATTCATTGGGCTTCTAGGTAGGAATCTATGAATGTATGATGCGTTCCTTGGGACTCAAAGAGTTAACCAGGTACTGGCTGTAACCATGGTCTGACACCCATTGACTCAAAGTGCCACTTTCTGGATGTTGACTACAGTGCTGGCAGCCACTGTGGTTTAGCGGTTAGATGCTCACCTCTTGGGTTCAAATCTGCATGGAGCTCAAATTTTCGCACCTGACCTTTGCTCCCAGGTCGACACAACCTTAAAAAGGAAAGTCATGGGAAGTAAAAGTGGCTGATGTGATGTTTACCACATCACCCATTGAGAGCCGATTGTTCTATAAAAATATTAATCTAGCATCAAATACTTAAAGCACCACTGGCGTGTAAAGATTTTAAGGGACCAAAGTGTTACATATTATCAGGGTGCTGCGTGATCTTGAGGCATGATGTCCGCCTCATGTGCTAGATTTTCCAGGTTCAATCCCTGGTAAGGGCTGGGATTTTTTCATGTGGACTTGTACTTCTAGAAATTCCCTTTGGTCTCTGGGTAGTGAGGTCAGATGCCTGTATGCATTTTCGCACAAGTAAAAAAATCACTTGGCAGCTGGAAATTGAACATAGCCTAACGGCACTACCTGGCCAAAATGGTGAGTTAAAAATATACCCAAACTATTTTAGGATTCTCGCCGGTGCTACAGAGTCTGTGCACTATGCTGAGCTTCTTCGGACTCAGACTTGAGTTAGAAGAAGAACGGAGCACTTATGGGTTACTACCTGTGTGCTATAATGTTGATCCATTGTTTAAACTTCAAACGATCAGGGACTTTATTTATGGATTCAAATTAAAGAAGGAGTCTCACATGACTACACACCGGCTACCAGGTAGACAATTCGTCTGCT